TCAGAAAAGAGCACTAGATTTGTAATGAATATGAATAGCAATATGTTCACATTAGACTTACTTGTTGACTTTACCTTTGGTAACGAGTTTGCCAATGGCGGAACTTACTACCATATAAGACAGACCTTACCTAATGATTTGCGTGAATAATACAAAAATAAGGTGTTGATGAAGCCCTGAAAACTGCTATAAAGTTCTAAGAAATTATAAAATACAATTTACATCACACTAGCGTTTATATCAGCAAACAAACCGATGATGAAAGAATAGCTTGATGTAAATACATGAATAAGTACATTAAGGTATCCCTCTCAACTTTATCCATTACAATATTTTACTTTATAATGGCTCATTGGATTAATTGGATTCATATAATTCAAGGAACATCATCCATCATCAATAATCGTTCATCGTACCATCAAAGTACAGTGATTGAATAGATCATCTTGATCACGTGAATCCGATTATATAAAACAACCTTATCTTTTTCCCTTATCTAGTATCCCTTGCATGGAATCCTATATCATACTCTAGTAAGTAGGTCATAAAGATCCAGCAGTCAAAAGGTGAGCTTGTTATGAAACAATAAGCTGACCAATTTTACATCCATAATCACATCCCCTGTACTCTTAGAGGAACATTCTCTTTCCGCTAAAGTGATAAGAGATAGTCAATCATCATGACGTTGATGAGTTCACAGGAGATGTGTTGAGGCAGGATATTCCTCGTTTATAATAAATGTTGACTTATATATATTTATATCATCATCATCATCATAGTCTCTGCATTAAAACACTCAGCTACGGTGCTGATGACTGATAGGCGGTAAGAAGCTAACTACCAAAAATGTGGAATATATCTATGCACAAAAAAGTTTTTACATAATACAAGTGCAAATATTTACATTGGGTTAACATATATGATACCCGCCTTGAATATCGTAATAACGAGCGACACAGTTTAAACAGTAGTATAATATCTGTTAAGGTTGCTATTCCTTTGCAACACTATCTAAGTAGAATGACTTTACGTCGAAATCCATTTTTAGTATTGAGCCCTTTCATAGTGGTTGAGGAGATACAAACATACCTTGTTAATGGTATTGATAGAAATAATTGAAAAAAATACATATAAGTTAAGAAAAGAGAGTATTCTTAATATCAAGGACAACATTGAATGGGTCGTTAGTGGTATAAAGCTCAGTTATTTATTTGATTACCCAATCAGAGATGGAACCAACTTAATTCGTAATTTAGCTACTGTGAGCTAAGAGGTAGTGTAATAATGAAATATTGTCTAATTAGAGTAGTTAGGTGATAATTATCTGAATCTCAGGTTGCTTTGCTTGGATCATAATTGTATATTGATCAATTATGCGCATTTTGATAGATGCTTAAATACCAATAATTATGTCTTTGTAAGTGAAAAGATCATATACTATAAAAGATCTAATATGATTTTGAATAGGCGACAATGATACCTGACATAATTATGAATCTACTTCATGATATGTTTTTACATTTCAAAAATGATACTTTGATAAAATATGATAACCTTGATGAGATCATATGCGTTACATTAGTTGGTATGCTCCTAGAGTACGTTACACCATACACTAATAATGAAGAGCCAAATGTATGTAGATTATATACTTACTTTATTAAGACCTCCAATGATGATTCATCAAAGACGCTCTCATCTTTTACGTGTCCTATATCATTATTACAAGGGAATCAAACATTGATTGACAAACTTGCTGATGAATTGTTAATGAAATTTGAGGAACGACTAATTAAAGCGAACAATTTAAATATGTGTAGAAATTGTAGCAGTATACACAGAAGTATAAAAGATGTTTATATGAACAAATTAATTGTATAATTACAAATTGGTTGAATCTAAAGGTGACTTCAATACCATTTTCAATTTGCTCCTTTGAGTGTTTTTATCATTTTCAACAAATATTTCAACATCTACTACATCAAAAACGGAAATCGTGTGCTGATTTGATGAAGCATCTTGCACTATTATTTTGAAGTCTTCTGAAATGAATTCAATTGGTTTCTTGAAAGTTATTAAACCTTCTAGACCTAATGTTGGTATGAAAACAGCTAAACCATTCCTGAATGTACGTATAACGTGAGCTTTCTCTCTAACAAATCCACCTTGACGTTCATTACGAGCTTTGATAGCCAAAGCTACGTAGAATTCCACTGAAGCTCTGCCAGCATGTTGACCAAGACGATGCCTTTTATTAATATTATCCATAATACTTTCGACATAAGATTTATTGTGTAAAGAATTATGTAAAGGTTGATAATTTATAGCTGCCGATAATTGACGATGAGCTAAGATATCAGCATACCTCCGAATAGGACTTGTAAAATGAGTATAAATTGGTGCAGCTAAACCATAATGAGAGAAGGTTTCTTTACTGACGCTTCCACTGCAAAAGTATTCAGCAGATAGCATACAACGGGTTGCCATTATTCGGACCAAGGTATTAAAACTACCTTCTTGTTTATCAACACAGTTATCTAAAGATTTGGCCAGTGCTCCTGAAGATGAAACATCAAGGTTTAAGTTTTTCCTTTTAAATAAAATCTCTTGTAATCCTTCAAAGTTTTGTTTTGGTGGAGGTAAATGACGTCTGAGGATACTAGTTAATAATTAAATAATATGACTTTAGATTTACCAACCTTAAGACAGATGTACCAGGGAACGTTTCATTTATCTTTGTAGCAACGGTGCAATTAGCTAATAACATGAATTCTTCAACTAATTTGTTAGTTTCTTTGGATTCTTTTTGTTCAACGTCTATAGGTTCAGTAGATTCTGAACTATCTAAATGTATTTTAACTTCAGGTGAAGCTAAATCTAGTGCACCTCTTTCTAACCTTTTTTGCTTTAACTGAATAGCTATATGATTTAACAAACGAATTGCAACAGTTAAAGGATCATTTAAGGATTTATCATCCTTTCGTAATTGTGCTTCTTCATATGTAAAAGCAGATTTCGAAGCTATGACAGATTTATGAAATTTAATGTCGACTATTTCGGCGTTTGAATTTAATTCCCAAATGACACTGAATGCTAATCTTTCAACGTGTGGCCGTAAAGAACAAAGGTTGGTTCCAAGTAAAGATGGCAACATGTCAATTCTTTTATCGACTAAATAAACTGTCGTACCCCTTGAAGCAGCCTCTAAATCCATAGTTGTATCTGGATGAACGAAATGTGAAACATCAGCTATGTGAACACCTGCTTCGATATTACCATTTGGTAGGTACTTAGCATGTAAAGCATCATCAATATCAGTACAGCCTAATCACATAATTAACGAGTTGCAGCAATAAAAAAGATAACCTACCAGGAGGATCGATTGAGCAAATAACTTCATCACGTAAATCTACTCTATCTTTCCAAATTGGATTTGTAGAATCCTTTGAAGGAACGGTCCAAGATTCACCTTCTGGAGGCAAGCAATTTAGAATAGACTTTGAGAAAGCTCTATATGGTACGTCATACTCAAGTAATAAACTTTCAATTTCGGCTTCTTTTGATTCAACTTTACCTAAAGCTCTAACAAAATGACCCTGTGGATAACGGGAATTGATATTCCACTGATCAATTGCGACAACGACTTTTTGATCTATCAAATTTGAGGCTTGTCTGGTTTTAATTTTGATTTTTGGTATACGTCTGTCAATCGGACTAACAAAAACAGTTTGTTGTGATTGATTTGATGAAGTAGTGATAGTTGATTTATCCAAATGACAAACGTAAGACCTCCATTGACGTTTAATAATACCGACTACTTTACCAGTTGGTTGAACATTATCGTCTGAAGAAAGAATTTGCTCAGCAGGATTCAAATCATTTTCATCATCATCAATGACTTGATCTGAAGAGGATTTCCATTGAGATTTAGGTAATAATTGAATTACGACCTGATCGTCTTGTATAGATCTATTCATGGAATCTTTACCTAATAACAAGATAGGTTTATCAAAATCTCTAACATTTACTGATGCTTGAAGATAGTTGAACGTGTTGGCATTAAATTGACCTTGGAAAAGATTCTTCGATTTTAAGCCAGCTTGCAAAGTAGATAAAGGTAGATAATCCTGGTAAAAGATTGAATTAGCAGATTTATTTATAGAGGAAGAGTCGAAATCAGCGACTAAGTCTTGTAAAGTACTGTTATTAGGGAAGCCTTTAATATAGGATTGAATGGAAGATGAAGTGATGCCATCTGTTTGAGCTAACTTCAAATTTTCAACGTCATTCGTCAATAAAACGATAGATTTATTTGACAGAACAGAATTAAAGTATGTTGCAGCGGATCTAATTAATCTATCATTGAAGTCGTTTGGTGATTCATTTAATAAAGGTTTCGAGTGAGTAAAATTTGAGAATTCGTTATAGAAGATGAAGAATTTATCACTACTATTTAATACTAATTGCTTATATCTGTTAAATAAAGGTATAGAATTATGTTTGACTTCATCTAAAACTGTTTGTAGAATGATAACGTCCTTAAAATGACCAGATTCGAATAGATCAATTTGTGACAATAAAACGTTTGTATCCGGTAACAAATAGTGAGGATTATTGAAAAGCACATTATCTGTTATACCATTTGTTGATAAGGTAGATAAACCGTTATCAATATCATCCCTTGTGTAAACCTCCTTGGACAACTTTAATAATTGACCTTTATTTGATTTTTTTATAAAAGTTTTAATGAAGTTATGATTATAAGGTCTTTTTAAAATATTAATTTTATCGTCCATAGTGTTGGTTGAATAAGCACAACCACGAAAAGGAAGGGGGATGAAAGTGACTGGAATATTGAATAAAAGATCCGTTTGGAAGGGTATATTAATTAAATAATTATCTGAACGTTATTAATTATTATTATATAGGTCCTTTCTTCAGAAGTTTCCCAAATTTATTAGAATTAAAGAATACAAATCAAGTTATAAAAACTAATGCAAGGAATTGTACGATATTACCAAACTTTGTTGGTATGAAATTTGCAGTCCATAATGGTAAAAATTATATACCAATACAAGTAACTGAATCAATGATAGATTATAAATTCGGTTTCTTCGTACCAACGAGGAAGAAGTTTAGTTATAGATTAACTAAGAATAAATAATTTTTATATGACATTGACTTGTATTCTGATTCAAAAGTTTCTAAATTAATTCCATTATATAGATCTTTATCAATCTTTTGACGATAGCCAGATTTCTTTATCGCTGCGACAATCGATTGTTCTTTCGTCCAATTTTGTTCTGTTAACACATTTGGTAAGAATGTTGACTGATAATGACGATTGTTGTGATAAAAATCTATCTTAATACCCTCTAAACCAATCTTAAAATCGAAACAATCCAGTTTCTTTTTGAAGTTATGTAAGATTGATATACTGACAGATAAGTCATTTAAAATAGTTAAATTTATCGGATCAAAACGTTTATCCTCTAAAGCTGATATTAAAGAATATTGTCTTAAACCTTTTATTAGTTCAATTGATTTGAAGGTACCTATACAGCCCCTTAATCTACTGTTATGATTCCAAGTGACAAACATTGGGTATTTATCATTATTATCATTATTGATACTTGTTAATTTATGATTGTTATCATAATAATTTATTAAACTATCAAAACATAAGATCAGGTGCTTATCTTCTATTATCATAACTATGATGGATGAATTAATTAAAGAGCATAATGATTATAAATCAACAGAAATGATAAGCTTAAATAGATTAAATTATATGAAAGAAATCTCCAAAACTTTAATTATTAATTTGAATACAATAGATCAGCCATCTTTAAAGTATTTACTAAGCTCACATTATTCACCTATACAAGAGTTATTATATAATCGATACTTTTTAGAGCTATTTAACCACTTTATTTTAGATGATTTCCTAGATCAGCTATTATCTAACTTACCAACATCCAGCTCAATCTTATCTTTGACTTCTATAATAAAATCATCGAAAGATACGAATAAAATAAGTAAATCTAAATTCGTTTTATCAAATTTGTTATTAAAACCTAATGGTATTCAATCGTTATTACAGTTATCATTGAAATCTGATGAATTTAATCAACAAAAGATTAATTTCTTAGCTAAAATGTTATCAACTAAACCTACAAACATGATTGATGATACATATATAGAACTATTAATAAAAAATCTATTGCATACTACGTTATTCGATCCTCCAACAACTCACTTAAAAGTTATATCAAACACGATTGACTTATTACAATTAAAATCACCTTCATCAACTAATTATTATTTAGACCTCCATATACTAAACCCTTTTTTTCAATTAGACAATCCTAGTGCTATCACGAATGCATTATTATACATTAAACATTTAAATATTCACTCAAAGCTCATTTTAGACAATTATACAAATAGGTTATTACCAATACTTTTTAACCTTGCTCAACATTTAAATAATTCGAAGACCGTTAACCCTGATTTTAAACTTATTTTGGATGAAATTTTTGCGTCATGGTCAACCCATATTAGTAAAGAAAATGCTGTGAACTCCATTTGGTCCACTTTGAACTCTAATAATGGTTGGAACGATGATTCTCTAGAATGGTCTTCATCAAACCCTGATGGCTTACAGATTATTAAGAAGTCTTCATCTTCAACTAATAAACCAAATCTATTCAACATATCTCAACATGAACAAAATGACCTATTTGAAATTACACCGAACCCTCAATTATTAGCAACTTTCGTTATCAATATTCATAGGAAGGAAATATCAAGTAATATCCTAATTAAATGTCTCAGTCAATATCACGGTTTGGAAGACTTCTCAAATTATGAAATGCTGAACATTAAGGAAATTTTAAAATACCTTCAATTTTCAACTGCTCTAATTGAACAAATGGGTAGTACAGTTTTGGATAATAAAGATGAAATTCTAGGATTCATTTATCACACTTTACAAATACAACAATCATCAACTACTAATGAAACTGAAACTTTGAATAGACCTGCTAAAGGCTTACAAGATCTATTGATTTTTGAGACACAAAATGATACAGTAGAAAGCGATACAGACGAACATCTACAGTCTGTTGATCAGATATTAATCTCTACCGCATTATCCCTTCTCTTGGCTATATTAGAAGGTATGCTATTATTTCATCACTTGTCACTAAACTAATTCAAAATTAGCTAACAGTCATTTAAATGTTGATAATACACCATTGCTGGCATTAATTAATCAAAAATTAGATATCTTCATTGATCAATTTCCGGCAATTTCACCAGTTGCCAATGAATGCAAATTAGTTTTATTGGCTAGGAATGTTACAACTTCTGAGATGATGCCTTCAAATTCAGCTTATAAAGAGCAACATGAAATTTACCAACAATCTTTGAAAGAAATTCAAGATCCTTCATTACCTGTTAAAGCGCATGGATTAGATCAATTGAGGAAATTAGTTGAATCAACGGCATCAAAGAATCTTATCATACCTTACGATCAATTAACGTTAGACGAGACATTAATTGATGGTATACTCGATGTTTTCATCCAAGCAATAAAAGCGGATGATAGTTATATTTACCTTAATGCAGTACGTGGTTTGGTTATAATGATGGATAAAATAGGACATGAAATTATTGCTGAATTGTCAAAAAGATATTCAATTAATAAGACTTCCATCACAGAAATTGAATTAGACCAAAGATTAAGAATCGGTGAAGCAATTATACAAGTGTTTCAAAGGCTATCAAATGCTTTACCATCATACACTCATTTAATTTTACCTCAATTAATAAATGTTATGTCAAATAACGATTTTCCTGCATTATTAAGGGCTTCTAGTATAACGATTCTTAGTGAAGCTTGTTCAACTTGCATTAAAGCTATAGAACCTTACATATTCGAGGTATTAGATGGTATAAGAGACTTATTGGTGATAGAATCCTCGAAATCATCTAAAGATTTGGATAATCCTTTAGACAAAGATACAAAATTAGTTCAGTTAAAACGTTCTGCATTAATTTTCTTAGCTAGATTCTTTAGAGAAAATCGTAGAGATCGTGGGGTATACATACCCTCTGACTTAAAAAGTTCTATTATCACTAACGTTAAATACATTAGTGAAAGTGATAACGATGATCTTGTGAAACATCAAGCGATGGAACTTATTGATGAATTTGGCTGGTCAAATAAATTATTATAACTTATTTACTTATATAAATTGCATTCAATTTTTTATTTTTTGGTGCATTTAAACTCATAAAGCCCCTTTAAACAGAACTTCCATCCACTTTCTTAGAAAACGCAGATTAATCTGGATAATTTGTTGTAATCTTCAGTTTAATCTGTATATTTTCAAAATGACAGATGCCTGTGATGATCAGAATTTACCCTTTATTAGCGACAATTTGACAGCTAAGCTAGTCAATGACATGAGCTATCAAACAATTCTACTGAAGATTTCTGAGGCATTAATTGTATTTATATTGTAATAGTTCATACAAATAATATTTAATTTGATATTTAAAATGATGATATAGTTGTTTTCAGCATAACATAGTTTTTCAAGTTCCAGTATAATTTTCAAAAAGTACTATTTTAGTTGTAGCTGTACTTCAATTATCCTTTATTTCAGTAGCTTTTGGACTTAATATGGTAAACTTCATTACTTTATTGCTATTCGATGCTTTTAGTTACTGTTTCATGTTAATAATAAAATATATCGAATAAAGTAAAAAATATATCCATTAATGTACAAAATGAAATCAATCAAATTCACTTATGTCTGCAAACTCCTTGCAGTCGGTTGTAATTTGGCAACCTGATTAATTAAGGAAGCTGAAGTAGCCCTGGCGAGATGAGTTTCCGATTGACCTGGTGCTCCATTCTTCAATATCTCGGCAACCTTAATTACTGATACACGTACTATTGAAATTAGTTCTAGTTCAGATTATTCTAGCATCATACTTACTTTGTTCTATAGTAACGACTGGTGCGATTTTATCTAAAACATGAACAGATTTCAGTAAAACACCTGCAGCCAATGAGATCATCTATATAATTAACTTAGTTAATATTGTATCATTTTGTCAGGTACCCAACCAACCTTGATGTATATAAGTGGGAGTAACGACCATGTTGAACATAAAGGCTCTTCAGCTACAGCATCTAACATTTGAGCAGCTGCTTTAACTGCTGCTGTTGCGTATCTCCAGCGTTCACTAGATGTACCAAAGTTTTCTTCTTGAGATTGCATAATTGAATCACCGATGGCTATTTGGTTGATATAGAGACGAGCAAATAAATAAAATAATGTCAAAGACGTTGCTGGCCATTGATCAGCCGCAATAACTTCATGATGTTAGTTAAACTTCAAACTAGCGGAGGTAAAAGGGATTCACTCACGAGCTGATTCAGGTAAGTTCACACGTCTCCAACTTTCCAATTCTTCGTTCCAACCATCTAAACAGCTTCTTGTATCGGATAAATTAGAATTTAACCAGTCGCGACTATCTAAGGTTTGTCTAGCTTGTCTAAGGAGTGTACAAATTCTCGCATGAGCAACGAGTTGTTTATCGCGACTGTTATCATTTGGATGTCCAGGTGCTGAAGCCTCTAGTAGTAGAGTACAGAATGATGTAGGATCGTACATCTTTGATGGTCTGCTCGAATAGAAAGAAGCTTGAGATTCAACAACCTACATATAAAGTGAGATTTATTGTACTGGTTTTTATGACTTACATATGTAAAAAGCCATAATCTCAACCAATTTTCCAAACCTAGTTGTCTACGTGGAGGCAAATAACCACACGCTTCTCCTATGGTCATTTGAGGAGGTACTGAAAGCATAGAAGTTTTCAAAAAGCCTCTAGCCCATTTGAAAGCAACTTGTGCGATCATATGAGATGATGAGTTACAACCATCGATGGTAGATTTTTTTGGATTAGGTCTAGTAGACATATCGCAAAAGATTGATGCTATGCACATTGCTACTATTTCTTCAGGACCAACGCCTAATTCAAGATCCAACTCGTCATCATCAATTGACTCTTGATTTTGAGATGAATAATATTGAGTTATTGCTGGTTTGAACGAGAAATCATCAAGATCCACTAACAAATTTCCAACTAATGACCTCAAATTATCTGACAAAATGCGCTCGGACGAAGCTAAACAAATAACGCCTGTAATCAAAGGTGTAAGCGTTGATTTACCTTCAGGAAGGTATGGGAAATGTCCAATCTGTAATCTGAAACCGAACAATTGACTAGATAAATTAGAATGGAAAAAGTCAACAAGTTCCTCAGCCGCCGATTGCGAGATGACACCTTTCTTGATAACATTTGGACGAGGATCAAGAGAGCCAACCGTTAAACTATTCATATTTTCTTTTGTTGAATTAGCTGCTATATGATCTGATGTCGATTCTGGATTATCAAAGATAGGGTCAAGGCCAACTGGTTCAAAGTTCATCTGTTTAATATCTGAAACAGAATTATCAGATTTTATTGAATCAAGGTTATCAGGATCGAGTAATTCATCCAATATACTCAAAAAACCTGAAGTAGCATTAGGCCCATTTGAAGAATCTCCGAAATTTACTTGATTAGTAGTGTTATGAACATGTGTTTGGGCTAACAAGGCTGATGCACCTGATAAGGTAGTGTGATTTGGAACGGAGAAAGGTGAGAATGGTCCACCTGTTTTAGTAGAGTTGAGGTCAACATAACCTTTAAACAATGATGAAGCTTCATTATTTGGATTATCAGATGATTTACGAGTAACTGAGGATGTCGGGGGTGAAGGTAAGTTACCAGAAGTTTGAAATTTGGTTTGATTAACAAATTCTGAACCGCTATTCATATGATTCAAGAAGTTTTCCATGGATTGACTCATCCTATCGACCTTATCAGCCAATTGACTTATCCTAGACTCAACGGATGATTGCCATTCTTCGTCCTATATGATATTAGACATATTTTACGACTAATTATTAACTTACGTGGGTTCTGGTTCTAAATTTACACTCAACTCCTGTGGAAATACACCTCTTGCAAGGTTCACCCGGAACGGGTATTTCGCATTTCAACTGTATGAAATGGTTAGTAAGTACACATACATACGTTTATTTAAATTCTCGTGAATGAACTCACTTTTGCTCTTCTACAAGTCAAGCATGCTTTTTGCTTCTTCAGTTTGGTTACCGGCTGTCCCTGTGAATCTGTAGCCTGTATGGGGATTATACTAGCATCATCAATAGGATGGCTCTGTTTACTTCTTTTATTCTGACGCTCATATATTGACATGATTTATTTTATTAATCAAGATACATGTTTAAGGTAATAATTAATCATCCGCTTATTTAGGAAGTTACCTCATCGGGTGATAATGAAAAATCTACTTTCCTATTCTAGCTTTTTTTCTCTCTCTATAATTTTGCTTCTTAATTTCCCTGGTTTCTTTACGTTTATTTTGCTTTTCTTCGTGTACTTCACAACCTATGTTTTTTCCAAATAATCTACAGCAGCTTAAGCAAGCTTGACGCGTACATTTCTGAAATGCTGCAGCTGTACAGTTTTCACCAACACATACGGGTGTCTCTTTCACAGCTAGATGCTCCCTTTGTGGAACTATATCGTTTTCAATCTGTTGTTTTACGTCTATAACGTTTTAGAATATTATAAAAGTAAAAATTTCACATACCGATATTCTGTTCAACCTCAATATTATCTACATTGGTTGGACGCAGATATGGTTGAGCATAAAAGTATGGTACAGTTCTATATCCTTGTTCATCTAAATCTTTTACATCCGAAAGTTCATCTTCGTTCTTGAACTCTGCATCCGACTTTATCCTCGTTTCGAACTCTTCAACTATTCCTCGCCAATCCTTAGGCTGTCCTTTGCCCAACCTATCACGTAAATCTGTCCATTTGCTCAAACACGGTTTGAATATTTTGAATAGATGAGCTTTTTGAGCACTAACTGATGTTTCCGTCTTTAATGAATCCACTATATCCAGATATTCCTTTGCAACTTTGACGACATATGGATGACTAGCTTTCTCACTAAAAATTGCTGGGTTGTACAAATTACCCTTATTTTGTTAGAAAAAAAATATATGTAGAATGTTAGCTTACCTCTGCTGACATGACACCATCACAACCTGTTGCTTTAAGACATTTTTCGATATCTTCTTGATAGAGTATGTTACCATTAGCAAATACTGGGACGTTAACTGCATCTTTAACTGCTTTAATCTTCTCCCAATCTGCAAGTCCCTAATAATTATTAAGAAAAATTAAAGAAGTCAGGTGATAACATACTGTGTTATGTCCTTTCATTTCTCTAGTGCGACCATGTACGGTCAATATTTGGGCCCCTGCACTTTCCAAAAGCTTTGCATACTCTACTGTACGATTGACGTCATCAAATACTCTAAACTTTGCTGTAACAGGTATATCTTGAAGATTTTCATGTAACGTGTTAACTGAAAATGTTAATATAATACGAGAATATCTAATTCATCTTACTCAAACTATGTATCAAGTCCCATTCATCCTGTAACCAGGAGCCATAACGACCTCGTCTAGCGATATGCTATTGGAGTCAATTTTTAGTATAGTGTATAGAAAATAAACATACCTGTGGACAACCGAGGTTTAAATCGACAGCATCACATTTACCTTGTAAGTCTTTAGCTGATTCTAAAAGTAATTTAGGATCGTTGGCAGCGAATTGCACAATCAATGGTCTATCAAGATTATCAGCACCTTCTTCATTGTTGATCTTATCAAACCAAATCTTTTTACTTGAATCAGTTTTCAGTTGCGAATATTGTTTAGCATTTATCATAGGTGTATAAGCCAATGTAGCACCATATCTACGTGAGAGAATTCTCCAAGCGAGTTCAGATTGATCAACCATAGGAGCTACAATCTTTTTTGGTCTACCTAAAGCTTCATAAAGTTCCCAGCCTGTTAGCTTTTTAGTTCCACTCTCATTTGACATTTCAATCTTCTTTGTATACGGTCAAACTTCTAGTAGTGATGGCAAAACCACAGATTTTGGGTGAGTATCAAGTATAAAATGTTATTAAAATATTAAAATTTATTAGTTTTACATGGATGTATGTAGTTACTTATTTATTAATTCATTATTAATCAATATAGATACACAATCAGCATACATTTTCTCAAAAAAGATAGGAGCTGTTAGAAAAGCTGTAATGAGTAAATTAATAGCTTTAGATTTAATATACTTACGAAAATTAGCTCAGAGATTGCTGTGATTTGCATTTCATTGACGGTCCTATCGAATTAGATAAGAGTGACTTACCAAATGCTGAAATGTACGATAGTATGTTTGTAGATTCTGCACCTAGAGCTTGGTATGTTACTAGAAAGAATCACAAAACAGATAATACAGATTGTGGGTTTCGATAGTATACAGTTATATCAACTCATGTACTATCAGTTGAACGGTTCGATGAATCTTGGACTGAAATAAAGGAACTTCTTTCAAAACAAAAGTTTGACGGTATATTAGGATTCAGTCAAGGTGCTGGTTTCGCAGCTGCTTTATCAGCTGTACTTGTTAATCCGGATTTAAGACCAGAGTTTAAGGACGTACACCCTCCTTTTAAGTTTTGCATCACTGTTGGAGGTTTTAAAATCCATGATAAAGCATATGATCATCTATACCCACTTCCGGTATCTGGAGATAAGACACATTTCTTACACGTCATTGGGGATAATGATATGATAGTTACACCGGAAAGGAGCGCGTCACTTGTTGAAAATAGCCCAAATGGTCGTTGTGAGAGGCATCCTGGTGGTCACTGTGAGTCAAATCGTAATTTTTATGATAATAAAGCTAACAAAACAAACAGTTGTACCATCTAGTGCTCCATGGAGGCACTTCTTCCTGAGATACATTGATAGCTTCAATGAAGGAGGTTCTTTTGGTAACGTTGAAGGACCTCAACCAACACCAGAAAGTTTGGTAGCGAAATCATTACAAGGTACGCCTTCTAGCCAATCAAGTAACCTCTAAAAGTCAACAATTAAAATGATTATTCAAGAATTACATTAGAAACTACAGTCGTGACTAGGCAGAAGTTAATATCCGTAACTAGGTTTAAAATTCCTTAAAGAGATGTCCTAAAGAGATGTTAAAATTATATAATCATATAAATCTTTCTTACCCCATGTATCATCTCCTGCTTGACCATAAAGACTAACATCGTTTTCTTGGTACTTGTCAAATTGGCTAGAATCACCATCACCCGCGATTTTGGGGATATAAGGAGCAGGAATTGCTCGATTATATAACCTGTTCCAATCTACCTCTTTGAACCACTCATGCGTGAATACATCGCGACTTCCATGTTGTAAGTTACCAAAACGTTTTGATAAATCGGCCATTAATAATTGCTTCAATAGATCTTTAGCAACTGGGTCAAAGTAAGAAGGAAACTTTGGCTTATTTGCGATGATCTTTTCGTATAGTTTCATAGGATTTGAATCTTCAGTGTAGAAAGGTGGATAACTGTATTATTAATTAGTACTTATATATTGGAAGATAAGAAATAAATACCCAGCAAGCATTTCAAATATTAAAACACCCAATGCATACCAGTCAACCGATTTATTGTAGCCTTTAGATTGAACTATTTCTGGAGCTAAATAATCTGGTGTACCTAATGAGAGATGAATATAAAATGTGTTTAAAATTAAAAACCTACCACAAAGTGTCCATGTAACATCTGGGACATACTTTGCGAAACCGAAATCCGTTATTTTAATATGTCCGTCTGCACCAAGTAGAATGTTCTCAGGTTTGAGATCACGATAGATAATATCTAAACTATGGAGATAATCAAGTGCTAAAGCTACTTCTGCAGCGTAAAATTTAGCCACTGGATTTGGAAAGCGCTGTTTGAATGTCTTAGATTAATCTAAATTACGTGTAATTAAATCTCACCTGAGATTTACGAAGTAAAGAAAATAATTCACCACCAGCGACAAAGTCCATAACCATGTAAAGATTCTTTGGATCTTGGAAGGTGCCCCATAAGTTGACTAAGAAAGGATGACGAACTCGTGCCAACATGTCACGCTCGGAGACAGTATGCTCAACTTGCTTCATTTTAACGACTTGATCTTTTGCTAATACTTTGATAGCATAAAATCTAGAGTTATGATTTGATTTCACGAGATGTACACGTCCAAATGAACCGGTACCTAAGGTCCTTTCAAGGACGAAATCCTTCAGAGTGTATCTTCCTTGAGTTTTGCGTGGTTGAACTTTATTATAACTAGAATTTGGAGTAGCTGGTTGTTGTAGCTGTTGTTGAGTTGGTTTATTATCATCCAACTGAGTAGAAGGTGCTAAACTTGGATGCAGTTTATTAGAATGATTGTTTGAGCTTTCTACTTGAGATTTAAAGTCTTTCTGTTGTGAAAAATCATTGTCAGAATTGTTAATAGGCGGCGTATTCGGATGATTTGGGGTAGTACTATTAGGGATAGCGGGAGAAGACTTTGATTGATTATTTTGTGAGTTAATATCTTTACTAGAGCTATGGCTATGATGGCCTATATGCAATTTCTCTAAAAGACCCATCGATGATGTCGTTGTGAGAAAAGAAAGAGTGGGAAATTACAACATTTATTCATTTTCAGATAAATAAGCTTTACGATTATATGTAGCTTGATCTCTAAGCCATTGCCTATATGTTTGTAAAGAATAAACGTTTTCACCGTAGTAATCTAAATTGATTGTCAACTTGTTATGTCATGGACTCAGACAACATACCTGGAACTGGATTTTGTACTGATTGTCTCGCTGGATCAACTCTATTCTTCATTACTTTTGTTCTTTAGCTCGAAACTTTTAACTCCAAATTAAACTTACTATGATGATAGAAAACTCTCTCCTTTATTTCATACTCAGGTAACTTTGCCTTGTGTAAGAACTTCCAGACTGCTGTACCCAGCGTTGGACCTGTTAACCAACCAAGTGCACCACAACCTAACTAATATTACGTCGTTAATCAATCAATAGATATCAGATTATGATTTAACTAACTGATGCAAATGAATAAACCCAGACAGCTTCGATTCCTATTGAAATTCTTAATAAATTCCTTTCGACTCCTTAATTCTTACCGAAAATAATCTGTCCTGGATCTAAGGTAGAGAAGTAGCTAGCACCACCGAAGAAACCTGTCAATGTGGTAGGAATACTAGCTATATTATCATATCTATCTATTATTTCATTAGTATAAGTCATTTACTATCTAAAATTTAAACTTACGACGTGACTTCCGTATAGCTAAGAACTCCTGCCAATTTAAAGGCTCTGCACCTTGTATTCTAGGCTCAGACTTGTTGAGAGTAGATAAAGATTTGATAAGTATATTTTTATTCTTATTATCCAGCAATCTTCTAGTTATCATCTTCGTCGTTTACATCCAAGATGGTAGGAGATAACGACAATTATGAATAAATTTTAATCTACTCTTAGGCTAGAAATTCAGAGAAATCGCAATCTATGTTATTCAGGTTTAGGGAGGCTAAACTTAGTGAGATGGGTATGGCTACACGATTCAGTCGTAGACCAAAAATGGTATCTTTAGTTACATCTATAAGGGATTGTGAACGTTTTAGAGGTGAAATTCTTAGAGAGATTAGTAGAAAAGTTGATAAAATACAAGACGCTGGTTTAACAGATTATGAAGTTAGAGATCTCAATGATGAGATTAATGGTCTACTTAGGGAGAAAGCAAACTTTGAAAGGCAAATAGTTAGTCTTGGCGGTGCTAATTACAGAAGAGCTGGCGTTATGTTAGATGAATCCGGCAAAGAAATTCCTGGTACCCGTGGTTACAAGTACTTCGGACGCGCGAAAGACTTACCTGGTGTTAAGGAACTATTTGAGCGTACTGATCAAGAAGAGGAAGCTGAGGATGATCTCTATAAGCCATTCACTGATCAAGGTCCTGAATATTACGGTGATACTACTGAAGGAAATGACGAATTGTTAGCATACGAGTACGAACTAGAACAAAAATGTGAGTTTATTATTATCATTCATCAATTTACTAATTATATTAGCACATCAAAAAGCTATCGATAGACTCAAAGTTGTATTTAACACAGCGGATCTTCATGATAGCCAGAAAACTGAGATACCACGACCGCTGGGAGATTTAGTAAACGGTGTCAAAACGAATAAGCTCACTAATATCCATTCTGACTTCATACAAGACGCCTATCTAGAGACACCACAATTACCTACCAAAGAGGAGACTGATAAGGCTTTGCTCGATATACGCAAGCAAGCATTAATGTCTGAATACGGAGTTTAATGTATTAATTTATGCATATATTGTTGTAATATCTTTTTCCTTACCTACTATCATCAATTAAGAATGCCGAATGTAAAGCAATCAGCTATACATGAAGCTACTATTGAAGATGAAAGTGTAGGTGGTATAAGGAATGCTAAAAGACGTGAAGCTGCTAGTGAAAAACGTCGTGTAATTGAAGTCAACCCGTCAGCGACGCTGAAAGCGAACAAAGCGACATTAAAGGAGAAGGTTGATGAATACAAGGTAGAATTGTTAGGAAAACGTAAAAGAAAGTCAAAAAAATGGGCGAAAGAAGTTGATCCAAATGTATTACTTGACGGAGGAACTTCCAGTAACTCTGATAAACGTAAGCCGATGTTTATTTATCGATGACTACTCTAACATGACGATATGTAGTACCATCAGCTGTTCGTTCCTACTTTACACCTTATCAACGCTAAAGCGTCATTGTCTAGAATATTATGAAGCTTATATACGGTCATACAGCCAACTATTACCATGAAAAAGGTATACTATCTACGAGTAAAGATGATGATACTACTGAGCCATCCATACCACAACAAAACATGTCCTACGCTTTCGATGGAAGTTCATTAATCTGTATGGGTAAGATTATCACTCCTTGAAAGATCACAATATAACATTGAAGTAATTAGGTTTTTTATTTGAGGAGTTGATAGCACATTACACGAAGGATCTCGTTGATGAGGATGACTTGGAAGCTGGATTAGGCTTAGATTTGGAAGACCATCAGCTGCAGATTGGTGTCATTAAACCTTACATGACACCTACAGCAAAAAGCGATAGTATCGGTACTTCTAGTCAATCTATTTGTCAATCACAGCATGCCCAGAAACTTGAGAGTCCAATGTTGGGTACAATACCAAAAGCACATTCATCAGATCATTCAGACGATGATCTCAGTCTTGCTAGCGATCATGACGAAAAAGATGATAAAAGAAGCATGTCTATACCCTCAATTCGTTCTAATTCAGTAGATTGATACCATCCTCCAAGTAGGAACCTTGAATGTAGTACGATAGTAAGTTAATTACTACTAAATTTATGTGTTTTGTTTCAAAACATCATCTCATGCTAACTTCTCAATGAATGATGTCAAAGTCGTTGTAACCTGATATGTATAAATTTTATACATTTGCATGTTACAATTCTACTCGGTTCTCAAAAGCTTTGTGACAGTATCAAGCTTAACACGGAGCTCTTCAATTGCCTTAGTTCTGAAAAGTTGCATTAGTAAGATTTCGAGGCGATAGGAAGATAAACTTACTCGTCTTGAAGAACACTTTCAACTTTGGCTATTTGAGATGATCCAATGATTCCTGTTTGACTGCGTTTCATTGCTTCAGTAGCTTCATAAGACTGGACCTGTGGTTTAAGGAGTTCTAACTGATGTGAAAGCTAGTACAATATGTTAAATGATTAATAAACATTGAAATAACCCCTACTCTGCTCATGCGAGCTTGTAAAGCTCTTCCTTTACTATCAGTTCCACTAACTTCGTCACGTATTCTACCAAGTTCTGCGAACCATTTCTTTTCATGTGTCGATAAAGTTGGTTGATGCTTGTCCATCAAACGCTGCAATAAATTGTCCATTCTCTTCAACAACTCGCTCTGTTCATTAGAAACTTTTTCTACTCTGGCACCCTTTCCTGTACCGACGCCCGCTTCATTGGACGGATTAGTCGCTATCTTTGCAACATGTGCTAACTTTTCTATTTGCTTTTCAGTTTCCTTCAACTGGAGAGATAATCTATCTTGTATGTTATTGCCAGTTTGAATTGAATTCTGATTATGATGCCTGACATTCTCGACAACACCTCCCATATAACGAAGCGTTTGCGGGGTAACTTGGATTTCAGCACGAGTGTTTACTGGTGCAAGTTTATGAGAAAGATTAATTTTATTAGAACCATCAGGTTGATCCTGTATGAAGGGACTTTCCAAAAGACTACTGTAAAGTTTGCGCTCCTCGTTTGATGCTTGATTGGAACTGCTTGGTTTTGAGGTAGCACTGTCAGATACCTTTGGCAACATCTGTGGCTTTGGCTTTGTTTCAATTGTTTCAGGATCTGTCTGAACGCGTAATGACAAATCCAATGGCAATATTTGCATAGTGTTCGTAAGAGCAAAGAGCAAATAACCCAAATAAGCATCATTTATAACGTCAAGCGCAACGATCGGGGTAGATTGCGCAGAGGAAGTGGTACTTGTCCTGATTACATGTACTAGTGTTGAATCTCTAGTGAGGCTGTCAACCTGATCGAGTTCATCAAGCCAAGGTTTAAAAACCAAGGCATGTACACCTTCTGCATGACTAATATAAATTGTATCTTCATATATAGGATCTTTTGAGAGAGTTGGGTATCCAAAGTCATGCGATTGCAAGATTTTTATGCTTTCATAAGTTGATATAATTGGTGGCGTTGCATGTGACTCCTGTAATATAATCAGGTCCATCTTCATACATATATTCGTACTTACAGCTTTTGAAGACCAGCGACCTTCAGCTTTCACTACTTCTAAGCATATATCGACACGACCGTCAGTAAATGCCACCACGAAGATATCGACAGGACAATCTTTAGGACGAATGATAAGAATATCTGATGCGTCAGATTCATATTCTTCATCAGTTGGTGCAGGCTGTACTAAGTAAGGACCCTGACGAAGCAGAGATCCTGTAGCTCTTGGAGGGTTACATTTAAAGCCTGCTATATTCTCTTCACCCAGCTTAATTTGCTTTACGACTGCATTCAACCATCTCATCTGTTGACTCAGTCGAGCTTCAATGAGACTATCTTCTGTGACTTTCATTAGCTTGGCTTCTGTGATACCCTTCAAATTTTGAATATATGATGTAGGTACTTGTCTAATAACTTGTAAATACTCTATAAATCATATTACGCGAAACTTACGCGTTATTTGGCATAAATGGACAAATAGCAAAAACATCACCATTCTTCATAAGTCCATAAAGAGTCAAAGGGCCCCAATCAGAGTCACCTCTGCCAATATCGAACGAAACACATTCAGTGCTTCTCTCATCATCAGCACTGAAACCTTTACTCTTATTTGAAAACTGTTGGTTGGTAACTGATCCAGGCATGGCTGCTGCTTGAACAAATGAGATACTCTGCTGTGGATCCTCTGAATCAATACTGATATCATACTCTCTGAAGTTAGCATCTCGTGTAAGTACCATCAAGGACGATGCAGAAAGCGACCAGGGATGCCAATCAACCTTAGCTATCTCGGATGAACCTTTAATAGCATGATAATATTGCCCAACCTGGATTGAGCGGCATTCAATTAATGGTGTAACCAATTTAGAGTAGCCTGGACGAGGAAGAACAACTACAACGACTTGATGACTTCCAACGACAGCCAATAGCTTCTTTGTTGAGTTCAAGACGAGGCTTTGTATATCAAAGGTGATAGTTGGTGTATGTAATGTCTAATAGAGTACTTTAATAGTGTAATTGCAGGAAATGAAAAAACCAACCTTTAAATTGATATTGCTAGTACTAGGATCACTTGCTTTTAGCTCTGATAAGCTCATAATCTTTATTTCATTCCTTTCGGCAAAGATGAGATCGCTGTTACGTATGGCCAGTTTATTCGATTTGCTATCATTTAATTGTTGTATATCAGATTTCCTTTCTGCAAAAGCTTCTATAAGATTTTCTAGCCATTCTTCCTGATATTCCATCGTTGTTTTGATCAAAGAGATGCAAGAAGACGAGCTATTTAATAATGCTGGAATGGCTTTACTCCATTGTTGCGCTACAGATGATATAGAAAACGTAAAGCAACTTATTGATAAAGGAGCGCCTATTTATTATCAAGACGCAAGTTCTGGCTATACTTGCTTGCATTTTGCGGCTGATATACAAAGTACAAAGTTGGTTAAATATTTAATATCTCAAGGTGCAACTTGGAATGCATTAGATCATACTGGATACACACCTGCTGAGATTGCTTTATCATACGGTAATGAAAAAATCTATGAGGAAATTGTAGGCGAAGGTGTACGAGCAGGTTGGTAATGAAAATGTAAACCATGAAATCTAATTAAGTTTTAGAATTTCTCTTAAATTTATTAGGACAAAAAGCAGAAAACGATGAAGCAGATCCAGCATCTAGTTTAAACGCATTCCTTTCCTCAAAATTAACATACGAGTATGACGATAATGGACAAGAGCGCGTTGTAGACTCTGCTGGAGATCCAGTCATGATGGCTTGGGAAACACCCATCAGTATGTTTTCATAATGTTACTTTATTATCTAACATATCCAGTGAAAAGTTCCGTAGCGGCTCTTTGTGACAATCATGAGGATGCGTCAGACGAAGGTCTAGCTATCCTGAATGTCGGTTTTGGTTTAGGTATCGTAAGTGAACATCACAGGTGATAATTTTCTTATTTCATGACACATACAGATTGATACCGAATTCCAAAAGCAACAACCATCGAATCACACCATTATTGAAGCACACCCTGATGTTCTCAAACATATGAAAGAAACTGGTTGGTATGATAAACCCGGTGTGAGGATTTGCGAAGGTAAATGGCAAGATTTCATTTATGAAATTGGACAATTTGATGTTATTTACGTAAGTAATATTATTAAAAATATCTTTTAACTTATTCGACCAAGTTTGATACATTTTCTGAACACTGTAGGCTTCATTTTCGCAACCATGGTCAAGCTAATTATTTTAGATCGCGATCTACATGCTTTCTTTGAGCATATACCTGAACTAGTTAATTCACCTAACTCTCGTTTCTCGTTCTTCCATGGATTGGGTGCAACAAATCCAGTTTTCTGTATGTCTCACTTGCACGCAACTGGTAAAATCACTCACTCTACTATTTTAGATGACGTTTATACACGTATCTCAGACCTTCACCTTGATCAAATTGGTATGTCAGCAGAATGGCAAGACGTACCTGTCAAAGAGTTATCAGCAGTCTGGAAAGGTGTCAGACGGTCATATTGGAATTTGTGAGTATAGAAGGCAAATATACAATAATAACTTTAACATACCTTCTCAGGCCATGTTATAAATTACCAATAGCAAAAATGAATATTTTCTAATGATGAATGCATTCTTACATCGCAATTAAAATTGATTATCATGAAAGTTTAAAATTACATTTGAAACGTTTATCCGTCGTTTCTTAATTTGCTTTGCTTATGCTAAGGAATATTCAGATACAATGATGTTTTTATAACATCATAACGTCGATTTGTAGGTCTCTGGCTACAGACCTCCAGTCTTTATTAGCGATTCCTTTATCTTGCCTCTGCCAGCATTCCTTTACAATCTTTTCAGCGCACTCCAAATCTGAGCAATACCATTCTCGACAGGAACTAAAGAGTTGCTGAACCCAATCCCTATCCTCAGGTTTGTACATTTGTACACCACTTATAATAATAGCCCAAATCAGCATAACTGCCATGCCCATTTCACGAGTTGCTTCACTACAAAGACCTAAAACTGCTCTAGCCGCCGATTGTATGCTACTATCTTGCATTGAAATGTTAAAAATCTCTCTTGATAAGAAAATCATTAGAGTGTGTCTATAAATGAGGTCACCACACTGAATTATTGTTAAAAAAGAATAATTTTCTAGTATTAAACTCACCTCGACTCTTTGATGTCTAATAACAACAGATTGTTTAGTCATATTCTCCAATTCGCCATACATAGCAAAAGTCCGTGAACGAAGATCCTGCATAGCGTTTAACAATTCAACAGGTAAAATGCCTTTGAGAGACTCCGCTTCACTTTCATCAATCGGAATGGGTATTTTAAGGTTCCGTCTTTGGTTATAGAGCTTGCAAGACCGTGCAATTATATCCAACATGTATCTACTCATACCATAACTCCTTTCAAAGCTTTCATAATGTTCGCTGTTGAGTTTTTCATCAGTTTCCATATCGAACCACCAAGATTGATTATCATCACCGAGCAATTGAGGAGTTTCACCTGTCGTTAGGCAAGCAAATACTTCATGAGCAGTTAATTCTTCTAAGAATGTCTTCCTAATAAATAAAGACTTTTTCGATACGTTATGCATCAAACGAAGATTCCTATCTAAGCCAAGCATAGCGGCTGGACCACCTAAATTCCTCACTAAAGCCAATGCAACGTTCATACTTTGTCTCCAATCGACACTGGCACTTAAAACATCATATTTGAGCACAGCGATGAATGCTAAAAGTGACATGTCAACGTCCTGATTATTGTGAGCATCATTCAATAGTGGCATCATGACTTGTTTTAGCGCCATACTTTTAAGGTGCTTCGACAAATTGAGTTCTTGACTGGCCTCCAAACCTTGCTTTTGACGTATGAAGTGCATATGAGTAGCTGAAATGGCTAAAATACCATATGTGATAGCGGCTTGATTTGAATTTAAAACCAAAGGTATTGACAAAGCTAGAAAAGGATTCTTAGGTTCATTTATAGCGCAAAGTAACTTCTTAGATTCGCTGAGGAAGTTGTGTAATAATTGACGGGATTGAGGATTGGCATTGATAATGCTATTCGAATGTTGGAAACTGTCATTAATTAAAGGTGGCAAAGAGCTAGGGGATGAAGTTGATGTCGCTGGTGATGGTCTATTATAGACATATTCATTCTCTGTGTTTCCATTGAGTATGGGAGGTGAAGGAAAAAAAGGCGGAGGTGATACATAGTTAGCATATTCACTTGCGAACGCAGGAGGAGAATTCGTTCCTACCAAGTTACCTGTGAGACGTTAGTAAAACTTTCTAACCGACGCCTACCCCACTCACTGTTGAAGGAGCTAAAAGGGACAGAGACGGTAGACATAGTACTGGTGTTCATCATAGCTGGGTCTAATTGAGGAGGGAGCATCCTTGAAGTAGCTGGATCAAAGAAGGAAGTTGGAGGAAGAGCTGATGACCCTGAAGGTAAGACAGACATAGCCGAGCTGGTTGAAGGTACCGGTAAAGTGTTCTGAGTGATTGGTTGAACTGATGGGAGATGATGTTGGGATGAAGAGTCGTAAATAGCCGGTAGAGCTAACTCTTCAGATTCTACTTTAACGTCTGGGGCAGATTGGATGAGCTGAGCAAGCAATTTGCTGCCAAGAAGGGCTTGAAGACGTTTTAGAGAAAGTTCAGGGTCAGCGAAAGGATCAATGTAGGTTGTTTGATAGTTCTGCTTCGTGCGCTCTGTATGGCTTGATGTCTCGGGTGGCTCCACCGAGCGAGCAGAAGTCGAAGGACTAGATACTTTCCTACGCTTGTTATTCTGAGTTTCATTTGGATTAGGGTAAGTGCATTCTCGACCGAGACTTGTGCACTTTAAGCAAACAGGGGTCATCATATCGCATTTGACCTTTCGCTTGCGGCAGGTAAGACAGCCATCCCTTGAGCGCTTAAACTTGGGTCTTTGAGATTTATTAGATGCAGTATTAGCGGACTCGCTTGGCAACCTGTCATTCTGAGTGATTATTTCTGTAAGCGAAGATTTAGTTAGTAAGCGAATAGAAGAAGGAATAAGCGAAATAAGCTCACCACTAAGTCGGGGTAGTGAATCTTGTACAGCTGGATGAGTAGATCCCATTAGATTGATCATATTTTGCACTGGATGCGAATTAGCATCAGAGGACATTATAGTGGAGTGAGTTGAAGGAAAGAGGATACCAAAAAAGTCTATGAAAATAGCTATATAGAATCTGCTATAGAATTTATAACTATTCTTTCTCTAGTCTGCCCCTTTCTTATCAATTTACGGCCAGAATGTCGGACGGATACTGGCTGGACAGTATAGATAGCAAAGGATTAGAAGGCCAGGCGCTGTTTGAACATAGAAGGAAATTATGGACTCAGCCTACGAAAAAGACAGAGGGTAGATTACAAGAGAGAAGAGATAATCCTGGATTTAGAAAGCTTATAGAGCTGATTGATAGCGCAAAAGATAGAGAGAACTTCACGGATATTTGGGACAAGGGAATTAGGAACATATACAATAACCTAGTCCAGGGACAGAGATTATCGCAGCCTCTACCGTTGGAGATAATAGTGAGTATCTAACTCAAGTAACAAAATTATCTTATAAATAAAAGGTACAAGTCGTATGCAAAGCTGCCTGGGTTGAACTCGGTATTTGGCCCTTGGACTACGTGAAAACACCAGATCCAGCACCAATTGTACCGCGAGCGTTTATGAATATAAATTAGTTAGGGGATATCTGTAATAATTGTTAGCTTTCACCGTCTAGTCTGTCGTCCAACGCACTAATATAACACCATCTCCTCTGATATACAACATTGGCATAGATCTCTTCACAAACCTCGTCGTTGACTCTAAAGTGGTAGAATCTACGTCTACGACGGTGACGAACTCGTCTACATTTCCTAATATCAAGTTCATGTGTGAATCGTATGCCTATAGTTTGTTAATAGGCGGTTCAGACTATAAGAAGACGCTAACGTGTAATACACCGATCAGCTCCCTATCACCTCTCAATTTAACCTTGATTTGTTCATTCAAACTCAGCCTGACGAGGTCTAACGGTTCTTTAATAGCTTCTGTCATCGACGTCCTATTGATAGAATGACAAAACAGAAATTCTATTGCGATTATTGCGATGTTTTCCTTACACACAATTCAGCTGCAGGTAGTTTTTTTATTAGCTATCTTATAGAACTTACTAACTATCGTTCTAGTTAGAAAAGCTCACAATTCTGGTAGAAACCATCTAATAAACGTAAAAGATTACTATGCTTGTGAGTTCATTTTTATATTGTCTTATATTTACACACTTACTCACTCCATTATAGCCCTCGGTCACGACAAAGCACAATTCATCATCGACGAAATCTGCAGGATACATGAATCTGGATTAGCTAGACCACCACCAACGCTTAACAAATTCAATGGTCCAGCTGGTTTAACTGCACCTCCAATGATGCGTCCACCACCTCCAGGTCAGTATTTATATTGGTATACTAGCAAATCTTTCTAATTAACTACTACAGGTGCTCCTCCAGGTGTTAGACCAGCATTCCCAGGAATGCGTCCACCATTTAGACCGCCTCCACCACAATTCAGACCACCACCACCACCAAGACCGCAATAGATATGTACTATAGTCTTATTAATGTATTTATTATCAACTATTAACTTCTTCTTTCTTAACTACCAATGCAATCTGACGAAATTGATAGCATTCTCCGCTGGATTGATAGTGAGGACAGGGATGCTTTAATAAATAACCCTTTAGATTTCTTAAGAAAGAATCTGTACACTTTACCACCAAATTTACTCATTTACTTTGAATCTATTACAACACCTAAAGAACGATCACAAATTGCCATTATAAAGAAACGTAGAATAAACTTCGCTAAATCTTCAACTGATACATTCAAGTCAGACGCTGGTAGATTTAGAGATCCATCCAATTTTGAATTATCTGTAGAACGTAATGAGAAAGGTCATCATCCGAGTTTTCAATATGCTCAAGATGCAGGTCAAAGTGAATCTAAATGGTTAGAGAATGAATCTATGATGTCTAATAACACAAAATTAAATAAATTAGGTTCACTCTTATCCGAATATGAATCTGAGAGGGATAGTCGATCATATACGCAATCTAAATTATCAGCAATTAAAAATGATAATTCTAATATACTTGGTAAATCAATAATTGATGGTAAAGAAGCATTTGAAAGAATTTTATTAGAAAATTGGATTGATGGTGTTGACGATAAGCTAGACTATTCCATAGATTTTGACGATAAATGGGACACATATACGACAACTAACCCAAGCGAGTTAGATGAAGACATTGATCAGTCAAATTACTTCCAAGATAGTGATTAAAATGTTGTTAATTATACATAATTCTCATATTAAAACAAAGAAACGAAATTTGAAGGGAAAAGTGTCTTTCCTGGTACATATCTAGATTCATTTAGCAACTGACCTGTCCACCAACCGTCTTCAGGTGTCTTGAATACTGCAATCACGTCACCAGCTTTAAAGTCAAACTCTTCTGCAGTTTGTGCTTGGTAATCGTATAATGCCTTAACATGGAATAAGACTGGCTCTTTTGCAGGACTAGTTGAAATTGGTCTTGGCGTTGGTCCAGGTGAAGGTTGTCTATACATTTGTTGTTGTGATGTTCCGCTAGCACTACTTAATGGTTGAGGTGTTTGAGATAATTGTTGAGTTTGAATTGATGGTACAAATGGTGCTTGTTGTGGCTGCTGTTGCGGTCCTGGTGTAACTGACATACTATAAGCTGGTGTAGGTGATGGTGATGGTGCCCTTTGCTGTTGTTGTTGATAAGCATTTAACATTGGTGCAGGCGTTCCAGACGTTGCAAACTGTGGGTTATATCCTGGTCCAGGTGTATTTGTCATAACATAAGGCTGTTGTGGCATTTGCTGTTGACCAGGATATGGATAATACTGTTGATATTGTTGATAAGGATTTGGAGCTTGTGGATGTTGCGGTTGTTGGGCTTGTTGTGGCTGTTGCTGAGATTGCTGCGCAAGCATCATTTGGTATTGATAGTAAGCTTGCGCTTGTTGCATTTGCTGTTGTTGTTGGGCAGGCATCATGTTAGATTGAGAAACCGGAGCAGGTGTAGGCGATGGAGACACTGAACGTCTCTTCTCCTTCCATTCCTCTGCCTTTTGATCATGAGCAACCTCTCCAGAAGCATTCAAGGATATTCCAAGTGGTGTCGCTGATCTCTGAGGTGAAGCTGCACTTATACTGGGTGATGGTTGCCTACTACCGGCTCCATTAGCACCAATACCTGCAAAACCTTCTCTTGATGGTGATCTACCCATTGCCGATAAAGGTCTAGCATTCGTTGGTCCAGGTGACACTGTCTGTGGGGTGGTACCTTGCGATTGTTGCTCCATTTTAGAGTTACGACGTGACCGCTCGTGCGGTAATTGTTGATGGTAAGTGGTCAAAACATCTTCAACAGGTCCACCAGCAGTTGACTGACTAGATGCAGGTCTCTGCATCATTGCTGGGAAAGGTGGTGTTGTATGTGGTGCATATTTTTGCTGAATTTGAAGTGCTTGGATTTGAGATGCGTCCAATCCTTGATACATCTTGTTTTGGTTTTGATTGACTGGCATTTGTGATCCAGGTGGTACTAAAGCTGGTTGTGTAGAAGCAGATTGTTGTGATACTGGTCTTGAACGCGGTTTCTTCTCAGCTTGTGCAGCGACATTCGCACGTAAGTTACCTGTAACTGGTGGTGCATTTCTTAATTGTGCAAGAGCAGCAGCCAATTCATCCACGTCCCCACTCTCAGAGCTCTTCTCTTCCTTTTCTGGCTTTGGTGGTGCAACATCCTCCTTCTTAGGAGCTGCTGGACGATCAGCACTGCGAGCTGGAAGTTGAGGTACCTTGAAAGGCTTATTCTCATCATTCTTAGGATCTCTTGGTGGTGCCTTCTGTACTTTCGGCTCTTCGATAACGGTGTGCTTCTTTGGAGATGGTGGTGGTGGCTTCTCAGCTACCACTTCTTGCTTTGGTGCTTGGTTATTCGATGCCAAAGCGCGTGGTGCTTCCTTTGGCACATCCAACGGGCGGACACTGTTTCTATGGAAGGCGGCATATCTAGGAGCAGGTGAAGGTGCTTGCGTTTCACGTGAGAAATCAACAAATGTTGGTTGTTCTGGATATTGCGTCAGTGCTTCATTTCCCGAAAGTTTAAGACATACCTGGAAGTGTGTTACCAGTCATACTTTCATCAACGAAGATTTCAATATCAAGATCAGGGTCGACCTGCTCAAGTGCTTGCCTAAGTTTCTCGCAAGACTGGAAAATATTAGTAAGTCAAGACAAGGAGAGCAATCAAACACACCTCATCATCAGCAACGCAGACGGTCGATACTTCATTGGCGTATTCCCACATGTTAGTTTTAATGAATTCGATTCTTTCCTCTTCTTCATCTTGGCATTGATCGCAAAACAAGCGCCAGTCAGCTTCCCAACGTTTACGTGTGTCCGACAAAGCCCTAACAAAGTTGATATAGTCGCGCTCATTGGCACCAACTGCCGATTTTGCTTTATCAAGTTTACCGTCGACTCTTTCTAAATCTTTACCTTGAAGGAGTGATTTCTGTGCAGTGAAGGTATTGATAGAGACGCAGTTGTCCGTGTATTTAGCCTTAGCCTATTGATGTGTTAGAATACTTCAAATTAGTAAAAATAGACGTGCCTTATCGACGTAACTCTCTTGAGTCTGCAAAACCTTGTACTTCTTCTCGATTGAAGCTAGGGATGTCTTCTTAAAATTAGACATACGATTTGACCAGTCAGAAGTTGGAACTTCCAATTCCCTACGCATGTTTTGACTTAAATTGAAATGATTCTGTGATGTTTGTTCTAACTCGACGCTGAGAGTATCAAGGCTATCTCTGATAGCGCTATAACGCGTTAATAAAGTGTATTGACGAAATAGGCAATAGACTCACCCAGTTTCATTTGAACCAACGAGAAATCGCGATAGTTTTGCTAGTTTTCTAGCATAATCGTCCTCAATCGAAGCTCTTTCTTTCCAGAATAACTTTAAATCATCAATCGTTTTAGCGCTTGATTTAATTTTGTTAGTTAAAATATCAAATCCCGTTCCGCTGCTATCCTGGCCCCAAAACGAGTTACAAAAGTCCTTGTTGTTGACTTTATTTGAGCTGTGATATTGTACAGATTGAGATATCTGTATCTCTGATTGACTATTATGCTTCTTTCTATTCAAAAATGATTTCGCTGGAGATGTACTTAAAATTGACATCGAAGTTGATAATGAACACACGGGTTTAGACGCGTATTAACAAATTTAGAAAGTGAAATTGTATGGATTTAGAAATTAAAAGGTTTTACAGTTATTTTTTTCTACTTTGTGTGCGCTAAACGTACTTTTCCAGCTGCTGTAGTTCTTATTAGTTCTGTTATCAAATGTGATAGATTATACTCACAGTGGTAGTAGTTAGCTGCATACTGTTTGGTTTTAAACTTTGGAGAGCGTGGTTTAGAAACAAAGTAATCCCATCCTAGAGTACTTGTTAGATTACCAGTCCATCTAGACGCTATACGCACCTTGCTTCTCACAGAAGTGGATAGCAGCCTCCTTTGACTGGAATTTGACATGTGTACCTTGCATGTAATCTGCGCTGTATATGCTATCAGCTTTGTAGTCTCCTCAGCCAATCAAACTCACGATGATGACCAACCCATCAATGGATGTTCCCATCTACCGCCACCTTGTAAAATATCAAAGTCGACCCTCCATTGGTGAGTGTTGTAGGTGCCAGATTGCATTGTATTCTTTGTTGGCTTATAAATTCTAACTTGACGACGTTGGAGTGTTTCTATCGAGGGTTAGAGAGGTAGATGTATATAGTATCACACACCTGGTGCACCAGAGATGACCTCAGCTGTGAGTACATCCTTTGGTGGGTGTGGTGTAGTTAATCCAGATGCTTTGTGTTCTTTGATATTCTCATCGTGTGTTGTCTTTTGTGGTACGGTATTCTTTGTAGAGTATGCTCTAGTAATAGATGGATAGCTAGCTGCGCTTCTGCCTCTCAAAAGAACTCTAGAAATCATCTTGATGGACGTTGAACTCAAACGATGAATTTTGCTAGAAAATTGATAGCAGCAGTCTCAATTATAATTATAAGCATTACAATTTATTTAATACACTTAGTACAGCCGTTTGAGCTCAAATTTATTAAGAAAGCTACCGCACCGCACGATAGTTATAAGTGGGTATATTAGCCTATATAGACTTAATATAACACACGATCTAGAGCTGATTTGGGACACTCCAGCTGGAAACTTCTTCATCATCTCACGTTGAGATTTCCCGAGGTAGGATATGATCTAATCCGGATATTCGTTATTCTTACAGTTGGGCTAGCATCCTACACACGAAGAGAGCAAAAAGCTAGAGCAGTTCTTCTACTTGTTCTCTGAGCTCTACCCGTGCGACGAATGCAGTCATCATTTCCAGCAGATACTATCTAAATTCCCTCCACAGGTAGGCATATAGCTTGACTACACTCAAAGTGATATCTTATGTTTCACAGACATCCTCTAACCACGATGCTTCAAGTTGGTTATGCGGTATGCACAATCTAGTCAACCAGCGATTGAACAAGCCTAGCTTTGATTGCTCGACGCTCTCTGACCATTTTGATTGTGACTGCAGTCTAGAATCTGATCTCTCGAGCTCGGACTGAGCGTGGATTAGACAGTATAGCTTACTACGACCGCAGACAATGTAAAAGAAATTGTATAATAGTCCCATTGTATTAATTAAGACTTAATGTAACCATATCACAACGTACTTTCCACTTATATTTCCTATTCATTTCCAATAAAAGTCACATACACTCTTCAATATCAACCGCGATATGTCGACTCCGAATAGCAGACAGAAGCGGAAGAATTACCCACCAATACCAACACCAAATAGAGCGCGAGAGCCACCAACGCCGTCACGTCGTACACCCCGTGGAACGCGTATTTTACCTCCTCAAAGGACTCAACAAACTCCAAATGCAGGCGCAACGACGAGTACGCGGCCGAAACCTGAAAGAGAGACTCCTAGAAGTTTATTAAGGCAACTTACGAAAGGTTAGTCAGTGTTTTCTTTGTAGGGATGTCGCTTAGATGGTAAATAGCACCTGGTGTACCTAGACCTTCCCCTCCTGTAACAGTAGAGCAACCAGAAGTACGAACACCATCAAGCAATAGAGAAAGCTCAAGTCATAATGCTAATGTACTCTCCAAATCTACCAGATCAGGAGAACGTGAAAATCGTCATGTCACACCGCAAGGCAGGACGCCTACAAGCTCGAGCAAAGAGGTTCCACCTACAGTAAGACGATCATCTGCTTTTAGAGGCGTCTCGAAACCTGATATGCCACCACCTCCTACACCTCAAAATGAAACATCATTACACAATTCTGTACAGGATACACCAGGATCTATCGTAACTCTTGACAGTCCTATGAGTGTTAGTGAATATTGGAAACAACACAGACCTGTTTCGAGATCGCCATCATACTTTTCAAATTTTGATGAAACTGAAAATCCTGAAATTGCACGGAGAGAACGCGCACCGAATGATGCACGTTTTAGCGTAGGTGCGAGATCTAGATTTGGTTTTGCACTTGGTGATGAAACTAACCAATTCGACCATGGAGAGTCTGAATTGATACACGATCAATCGCTCCAGTTTGATAATGAATCATTAAGAAGACAATCAACTCATGCTAATAGTTTCTTAGATACATCCAACCGTGATGAGAGGACTATTGGTGACATTGGAAACGATAGTACAAGCTTTAGACAACCAAATGTAATCCTACCTGATGTGGACGAAGATAATGAGAGGGAAATTGAAGAAGAGGTTCTTAGAGATGACCGTAAGTCGCATACACCATCCAGAGGAACTCCTAGAAGTGGAAGTGGGAGCAGTCTACGTGACACGGAAAGTCCTCAAACACGAAAAGAATCACCGGGAACTCATTCAGAGAGACAACCTAGTGAATCTCTTGACAGTGCGAATGATAGTGTTAGCAGCAACAGAAGTAAGCGCAAGAGAGATTCATCTGATAGCGTTGCCAACAGCTATGAAAGCGATCGCGGTAGAGGTAGTCAAGATAGATCACCTATTACAAATAACGATGATGATCAAGAAGTAGATAATGGCCTTGCTGATGCTGATGTCGAAGAAGATCTTATAAATATGTTACCTGATAATGAAATGATTGATACAGAAGTACAAGAAGGCGATAATGATGAAGGTGCGTGGGAGAAAGATGAGGCTATGAGCGAAGGTCAGAAAGAGCCAGATGATTGGGATATACCCGAAACGGAGAAACCCACTGCAGAGGAAGAGGAAGAGGAAGAGGATCCAAGGCAAGAACAAGAAAAAGAAGAGGAAGACCCAGAGCAAGAACAAGAGGAACAGGAAGTAGAGGAAGAGATCATTGAGAGACAACCAGAAGATGCCCCTGAACAGGAAGAAGGAGAAGAGGAAGAGGCAATCGATCCAAATTTGAGGGAACAAGGTCGTCATTCGAATAGTCCCGGTGATCCACGTAAATCTGGTGATGTAGGTCCAGATGACAGCGGGTGAGTAGATACTCCAAATACAAGCGTTCTAACAACAGTCAGTGACGGTAATGAACCGCTGAGAAAGAGACCAAAGCCTGCACCAAAGAAAGAGAGATTCGCTAGAGGTAGTTCACAACCACTTCCTAATATCAGTGCAGCCAGTATGAAGCGCTTCATGGAGCGTTTCATGAACCAGCACCGGACTGGAGGCAAGATTGTAGTTGATCCTGGTGCTCAGGAGGTGATGATGGATAACTGCTACAACTACCTCGAACTACTCTGCAATCAAACTGAAACGAGAGCTAGACAAAATGGTCGAAATAATGAGCTCCGGGCATCTGATATGATTGAGGTTTTAAGGGAGTAAGTAGACTTTCACTGTTCATCCCAACACTCTAATCGGCGTAATATAGTCAGGGTGTTATTTCTGATAGGGCACCATTGCAGACGTTAGCCAGACGATTACTCCCTGCTGAGCTCATCAACGAATATGACCAAATATCCGGTGACTGGGGTGTCGATGTTGGGATTATGAAAGGAAAAACAAGCAATAAGCAACCGAAATCAGCATTAAAGAGACCAGCAGGTACTGAAGTTGATGAAGATAGTGAAGGAGAGGCTGAGGAAGCTGAGGAAGATGAAGAGGCCGAGTAAAAGCCGAACAAGAAGCTGAACTAGGATCATAATGGCGAAAGTGTAGAATATTGTACTAATACTTCTGATTGATTAATGTATAGTTCTGATCTATCATACAGGTATTGGGATATCTAACGCAGGTTTAGCCGCGTAACAAGCCGTCTAGTTGCTTCTGCATTCTTTCTAGCTCTTCATCGTGATTTTGTTCTTCTGCTTGTGGTTCTTCGATCTCCTACGAAGACGTTAGCGGACGAATAGAGCCAAATAAGATAATGAACGCACGGGAAGTTCTTTATCAGCCATTGAACCAATTTGGTCGAGCTTTCCACCAGTTATTTCCATTAAAACCTTATCAACTTCTTCGTCAGCCTCCTCGTTGAGACCCTCCTCTTCGTCATGCGCGTCCATTGTTTCTTGAAGCATTTCGTCCATGATGCCAGCCTGTTTTGTGTTAATAACGAGGTATATACCAATGAGGATGGCGCACCTTCATCATTTCCTGTGACATCTGTGACATAGTGCTAGATAACTGAGGAAGTTTAATAAGTGATGAAGATAGTTTCATAATCTCTGTTGATTTCTGTAAGCTACCAGTCACTTTCATTGTCGACAACTGGGATGATAGCTGCATCGATATAGAATTGAGCGTGACCTTTGAAGATAACAAACGCTCTTTTTGCTTATTAGAGCGTGCAATTTCCTTTGCTAAAATACGGCAGGATTTCCTATCGTCTCTTTTTGCCAACTGCTTCAAAGAGGACTTTGTTTTGTTCGTTGCCTGATCTAATTGACGTATCTCTCTATCAAGTAATCTAGACTCTTTGCGTAGATTCGCTTGCCATTTACGCACTCTTTCCTCTGGAGTTAGACCGAATATGAAAGTGTTTAGGGATTTGAGCATCGATGTTGTTGTTCAAGAGAACAGCTAGTCAGTATTTCAAATGAAACTAATAAATAACAAATAAATATCATCATACACTTAATTTGTACCTTGATCTACACCAGCCATGTCAGCGATAAGAGTCTGTCTATCGTTAGAGCGAACTAAAGTAGCTAACAGTCTATACAGTGTTGGAAGAGACTCATAAGATTCGTCGCTAAAGAAGACGGTCGTATTTATCTCGGTGAACCCCTTTCAGCCGATATCGACGGTCAGTAACGCTCTATGGGGAATAAATGGCTAATAATCTATCAGTTGGCCTCTCTAAAAACATACAAGCTGACATACTCAACACTAATTCTGCCCTCACTGCTACTCTCCGCACCGGGGATATCAAGACAGTCTCAAAGCTGCTTTCACCTCTTAGTTTCGATGAAGTACCTACCAGTCGCTTTCTTGGCTTAAGTATGTCAAATATTACTATTGATATCTCTTATAATTTTATTAGATTACAGGGACCATGCTGTATGTTCATTCTATCAACATCCCTTTCACTATTTGACAATATCATAGGAAGAGTGCAAACTCAAAATTCCAACTCAGCCTATTTTGTTCTACAAACCATCAACTGCCTTGGCTGGACCGGGGGACGCAATACCAATACCACGTGTATGTCAACCATCAGATGAGCATTTAGTCGACTATGAGGCCGAATTTATTGCTGTAATTGGACGTGCTGCAAAAAATGTCAGTAAGAAAGACGCTTTGAACTATATCCTTGGTTATTCAATCGGTAATGACGTTAGCACGAGAAAGCACCAATTCGGTAGCTCACAATGGGGATTCTCCAAGTCATTTGATGGTAGTGCACCATGGGGACCCGCACTTGTTAGTGCAGACGAGATTACTGATCCTCAAAATATCCCAATCGGCACAAAGCTCAACGGAACCATTATGCAAAACAGTTCAACTTTGTGAGTAGTTTGATGATTAGTACTATTACTTATTTAATGTTTCAAAAGAAAGCAAATATTCTCTTTAGCTGAGACAATCGCCTTCTTATCACAAGGAACTACACTTCTACCAGGATCATTAATATGGACAGGTACACCAATGGGTGTCGGATTCACTCGTAATCCGCCTGCATACTTAAAGCATGGTGATAAAGTTGAAATATTCTCTAACAATCAAATTGGGACGCTGGTGAATAATGTAGCTAACGATGAATAAAGTACAAGGTTGTTTTTCTTTTTTCTTTTTTACAATTACATATTATACTCTGGTGATATCCTCTCATTGAGTTGATTATTGAGTGTGTTAGTAGATGCTGATGAACCGACGATCTGTCTTAAGAAATCATCTAATTGTGGTTTAGACGTATGCTCATGACCACAACCGAAGTTATTGAAATTATTAGAAGTTTGAGCACTTTGGAAGAACCTGCGTTTCTTTTTAGAGAAATTTTGTGTTCTATTTCTACCATTTATTCTATTACTACGATTTTTGTAGGTAGATTGATAGTCATCCTCTTCCATTTCAGGTTCATCATAAATATTATTAGCAGCTTTTGATATCCTCTCGTCGAGTTCATCATCTGATTGATCACTGTAAGGCCATGGATCAGATGGTACCTCTCTTATCTGTGCGGATGGTGCGAAAGGTAATTCTTTGAGGTGTTCAAACACCTTAGTTTGTATATCATGAAGATACTCTGGCGTGTTGTGATTCTCCATGTTAGTTTCAGGTACGTCAAGCTTATAACGCGGGCCATAATAATCAAGATAATCGTTGAATGGGAGGTCTTCTTCGAGGTGTTTATCAACTAGCAATCCAGTTTCGTAAGTCCATGTACGTGAAACGTTTCGCACTGCGTATCCACCACCACCCAAGACAATCATCGGTAAGTTGAAAGCTTTAACGAATTTGACACAGTCTGCGTGACCTTTCATGGAGAGATTAAAAACACCAAGTTTGTCACCAGCTAAACTGTCGGCGCCGCATTGTAAAACAACAGCGCCCGGTCTATACCATTCCATAATGTGTTGTATTGTAGGTCTGAAAACAGAGTGATAACTCTCATCATCGATACCATCCCTCAAGGGGAAGTTAACAGAGTAAGATTTGCCTTTAAACATTCCAGTGTCATCCGTACTACCCGTACCAGGAAAATAATCTGGGTATTTGTGGAAAGAACAAGTGAGTACCCTGTCGGTAGTATAGAAAGCCTCTTCAACGCCATCGCCATGATGAATATCGATATCAATATAAAGAACCCTTTGATGGTACCTCAAAAGTTCGATAATGGCGAGTACGATATCATTGACGTAACAGAAACCGGATGCTTCTCTCTTTTTAGCGTGATGCAAACCGCCGGCCCAATTAACAGATATGTCAGATTCACCTGAAGTTAGTCTGTTTGCTGCTGCTATACTTCCACCTGCAGAGATGGAGCAGAATTCGAAAAGTCCTTCGAATGATGGGCAATCTTCTCCTGAGAGGACTGAAAGGCTGTTAGAGAAGTTACAAAGGAAATAAAGAGACTGACAAATTTCGTGGTTTCTCGTTAGATCTGCAGCTGTCTCTGGTGTGACGTGCTTTAAGAAATCGATGTACTCGTCTGTATGAAATCTAGTCATCTCCTCAGGAGAAGCTCTAGGAGGTTTCTATGGAGCTCTTAGTCAAGGTGGAGTGTATAATAAGCTAAATAGCTACCAGTATTTGCATCTTCTTATCTAAACCATAATTGAGTACTAGGTTATGTACCATTCTCATTCTATGGGGTTTCATAGGGTGTCCAAAGCCATAAGAGTAGTTGCCGACGTCAGAGTCATAATAGTATGCGACTTTAGATTTTAATTTTTTAGATTCTGTTGTCATCACCGTCTGGAATAGAGAATGAAGTTGCGAGTAAACGATGAACTTTGAATTACCGGAATTGAGTACAAGTGACAATCAATTTGGACCACATTTAAACAAAATAGACAACAAGTTTAAGGAAATTCCTTACTCTCCTTACTCAAAATTTGATAAAATAACTCAGATCGCTGATTTTAACAATGACTTAAAAGAGGAATCGAACAAACAATCAACTAAACAACTTAAACCTTTGTCAAAGAACATATACGGTTCTGGCTCTGCCACCGCCTTTGGTTACATTCACGGCGAAGACGAAGCTTCATTTAGCTTGGTTGACAATAAGACTTCAGCAAAGAGAACTGTTGCTCTCGGTAGACGCCAACAACAACAACGTAATAACGCTCAACCTGCTGTTAGACCAACTGCCCAGAGAACCAACACCCAACAACGTCAACAGGCCGCTCAAACTCAAGCTAAGCAACAACCACGCGTTAACAGAAAGATGGGTTGGAAAGACTGGGACAAACCAAACAGAATACGTGACGCTTCTGTACAAGTTGAACCTGAATGGGAGAAGATCGCCGAAATTGACTTCCCTAGACTCAACAAACTAAACTTGGAAGTTGAAGAGCCAACTGATGTAATTAACTATGGTCAATTATATCCATACGATAGAGCTTTCGATAGAATAACCACAAAGAATGAAAAGCCATTAGAAATCAAAGATCGTGTACGTTACAATCCAACAACTTCAGTTGATCCAGTTATTCAAAAACTCGCAAATGAAAACAAGGCGAAGGTATTCGCAACTGACTCCGTTTTGTCTGTTTTGATGACTTCAGCAAGATCAGTCTACCCATGGGATCTCGTTGTTGTACGCAAGGGAGACCAAATCTTCCTTGACAAGCGTGAAGGTGGTCCATTTGACTTTATATCAGTTAACGAAAACGCTGCTGATCCACCAATGGAGAATGACAAGGAAACACTCAACACTCCAGCAAGTCTTTCATTTGAAGCTACCTACGTTAACCACAATTACACAACTCAAGTAACCAACGAACAAGGTAAACCAAAAGAATTTGGTGAAGCCAATCCATTTGCATCTGGTGATGAACCTGAACCAGTAGCAAGCAGCGTTTACAAGTACAGGAAGTTCGATTTATCACTTGAGGAAAGTGAAGAAATGGACTTAATTGTTAGAACTGAATTAGACGCTTATGTTCCAGGTATTAAGAAGAAAGACCCAACACCATTCATCACTATCAAGGCGCTCAACGAATTCGACCATAGAGCTCAAGGTGCAGGTGGCGCTTTAGACTGGAGAACTAAATTGGATTCACAACGTGGTGCCGTCGTTGCTACTGAATACAAGAACAACAGCGTTAAATTGGCAAGATGGACCGTTCAATCTATCCTCGCTGGCGCTGAGCTCATGAAATTCGGTTTCATTAGCAGAGCCAATCCAAGAGATGAATCTAAGCACGTTATCGTTGGAGTACAAACTATCAAACCTAGAGACTTTGCAACTCAATTGAGTATCAACCTCAGTAATGGATTCGGTATTGTACGTACTATAGTCGATCTCGTCAAGAACCAACCAGAAGGTAAATACATCTTAATCAAGGATCCTAACAGAGTGAGTTTCTACATTCTTCTTTCACATTTCATTAATAACCAACGCAGTCAATTATCCGTCTCTACTCTGTACCATCAAACTTTGATGAGGCAGAAGAAACACCCCAAGAAAAGGAAAACTAAAATACATCATTGGTTAGATTTATTGGCTTATTAAAAATGCATGAATGTTCAAATATAATAAGTGTTCCATTGTTTGATATTAAGTAGTGCGTATAATGATATTGAAACAATAGGGTTATTTTGTGAATCCTGTTCTAAGTAAAGTCTACTAAGTTATCCTCCAACCATCACCTTTCCTCCGTTTGTCTAAGCCGCCAAATTCTTCTTTAGTGACTAACCACTTTAGGTGTTGTTAGTATGTCGTAATTATTCCTACTAAGATACCTACTAGACATGTACATGAAAGGATATCTTTGAGGTCTTCAGGTGAAAGTTTTTGATTGGTATTTGGAACAGGAATATCTGGCAAGGGAAATGGTACTTTAAGTTGACCAACTATGCGTGGATGATGTGGTGCAGGATGGAGTGTACCTAAATGAATTTTATTAAAGTGTTTAGAGATCGCATAAAATGACCAAGGTGTCTCATCATCTTCTCTATCTATCTCTGAAGGTGGATGAGAGATTTCTGAGGCTGGTTGTGAAGGTATAGAGGATCGTCTTGAATTTATATTCGATTCTGAAGATTTCTTCCATGTGAATTGTAAGTCATCTGCAGTAACTTCTAAAGTCTCAGAGCTTTTGAGAAGTTTTCTAATTAACCAGCTATATTCATCGTGATTTAATAACTCTGACGGCGCTTTTGAGTCATTCTTGCCAAATTTAAAGAGACCATCAAGTGTGAACTTCTTCGAGGTCGTTGATGCGTTATCAGATGATAATAAATCAGATTCCAAGCCAATTAAATTGAGAATTTCTAAACCTCTCTTTGTAAATTTCGCTATTTTAGCATCTGTACCAGCGTCTGTGATTGCTGTTGTTAATACATTATGATACTGGAGGTTATAGAGCGGTATCAACTTTCGTCCTCCTGCGGTGAATTGTGATTGTGAGGTAGTTGAATGCAGACTTAAATTTGAAGCCTGACCAAGTGAATGAGAAGAATGTAGAGATGATGATCTACTGAGATTACTGTCAGATGCCATGGATTGCCTATTAGATTTTGGTGTAACGAGTTGTATTTGCAAATTCATTGGGTTATTAGAAATATGAGGTGGTGGTCTAACAATTACAAGGACTTCTTGTGCGTATTTTTTAACTCTTTTGTGTACTTCTTCATTCATTGAGCTTGATTGTGGTACTTCTGATTGAGCCTGGTCATAGTCTTCGTTGACTTGCTGCACACCCGTTATTGGTGAATTTATCAAAGACTGACCAATATCTTTGATATTCTTAAAGATATCCATTGATTTCTATTAATAGCTGAACAGTGTAAGAAGCCAAGATGGTATGACACAATGCAATCAGTTCATATGGAATATAAAAATACAAAATTATTTTTTCATTGATCTAGTAACCCTTCTATTCTCTTTCTTTTGTTGCTTTCTATTTGCTTTCTTAGATCGTGGCTGATCCGCTGTGCTCGAAATCATGTCGGGAGAAATTGAGTCCTTGAGTAAACCGGCATGTTGAGTGTTATTAAACCGTATAGAAGAATAATGCTCATAGTTGTGATATGCTAGATATATATATTTATCTGTTTTAATATTATTTGGTGTGATTATGAACTCAAAATCTACCTGTATGACTTTTATGTTGACTTTATATATATTAGATATAGCAGATAATTCTATATGACCACCATAAGTGGATTGATTTCTCATTCTATTTATATATAAACTCATTGTTTCATCGTCAAGAAAATTTTCATATAATTCCGCGTTAGACTGTATATAGTCACAAGATTGCTGTCTCAATAATTTATTTTTGGATGTGTTTCCGTAAAACTGATCAGAAATTGAGTGAAAGAGGCAACTACCATCTGTTGGTATATCGATGTAATAAAGGCCTTGATTTTGTAAATATGACTTTAATTGCTTGTCATATTCTTCTGTATCATCTATCGATGTGAATTGTTTATTCTTATTGCGACGACGTGATGATGACATAATTTCAAGAGTTTAAATCACTCTGCTCTATCTAAAAGAAGAAAAAATTATTCATCAAAGGAGGAGACTACAAATCAAAGTCATCGTCTGAGTCGTAATTTTGCTTTCTATTAAACTGTATATCGTCAGATGATTAAATAAAATAACTAAAACACTAACCGTGACTTTTGTGGTTGAAGCACCAGATATAACGGTACTAACTTGATCTAATAAGCCAACTAATTGCTGCTCAGTGACTTGACTCCTTATTTGACCTGATTTAGCCATCTTCAACAACATATCCTGTACTCTGTCTGCGTGTTCTGGCTTTACGAGTGCAATTCTAGATAATCTTTCCCTGGCTTCTGCTGAGAGTATCCTAGCGAGATCCATTCTTTTTCCTTCATCAACTCCGCCTTCTTTTTCATCGCCCCCGCCTTGATTTTGCTTCAACTGTTGTAGTCTAGCTTGTCTGATAGCTTCCAACTCAGCGTCAGCCATTGTCGTATTATAGAAAGAAATGTCCAACTCAGAAGTCAGTCTAGATTCAAATAAAAAATATTTCAATGCTCACTCTTTCATATAGTTGGATATCCACTGTCCTCGTTTAATCAGGGTTTTCGTCAGAACAACTCAGCCATACGACGCATACTCATTTGATAAAGGCTTACCTAGCAAAGATGAATACGATATTTTAGCTGGGTAGGTATCTTACTGTCTATACTCCTAACCTTACACTCTATCAGTCCAAATACTACAATCAGGGAATTATTACTGCTCCTACAAAAATCGTTACCTGAGAATCTACGCCATCCAAGGTCAATATATGGTGTTGTGAGTCTCTATCCACCTGCTTATCCATCTTAACATCCAATAGCACTCCATATACGTTGATATGAAATCTATGTATCACAAAGAGAGGGATTTAGGAAGATACAGCCTTAGTGTGAAGAACTACAGTGACAAATACGATGATCAATCTACACTCGACGAAGCTAGGATCTATCCTGGTGACTATCTCTCTGTTCACCTCCAATTACCTTACAGTGGAAGTCGTAGACCACCGTCTGGTCCACCAGGGTAAGTGTTACTCTCATTATCTATACCATCTTATCTTACTTATACCCTCTCAGAAGAAGACCACCTGTTGATAATGGATACAGTAGGAGATAATATACCTCACAGTAATTGCCAAAATTTGTACAAGTAATTCCGTAATTGAATATTTATCTTTCTTTAATTGTGATCCCGAAGTTAGATAAGTAATGTGATGTATATATGAATTGAGGTTAAAATTGTACCATATTTGTCCAGAGTTGGTCAATATCTAACTTCTAGAAAGTGCTACGAACTATTAAAATGTTCAGAATTGCTTTTCTCCAGTTTGTCAGTATTTTGACAAGTACTCTAACACATCCAAGAAAGTTAAATCACGGTAATGAAGCAATTGTGTTTATAAATAATAGAGTCTACATTTAATATAATACCCTAAAGGATAATTTAGATGCTTTTCAGCCTCATAAACTCTCTCAGTTCATAAAAAGTCCACCATGGATAACAAAACTCAAAGGGAAAAGACCATTTATAAATACTACATTAAGCAAAATGTAATAAGCTTATCATTAATCATTCAATCGTCATAAATTACTCATTTAAAGCTCCTTCTTCGCTGCTTTTGATGCTTTAGCAGCCAAAGATGAAGCGGAAGATGCAGCAGCTTCTGCAGATTTAGAAGCGATATCTGCAGATTTACCAAGTTCATCAGCCTTCTCTTGGGCATTCTCTGCTACCGATCTGGCGGATCCTGTGAGGTAGTTGTACAGACAGCCGATTGAGGATCTACCATAATTAACCCATCCCATTATCTCGCCATATACTATTTCACTGTAGCCCTTGCTATCAACATAGCGTTTACGGACTTCGCTGAGTAATTCGTCGCGTGTCTTGGCCACTTTCGCGACTTCAGGTTCGTATGCTCTCAACCAACCGCGTAATCTTGCATCTGTCCAGGAAACATATGGTGCAGCGGTTGATGTTAGCTTATCATACTTCGCGTGTGCCAGTTTCTCGAGTTCTTCACGCTTTACTTGTACATCTGACTTGATAAGACCATGAGAGATAGCCCAATCTCGGAGATCACTCGTGCGCCATGAAGAGATCACAACATCACGGGAGGATGTGTAGTACTTTCCAATCAAGTATAACATTTCTTCACGGGTTTTCTGCGTTCCGAATGAGTCACTTTGTATCCAAGCAAACATGAAAACGCACCTCATCTCTTGATTTCAAGTAACCGTGATCAACCAACCAAGTGCGGAGCTGATTGTCTGACCATGTGTTGTATACATGGCTCTTGGCATCGTAGTAGTTATCCTAGGGAGTGTTAATTAAATATTACTCAACATCGGAACAGTCACTCACTTTCATCAAGTTGAGTAAGTCATCGCGTGTCTTAGCAGACTTCGTTTTAATAACTCCATTACTCTCCAACCAATGTCTCTGTCAAGTGTATAAGCTAATGATGTCATTCTTTGTTTATCACCCACGATGTAATTATCAGACCAGGCATCATAGACGGGATCGGCAAGAGCAGCGTAGTATTGGCGCATACCCTTGAGCAGCTCATCACGTTTGATTTGAGATTTCGTGCGAATGATACCCTTCTTTTCGAGGAATGAACGCAATTCGTTATCGTTCCAGCTTGAGTAAATGAAATCCTTGGAATCGTTCAACTCGCGTAAAACATAGTCGTGAATGTAAGTGAGTCGATCTTTGGCGTTATCCTTGCTTGCGTCATAGGTTGAGCTTGCGTGGGCTGTTGCTTCAGCAGCGGCTGACAAAGCTGATGAGCGGACATCACCAGCTCTACATTTTATTAGCTGCCAACGAAGGAAATAAAAACAAGCGCTACTTACAACTGCTTAACTAAGATACGTAATTCTTCCACGCTAGACTTTGGAGCGACGACTCCATTTTCGAGGAGGTATTCGCGTATTTTAGACTCATCCCATCTGTGGAAACGTTGAGTGAAGTTATACGACCTATAATGTACCCACTTGTCGATTGTCTCATCCTTGATGTCATTCAATATAACTTGTTGACGGTGTGCAACCGTATCCCAGTTCTTTTTCACAGTTTTGAGTAAACTGTCTTTATTTGATTTATCTGAGAACTTTATTTTGTTCTCCTTTAGCCAATTCTGCAATTGATCAGTATTCCATTCCTGTCTCTGATTAGCGTGAGTTATAAAAGAAGCGTCTACATACTTCAATACTGCTAGGCTTGCTGCCAAACCAATTAGCATTAACGCTGGCACCGCTAAGTGCGAGTGTGAATAATACTCCTTCAATCTTCATTTGATCGTCAGGTTACAAGGATTAATACCCCACGCGTTGATGTCATCATAAAGTAATATATAAAATTAATCATTTATTATAGTTACAAAAGCGTGATTAAGCGGCAGCCATAGCTATCTCGTTAAGTCTCTCAGCTTCCTCCTCTTCAAGACCTTCTATAACTTCTTGACGACGACGTCTCTCCATTTCCAACTCCTTATAGCGACTCTGGAGTTCACGTTCTCTCTGTTGCATAAATGAAACTTCCTTCTCAAGTTTATAGACACGAGCTGGAGCAGCTTCACGTTCGTTGAGCGCTAATAAACCGAATGCTTCTCTGTTGATTGTGCCCGTCTCAACATCATCAAATGCCTTTGATAACCTCTTTGATAAAGCCTCTTTACGAGCCATATATCCGCCCAATTTAATACCCAACTTTTTCTCTTGTTTCGCACTCTTGACTGCATCGTTCGTCAATCTATCCTTAATAGTCGCAAATCTGAACGTATAATACTCCATCTTTTCTCTATCATCGAGTTCATTGAGATGGACAACCGCTTGTGCCTTTTTCGAGTATCCAAGTTCACCAGATGGGATCGCATCCAATTGAGTTTCGATCGAAGCTAATAAGGCGCGCTTGACAGCGTCCGAATTGGCACCTGGGACACCCATACTAGCGGCCAATTCAGCATCTACCGCACTTTTAGCTGCATCGACAGCCTCATCAGGTAACTCTGCGATAGGGTCAATGCCATGAGCAGGCGTAGCTCCGGGAAGTGGGTAATGAATACTATCATGTACAACCAGTCTAACATATTCATTCTCAACCATCTCCTCAACTGATTTCTCCTTGAAAGACAAAGACTGAAGGAGACCTGTGACGTCAATGTTCACCGGACGAGGAAGATTCATCTTTATAGCCGATGAGCGTCTGGCCAATATTCTACGTTCTTCTTCAGCAAGCGCAGCCGCAATGCGTGCGTCACGCTCCGCTGCATCTTCCTCACGGGCTGCAACCTGAGCTATTTCATCTGCTTCATCCTCTGGCATTTCAATCTCAAAGTTATTTTGTGGTTTTGGCAAATTCTGGAATCCTGTCTTCAGTCTAGCCTTCTCAGATCTCTCACTATATTTGCGTTCGGCAGGTGTTTCGAAAGCTTCTAAAATACCATCCGTACGATTGATCGATAGTGTATCGCGCATTGGCGTCTTGAATGGCACACCTGGTGCACCGCCATGCGAAGGTGTGGCTAGTGGATTTGGTGTGAAGTTTGCTACATGCTTCGGAGTAGCTGATTGATATCCTGTTCCAGACTGTTGTTCATGGAGTGGTGTGTTTTCTTCACCTAACAATGGTGTCTGACTTGCTGTCATGTTTCTAAGATTACGCGCTTCACTCATGATGTTATCCTCTGAGAATCAAAGTAAGTAAAAGTTAATTTGAACGAAGCAGAACTTACCCCCTTGCTCTGTACGAGGAGTACGTAAATTATGTACTGATCCGATAGTATCATAATTTCCTAACAGACCTTGGGTTGAGGTATCACCTTCTTCGACCAATTCACGAGTACTCTCACCAGATTGACCAAGTTTGACAATATCCTCAAGCTCTTTCTCACCAACTTGTGGAGCAGGAAGGTCTAACTTACGACGAGCGGATATCTTATCAGCTTCCTTAAGTCTTGCAATTTGGGCTTCACGAGCTGCTTGGTACTTATCATTTGATTCTTGACTAGCGGTCTTTTGCTTCTTTCGGCGCTCATCTTCACCTTTATCTGCTTTGCGTTTACCTTCAGCTTCCATTCTCGATTTACCAATTGATGATTCATATGTCTTTGCACGCTCTTCACCGACATCATAGAAACCAATAGCTGGTTGCTTCTCAAACGGAATATCAGCGTTGTAGTCCACACCCTTCTTCTTTTCACGGATTCGTGAAATAACACCAGCTGCTTTCAACTCGCGACGCTTCTGTAATACAGCTAAACGACGCGCTTCTTCGAGTTGACGTTCACGTGCCTTACGTTTGGCTTTCTTACCCTGAGTATTAGCCAATCTCGCGCGAGCTTCTGAAAGCATCTCCTTCTCATCCTCATCCATATCAATTGGATCTGGTTTCGCTGGTTTGGTTTCTGGGTCTGTATCGAGTTCACCTGGCTTGAGTTTACGTACGTCGTCACTTGGACCTGCTTCATCACCTGGACCAGTCAAACCAAGCTCCTCATTTTCTTGACGTTCAGCCTCGTCGAGTAGTTGTTGATAGCGCTCTAAACATTGTGTAGCTGTACGACCGACAATTGGAGCGATAGTACGCCATTGTGTAGGCATCAATTTGGCAAGGTGTAGGAGTTTCTCATCTTCAGTCTAAACAGACTGTATGAGCAACAGGATAGCGATAAATGGATGAAACGCACCTTTGACCATTCAGTTTTCTTAATGGAGGGATCTAGCCACTCATACCAACGAGCTTTGCATTGCTTTGGTGTTTTGCGTACCAAAAGAGAAGAGATACGAGCCCTAAAATGGAGATGAGAGGAGAGAGACTTTGTAGGAGGCTACATACCATTGATTCTTACCATATTTTGATATAGCAGCCTTCAATATCTCGTCCTCGCTATTTAGTGTGAATATAGTACTAAAATGGCTAAGAGTATACCAACGTATTCTTCCATACACCACCTTTTACCTATATGTACATTAGATCTATATCTCTATTAATATATTTAACTTACGACTATCCTCATTCTGTATTACGTCTGAGATGGACGTTGCAGAATAACGTTCAAGAGATGGACTTAGACTTTCTAGATAATCCAAAGAAAAAGAATAACAAAGATGCATTCGATAACTTATTAGATTTCAATCAATCTTCGAAGAAATCTCTCCATCAGCTCTCACAAACACCGCCAGCACCTGCACCAGCTGCGAATGTAGACAGCAACTGGTCTGGTTTAGATATGCTATCTACTATGGGAAGCCGCACATCCAATAATACACCACAGAAGTCATCTTCTAATGATCTTCTCGGAGACGATTCCCTTATCGATGACTTTGGATTGCTCGACGTTTCAAACAGCGCACAAGCATCTCAGAAAGCCTCAACTACCAACAGCGATGATGGATTTGACATTTTAGGTGATTTAGCTAAGCCTGTGCAACAGCCGCAGCAATCTGCATCTCCTCTAGCAAAGAGTACGCCCTCACCTACACCAAGGAGCACTTCTCCACCACCGCATTTAGTTGGACAGCTTGTTGAAATGGGTTTCAGTCCCGTCGACGCGTCACAAGCTCTCAAGAGCGCTAATATGGATGTCTCAACTGCAGCAACGATGCTTATTAGCCAATCAGTCGATAGTAACAAACCTACAACTCCACAAGAATCTCAGCCGCCTGAACAACAACGACCTAACCAATCGCGACAATCTCCAGCTCCTCAGAAGCAAACAGACGCAGCTGACGAATTGATACAGCAGGCATCAGCTATTGGCTCTGATTTGTTCACTAAAGCATCTTCATATTGGTCAGTTGGAAAAAATATGGCACAAAAGGCGATAGAGGAACAGCGTCAACGTGTAGTCAAACAACAATCAGACGATGATCGACTGAAGAAGGAGCGGGAAAGGAAGGAATACGAAGAGCGTAAAAGGCGTTGGGAGGAAGGTGCCTCTAGTGGATTCAAAGATGATGATGAGCCTGTCCAAAGTAACTCATTCATCCCGTCAGAGTTTAAACGACCTGAGAGGCCCGCGCCATCGCGACAGTCATCAAACAATTTCCAAGAACCGTCCAGGCCAGCTTCACAGCAGTCTAGTGGTAGCTTATTGGACGTTTTCAAACCGAAATCTTACGTCTCTCCTGCCAGGCATGCCGTTAGATCTCGTACTTCTACACCACCTCAGGCTCAAACACCGGTGAAGCCATCTACGCCTAAAAAGCAACGTGTCAACCCGCAAATATCGCAACAAGCGTTGGCGCAATCGAATGAACTTCGTATGAAGGGTAATGAGGCTTTCAAACTGGGATCATATGGTCAAGCTGTTGATTACTACGAAAAAGCAGCTACAAATATACCACCAAATCACATCCAGTCTGCAATCATACAGACGAATCTTGCTACAACTCATATAAAAAATGGTGACGCCGATAGTGCTATAAAAGCTGCGACTGCTGCTATTGCAACCATAAATGAAGATTATGAGGTCAGCGATGGGGTAAATGTCCTAGAGACAGCCTCCAAATCCTACAGATCTCGTGCAAATGCTCACGAGATGAATGAAAAGCATGCAGACGCACAAAAAGACTATGAGAAGCTGATTAGCATATCCAGCAAGATACCAAACATACAGAGTCAAGCAATAGAAGGCCTCAGGCGTGCGAAAGCAGCACAGGAACCAAAGAAGAATGTATCAACAAATGCGAAACCAGCCAACGCTTCTATCAAAGCTGCCGGAGAAAAAGCTGCAAAAGCTGCAGTCGAGAGGTCAAAAGCAGCATCACTGCAAGAAGCAGCTGAAGACACACAAAAGCATGCTCTTAAAGATGGTGTCGACGCCCGTCTTCTTACTTGGAAAGCTGGCAAGGAAAATAACATTCGTGCTCTGCTTTCATCTGTCGACACCGTCCTCTGGCCAGAGCTCGGGCTAAAGAAGTTCGGGATGCATGAGCTCGTCACAGACGTATCTGTCAAGAAAGTCTACATGCGGGCTGTCTCTAAGGTTCACCCTGACAAGGTAAGCAAATGTGAGACAATGTGGCAAGTCTAACAATAGACAGATAAATGCCAGAACAAGCACACTAGAACAACGAATGATAGCTCAAGGTGTATTTGCTACTCTCAATGAAGCATACAACAAACAACGCTAAAATGGATCTATAATACAGAAAATATTATACAATTACGAATTGCTAGTGAGCAGCTGTTCGGAAGTCCTCCGACGGATATTCCTATTGTTACTCTCATTATGTTGGGAGATAAAATCATCAATCTCATCTAGATTCTCCTCAAAACGAGTGCTAGAAGTTCTGATAGGACGACCACGACCTAGACGAGAATGAGGGTGTCTGCTAAGAGATGAGCGCGTGTGTGAGAGGTGAGCCTGCTCGCCTCGCGTTTCGAATACTTCCATAAACGGATAGTCATCTCCGGTGTAGACCTCCTCACTGGGATATGGTGAGTTTTCAGCGCGTAAGAAGGGCAAAATGCTAGTTCGTGATCTTGCAGGTGATGATGATAACTGAAGTGTGTGCTTAATCAGATCGTCTACTATCGCCCGAGTCTTCTTATCATTAATATCGAGATTTTGAACGAAGTTGGTGTAGGATTTAAGTGACTTGTTAGCATCTACGTGATTAGAGATAGAATGATTGCTTTAGATAGTAGATCGTTAGTGCTGGAGAGCTATAGAGCTATTACTAACAGAATAGACTTCAACTTAGACTGGAGCAAATCATCTGTGGATTGTAAAGTACTAAAAAGAATAAATAAAGGATATGAATAATATATTTTAGCTTACCGACGACCCATCTAATAAATCGATTTCTCTCCTGAACGTCGAGGATGGGAAGAAAGAAGAGTGGGAATGAATTGCCAAAGCGTGTCACACTCTACGATGACGAAGAACACATATACAAACTAAAGCTAGATGGTAGCTATACTCTTATTCTTATAGACACTATCTCACAGTATATAGAGAATACACAATTGGAAGATTGCATAGAGAAGATCAACAAGAAGATGAAATTGAAAAATAAGTACACTATACGCTTGATTCTTACTAGAAGTGGTAAAGATCTTGTTCTAGTCAACTCTGGTTAGTTTCTTACTCTGATTTGACTTTCTTAACACTCGCTCAGCTGAGGACTTTGAAAAAGCGAAGAAGAAGTCTAGAGGATACTTGAAATGTAAATTCAGATTTGAGCTAGAGGATAATCAACCATCCACTCCCATCCAATCAACTTCTCAGCCACGCTTGACGACAACTGCAAAGAAACGCTTATCACTCAATCCATCCTTCATCAATGAAGCTGAAGATCCTACTTCACCATTAACAAAGCAATCTAGACGCGTACTCCAACCGAGATCTGCAATTATGTCCAAAACTGTAGAGACATACCCGGACATTCAGGATTACTTCGCAGCTTTCGTGAAGGATACAATACACGACTATTTCAACAATACTTTGCATTCAAACACTCAATCAGAACAATCTAGTGTGGCTTCTAACAGAAATAGCAAACCAGGCACTTTGTCTGCAATGCGTTCTACCGTTATTTACGATAGTGACATTAGTGAAGCACACACAAATAAAGGAAATCCACCTATACGCTTGCATAGAGAAACAACCCCTTCAGAGGTAGATCAATTACAGTCATCGCCACATTTTGTTGAACATAAAGAACAAGCTCTCCAGCAGCCTCGTCTGGAAGGTCTTCAGGAAGTAAATGAAGATACCATGGAAGTAGCCAGTGAAGAGGATAGACCTGGTGACAAAGAGAAATATAAAAGAGTAGAGGAGGAGCAGGAATATGGGCGGGAAGAAAGACAAAAAGAACCAGAACCAATAGAAGAACAATTAGAAGAACAATTAGAAGAACAAATAGAAGGACAAGATGAAGGACATGAAGGGAAAAGCGAAGACAAGCATGAGAACGATGGAGTACGCTCATCACCCATAGAACAATTCGACGATGATATCACCTTGACCGGCTCGCAAATCCCTCCTTCAGCTCAGCCCCAGCTCAGTTCACCTATACTTGCGCCAGAACAAGGACTTGAAACTGTGGTCACACCTGTTCATCCAAATGAAGAAATAAAACAGGACCAACAAGAGAGTCAACAAGATGGACAACGAGAAAGTCAAGAACAAGAACAACAAGAACAACAAGATACGCGACAGGGAGACCTGGAAATGCAACAACCAGAAGAGTATGTGCCAGCAGACACTGAATCTCTTCCATCACCGTTCAAGCGTCCATCACCTGTCAAGAAGGATAGACCAGCGAATAACAAAAACGAGGATATTTTAGATGAAGAGTTAGACCTCGCAAAACTTTTTGGTAGCTCTACTCAAGGTTCAGGAAGACCTCGTCGCAGCATACAGGCAGTGTTGGGAGACGAGAAGGACGACGAGCATAATGAGTTGTTAATGGAGGAAGAAGCGAACGATGAAGATGAAGTCATGACTGACTATGAAAGTGACGATACAATCGATAGAGAAAGGGAACGAGCGAAGCTCAGCAAATCAACACAGTCAACCAGACGTGGATCTTCAGATGATAACTTCGAAGCTGACGATGATGAGGAACCAGGCGAGGATAAAGATAAACGCGAACCGGCCATGGAAGCACCTCCAGTTGTACACTCCACGTCTCAATTCTACATACCAGATTCGCCAACTGCGTCTGAAAGAGCTGTATCCGCTCAGATCAATGCCCATGATTCTCTTTCTATATCTGTCAATCAGAGTTTCTCACGTCAAGGTGATACGAGCCTTCTTCAAAATCAAGAAGATGATAATGAGGCCGAGAACGGCGAGCATCAACAATACATCGGATCAGAAATACTTCCACCACAAGTACACGACGAACAATCTGATTCAAGGGATGCCAAATCTGAGGATTTTCTACAGGATGAGAAGCTCGCAGAAGGTGAAGGTGAAGAGGATCAGCCGGAAAGAACACCTCAAAGGGATAATGGCGAAACATCTTCAATCCCCCAATCCAAATTGAGCCCACAACCGATGATAGAGAGTGGAAGTACTCCAGACTTAAACCAAACGCAACTCTCCACAGTCAGTAATGACACCAAAGATAGGCTTTACCAAGAAGCGCTTGGAACGGATAACACAAAAGATAAAGATGCACAAGATACCACGAAAGACGCAAATGAAGGTGTCGAAGCTACCCCAGCAGTAGAAGCATCAAAGTCACAAGACGTTGAAAAGTCATCCAATGAATCGACCGATCTGGAAAAGCCAAAGCCAGCGTTAGGAAAGAGAAGCCGCGAAGAAGCACCTTCAGATGAGGATGAAAGCATCCAAGAAACCAAACGCACAAAGTACAATGATGACAAGGTGTCTAAAGAAGTACGTTCGTCTACTTTACACTAAGCAAAACTAATATACTCTTAGCCAAAAGGTCGTGCACGCCATTCTGAAGGTGGAATATACCACGCACAACGGAAGATAGCAATGCCACCTAGATTGAGTATTAATTTCGACGATCTTATCAAACAAACGTCCAAAGGACCTCGTTCAAGCAGTTCATTCTTGCCTCTTTCCGAATTGAAGAAAGACAAATCAAGATACGCAATAGAATCACCAATGGCGTCACCACGTGCATCACCAGCAGTTGAGTCGCGTCCACGGCCTAGTGTGAAGCGTGTCGCTACATCTGACAACAACGACAACAGTAGTTCATCTGATTCTGACAATGACGACTCAAGTTCAGACGAAGAAGAGGCCAAACGACCAAGAAGAAAGAGTGCAATTCCAGCTGCTAATCCGCGTCTAAATCAATTGAATAGAGGTGTTGATAGGAGAGCGAGTGCGATACCTGCAGAAAGACGAGCAGGAGCTAGCACACCTGGAAGAGTCACCAGATCGAGAGTGAAAGCTGGAGGATTAGCCGATATGTGAATTTAAGAATAATTTATTGATTTTAATTGATTTTTATAAATGTCTTGCTTGATTTATTTCTTATGATTACACAGTGATGTCTTCCTATTCAAAATACTCAACTTTACCAGATATTGTGGGTTTAAACTAGAAAGTATGTGCTTTGTTCATTAATGTATTAGGATACCGCACCAGATGTCTACGAGACAGAAGAACCAGCACCTCACTCCTCACAGATGGTATGTGCATCACTGTAAATCAACTTCTTAACCAACGAAATTAAAGTTATCAGATGAAGAAGAGTTTGGTGTAATCCAAAATACCTCAAATGATGCTATAGATGCTGCCAAACTGCCGAATACAAAGTCAGCAACTAAGAAGTTCAGAAGGAAAAGATTCGACGCGATAGGCGAGCAAGGTATGATCGCTACATATTTCTAACGATTATACTAATAAGCTGTAGATTTCTCAGGCTCAGTCGCATCTCAGTCGTTACAGAAACTAAAGAAGTTGACAAATGATGATTCCAGCGAAAGCAGTTCGAGTGACGAGGATGATTTATATCAGCGGAGGAAAGGAATGTCAACTGAAGATCGTCTCAATCTACTCAAAACCGAGCTCAACGATATTGAACAAAGCGCATCAAGGGAAGACAATAGCAGTATAGATAATATATTATCGCGACTGATACAGTATCGGACGCGTATAGGTGAACTTCAGAAGCAGCGCAAACCACAAGTCATAAATGAGATACCGGAGAGTGTCACCCATAATGAAGTTAAAGAGAGTGAACAAAGTAATCAAATCGACGATATAGGACTTATCGACCTCGATAGACGTATCAAATCGCTCGAAAAGAGTATAGGTACTGATACAGTGAGCGTTTCAACCGATGTGGGTGCTAATTTGATATGTTGGACATTATTTAACAGCTTATGCAGTCTACTGAACGTTTCCCGGTACCTTTAGTTAACACTATCCAAAAGTTAGAACAACAAATGTCTTTACTCACCCAACCGAGACACCTTGATGCCATATCTCGTAGATTGAAACTGCTCAATTCTGAACTTGAGAAAGTAAACGAAAGCAAATCAAGACTGAGTAGTGATAATAATAGAGAAATAACGGAAACCGATGATGGAAGTCAACAAGGCTCGACAGGAATGAATATGGTGACACAGAATAAAGTCGACAAACTATTCAACTCACTTGAACGTATTGAGCCACTTATACCACTCACACCACATGTTCTTGATCGATTGACAACTTTATCTGAAGTCCATAGAAAAGCCTCTAACTCTGTTAGCGATATTGACGAATTGAAGCTTCAGACTATGAACATATCGAACAACATAAAGACACTCAATGATGCGACTTCAACACTCTCACAATCACTTGAAGAAAATGATAAGCTTGTTAAGTCGAATGTCGATAATGTTATGATGAGGATTGAAGAAATATCCAGTAGACTTGCAAGTCTTCAACAGAAGTAAATGTAGATATATGCATGCAAAACAACTATATAATCTATACTAGAAATTGAATGCTGACATGTCGAATTGATCGACATGCTGAGACGATTGTTTAGGCGTGGAAGCGATCACATTTGTCTTTGGGGTGCTGCTAGCTCGACTGATAGGATCTGGCGCCAACATTGCAGCAAAGTATGGTTTAGGTACTTCTTTACTACTTTTAGGGAATTTCCACCTAGCTAGTAAACGTAAGGCAAGGGCGTGAGTACCATTCTTCCTGAGTTGTTTGGCTGTGTAGAGGGCTAACTCACGTTCGTCCACTACCCTTAGTACGCCAGGCTGAGCAAGATAGACACTAACTAGAGATATATCGAAGTCGTACTTGTTGGCCAAATCATTTTCTTTGATTTCACCAAGTTCTTCGACTAGATCACTCAAAAGTGTCGAAAAGCTCTCAACCAGACACCTGGAAGCAAGATGATGTTGTCCTAGTTTGGATATAGTCACTGATGCCAAAGCTCTGTTACGAGATTTGACGGCGTACTTAGCGAGCTCTTTCGTGACGTCTGTATAAAGCTCCCAATCACCTCTTAAGCGAGCAATACATAAGGCCATCTCAAAATCCTGACATTGTTTCAAGCATACTTGAATTGCATCCTTAGTCTTACCAGCGAGAACGAAAAACGCAGCCGCATAATCTAAAGCCTGTAAGCCTACCAATTATCATGTTTATTAACTTACCATATCGGCGCTTGGAAAGCAATGCGAAGGCATTTTTGGTTGCTGCCACTTTGGCGTTATTGTCGTTATCGAAATCTTTTAGGAGGAACTTGAGAATGTTGTCACGTTCTCGATGACCATAGGCGAATTTCCAGAGTGTACTAACACTGTTCTTTTTTCCAAGTGCAAAGTAAATCAGTGAAGATCCATAAAGTGTTGGATCAATTTCATCCTCATGATTGACCGCCATTTTCTTTGCGAGGCGATCCATTAGCTGTTGATATAAATCACTATCGCCAATCCAAAGTGAGGGATACGTAGATCTTATTTCATCTACCGACTTGGTTTCTTCGAGTTGCTCGATAAGCAATTGATGGTTATGTGACAAATGACCAAATATAACGCTGTTATCTGCTAAGATACCAAGCTTTGAGAAAACGAGGAACCTCCAAGTATTCTCGTCAGCATTTTTTGCGACGTTATATGCATAATTTATAGCCTCAATTGTACATTTGAGCTCATTGTAAAGGCCTTCATTACCTACTACACCTTTGAGTGTTGCAATTGACTGAAGGAATTCATCATCAACTTGTGGCCATTTCTCATCACTATCATCATCCTTATCGTCCACCTCTTGGACAAATTTAGCATGCAGATCACCGGTATTTTGAGTCTTAACCGCACGTTGAAGGTATTTGAAGATCCTTTTGAGAACACCATATTCATTCAAACGCAAGCAGTTTATGAGGAAGATATTATGCCACTCTTGAACTGGTCCAGCAAGCTCCGCTGTTAATTCATAGAGCGATGACTGACATAATGGGGCATCCCGAGCATACGGCTTAATGTCGACTGACATAAGATGCAGTATAGATTGAATATGAAGGTTACTGCCACATAAGAGACCAATTGAGGCATTCTGCAGGAAGGTCACGTGATCAATTGTTCTCCCAGATTCATAATCAGGTAAAGTAAGTGTCGTAAGCTCAATCCATCGCTTTTGCTCATCGTGTGTCGATATGAATACCTTAGCACTAGAACGCTCATTGAATAATAAACACAGTCCTTCCTCAAAGTCGTCTAAAAACAAAAACTCGACATCTCGTATTTCCCCGCAGCTTCTGTATTCAAACTCGAGATCACTACCATACTTATTCGAAGTTGGTTTGTATACTCTAAGGTAAGATCCTTTCGCATCAGATGATACAATAGCTGTATGGTGAGTTTTGAAGCACGATTGTATATTTACGATGTTTTCTGGACAATCAATTGCAGTAGTTATTGGGAGAGACTTAAGTTCATTTCTTGATAATCTCAAGAATCTGATCATGTTATTCCTATCGAGGATTGTTACGATAGGGCTCGAAAACTTCACTTTGATCTGATCCCGTGAGCGAGATTTATACGATGGTACAAAATGCTTGTTGACGAACTTAGCTGATGATACTGATAATTGTTTGAGATCAACTGGCGAACTTTGTTCATACTCTACTACACAATTCTTAAGAGATAACCAACGAACTGACACCTCTGAATTGTTATACTCTATCACGTAAATATGATGGCTAGTATTCGTAAATGTGACACTAGATGAAAGTTTCGAAGGCATATTAGTTATCAAGTCATTATTCCTAAACACTTTCATGTCATTTTTGAAAGCTATCACTGTGACTAGATCGTTTGTTAGACAATGGTAAATAAATACCTTGAAAACCCTTACCATCATTGACACAAATAAAGTCTAGAACCTCATCCAAGCTGTTAAAGTTAGAGCCACTTTCAATCATTCTTAACTTATGCAACGCATTCGACGGGCTGTCGAGTATATTCCAGTTTATGAGTCTCTTCTCATTATGAGAGTAGGTACTCAAAGAATGACCGAAACTATCAGTATTGATTTTGGTAATACTATCGAAATGTTGGGTATGATGAATATTTCTAAGCCATTCGATAGGTGGATGAGCCTTTGTGTCTGGTATTGGATCAAATATAGACGCAGGGTTGAGGATACCAACGAGGATACCTTTGTTGTTATCCCTCAATGCTAGAAGATAAATAGGCGAATAGTTATGATCCTGACAGCTGATTTCTATATCGATGATATCATTCGGTATCGAGTCCGGTAGTTTTATATGTACGACTGGCTGGCTTCTAATGTAATTTGATGATTCATGAGTTGTATCATGAATAGCGTTTATAGTCAAATTGTAACCATCAGAGCTGATGTTTAAAATCAGATCCCTAGAGTATTGAGATATTTGTGAAACTCTTTCGTATCTTCTTTCTGCTATGAGTGAAGATAAAGGGTTTGATTGATGTAATAAATAATTAGAATCCGATAAAGCTCTTCGCAGTAGTAGATCAGTCGTGGATGGACCGAGCCAGAAGCTTCTAAGGAGAGAAGGCGATACATAGATAGTCCATGGTTCGAATTTACTTGGTGATGATCGATGATAGGCATATAGATCATTATCGACAGTTTCGATGATAAGTAAATTGTTATCTCTCCACTGAATGGATCTTATTAGAGATAAGTGAGGGAGCAGTTGCAGCTGGGCGGGCGTGTCTGTGATAGAGTACAAATGAACAGTAGAGCTATCTTTATATGAGAGCGCCAGCAGGTCTAGATTTGGGGATATAGACGCGAGTTGAGGATCTGAGTGTAGATCAACAGATTGTGACAATCGGTAGTGTTTGTATAGTAGCAATTTATATTTTGTGAGTACGACGGTGAGATGTCTATGATGAGTGTAGCTAATGATGCCATTCAAGTTGATAGAGTGTACTAAATGAATGCGACCATCTAGTTTTATAATATCCAAACAATCATCTCCCTCTATAAAAACGAGATCGTCATAACAACCAATAGATTTTGGTCTAAAGGGTAAAGTATAAAAGTTAAGGATTTTAAAATTAAAGTTGAATATAAATAAGTAATTATTTAAATTTAAAATTAATTTTGAATTTAAATTGTTGATTTTCGTTGATATCTCTATACACTCATCATTGTCGTACATCAAGAGAAGAGATGGGGGACAATCTGAGTGAGTGCTATCTAGAGCAATAGAGATCTAGCTTAACGCAGAGCTTCAAAGTCATTAGGGATTTCGCTTATGCTCAGAGCGACGATAGATATAAAGGTTTACACTCTAATTTAAGACCTTCTATAAAGACAATGCTATACGATTTTGAACCCCTGAATGAATCAGAGTTGGGTGTACATGAGGGCGATCTCGTCTACGTTATATCTGAGTTTAGTGAGGGTTGGGTGGTAGCACGACGAGTTGAGGAATTTAATAACAAGGATGATTATAAATTACAAGAGATTGAAGGCATCATCCCTTTTAGCTATATTGACTGGAATTTCGATCTTCAGTTTAGTCTGGAATGAAGCACTGACCATTCCACTATTCATTCACTCACTAACTCCACCAACCTTAGCCTTTTACGATGAAAATAATATTTATCTTACTACAATTTATTGGATTTTTACTAGCCATAGTACCTACACCAAAAGAATACTCAAATGGCGACTCCTTCTTGATCCTCAATAATGACATCTCAATTAATTCCCCTGATTTCGCAACTACTTTAATAGAAAACACTATCAATAACATCAAACAATCTCAACATAGACGTCTCTCCATTGGATTAGGTGGTGAAGATATTGAGCAACTCAGCCTTGCAACTTCATTCATCAACACCCTTGAAGTGACCATCGATGACTCAACTTCTATTCAAGATATTTTCAACCAGCCTATTGATCAACGTAATGAACAATACACTCTTAATATCCCTGACGATGGCGATGACGTTACAGCTGTGATTACCTCAAACAACATTTTAGGTTTACACAGAGCATTAGCAACATTCGAACAACTCTTTTACGTCAACCCATCAGATAGTGATCAACACTACATTAACAATGCACCAATTGAGATTGAAGATGAACCTGAATTCGGTTGGCGTTCAATCATGTTAGACACTTCACGTAACTACTACAAGAAAGATTCTTTGAAGGATCTTATTAAAGCAATGGCATTCGTTAAGCTCTCTGTCTTTCACTGGCATATAACTGATCAACACTCATGGCCATTAGTCACTGACGTACACCCTGAACTTTATGAGAAGGGTTCATACCCTGGTATGCTTTATACTCAAGAAGATGTTGATGAAGTAATAACATTCGGACAAGAAAACGGAGTTGATGTAGTTATAGAATTAGATCTTCCCGGCCACACTCAATCTGTCGCTGAATCACACGCTGATTTAGTTTCATGTATAGACAGAAGACCATGGTCAAACTATGCAGCTGAACCACCTGCTGGACAATTAAACCTTGAAAATGAAGCGGTTTTGCCATTCGTTAAGGAAATTCTCGATGATTTACTCCCACGTACAAAATCACACTACTTCGGTACAGGTGGTGACGAGCTTAATCCAGCATGTTATGATATGACAACTGAAACTCTTGCGCCACTTGTTAGAGATTTCCAAGAACAATTGACTGAAAAATTAAACGAATATGGTAAAGTTGGTGTCGTCTGGCATGAATTGTCAACAGAGTATGAGATGCCACTCCCAGATGGTACATTAGTAATCAACTGGTCGACTGCGGATTTCACAAGCGAGATTCTTTCAGCACAACCAGAGGGTGTGAAGATTATCCACGCTGCTTCGGATTACATGTACCTCGATTGCGGTACAGGTGGATGGCTCGGTGGTGCACCAGATGGAACAAGTTGGTGTGATCCTTTCAAGAGCTGGCAAAAGATTTACTCATTTGACGCTTATGCTAACATGTCAGAAAACGACAAGGCTAGAGTAGCAGGTGGAGAGACCACGCTTTGGTCAGAGCAATCTGATTCCGCCAACTTTGAATCACTCATTTGGTGAGTCGTACGTTCTTCCTTTTTAGGATTTTAACTGACAAATGCTCAAGGCCACGTGCTGCTGCTGGAGCTGAAGTATTCTGGACACACCCATCACCAGAATCAAGAACTACAAATGCGGATGATGCACTCTTCAGAATGCACGACGTTAGATACCGTCTCGTTGACAGAGATGTCCATGCTGCCGCTCTTCAACCATTATGGTGTGCAGTCAGACCAGGTCAGTGTAATATTTAAGATTAGTTTAAAGTGTATTAAATTGATTATACTTTTACAATGCATAAGTAAGCAATTACATGAACAATAAGCAAATTAACGAATGCGAGGTCTCCAGAGTGGGATACTATTAAAACGATTGACGGTATTGACACCAAAGCTAGAGTCAAAATCACTCTGTGGATAAACACTCTGAAGTTGGCTTCTCGCTGTATTCTCTATACGTCTCAATATGTTTGATCCGCGTTTCTTGAGGCTGACTTTTGGTTTTACACCCTCGTTGATATCTTTGTCGAGTTTGTCGAGCTCGAGAAGATCCATTTCGGAGAGATTATCTGTCAGTTGTCCTTCTATACCATTGAACTTCTCAGCTTTGGTCTCTACTTGATTTTCCTCTGTCTTTTGGTGGACATAACATGTGCTTTCTTCTTGCACACCATTGTTACTCTTCTCGGTAGTTTCTTCTAGTATTTGCATCTCTTCTTTACGAGTCCTATCCATTTCTCTGTCGAATGCAGCACGTAATGACTGGAAAGTCGCGCTCGGAGTGAAGACGTAACTATCATCCGCAAACAACTCCTTATCATAACTTGAATAAATCTCAAAGAAATCGTGATCTGGTGAATCAAGCGCATTATCACCATTTGATAACGCTGGCGGGGTAGGCGAGCGCAATCCAGTCTCTATAAACCTCGGCGTATCAGTACCTATGCCCGGATATGGCAAGGGGGTAGGCAATGGTGGGGGTTGCTCCGTCGCATCATCCTCCTTAATCCATAAACTTGATGGTCTACTAAAGTTCCTTGGTGGTCTTTGTGGCTTCTCAACAACATGTAAATTCTCCGTAGTTGTCAGGTTTGGCGTTATCGCTTCCCGTCCGCTCGTTGCGATGTAATTGCTTACAGCAGCAAGTGATGGAGAAGGCGTTGGGAGGGTCTGTCCAAGGAAATCACTCGGGGTGAGCTCCAACAAGCTACTTGTATCCGCCTCATGCTGCTCTTCCGCTAGGAGGCTCTCGTCGTGCAAATTAGGTAATGAAGGATGGGAAGCCCCAGGCGGAAGCCTGTTAATAGATCCTGAGGCTGGACTAGGGAAATTGAACGCTCCTGGAGAAGATAATACGCGTTCGCGCAGAGCGCCTGCTTGCGTTGGTATGAAAGACATACAAGCCCTGATCACATCTTTGATAGGCGCATGTCCGCGAGTTGTAATCATTCTATGTGTATAATGCACGCTCTGTGCACCAGGACCAAGTACGAATTCTGCACCGAGTTGCTTCGTATCACCCGGTTGTGTAGGTGTAAGTCGGGTAGCGATTGAGATAGCCTCCCAACTGGTTAGGTTGTGTGTATAACCTCCAACATCCTTAACTGTGCCTGGATTATTTGAACGCATCTTAACTCCCAGACTACCATAAACTGAGCGTGTCACATCACTATATATTGGAAAGGGAATCTTCAATGTACGACGATAAGACGCGATAACTTTATATGAAGTTGGCAAAATGAAAACGATCGGGAGCGATCTATCTATTTCTGATACTGTTTTGGCATACGCTTGACACATATTGCAGTATGCGTGGCGTAACAGAATGACTATAGTCCGCCTGGTGCTGTAGAGACTACCGAAAACAACACTTGATCCATCCTCACCGATTAGTGTGCAGCAACTCGCGTCGAATAATTGTTTCCCGGATGGTGGTCGCCTTGCATAATCAAGTAAATCGGCTATACGTCATCAGCAAAAAATCAGAACAAAAAACCTCAAACACACCTTTACGCGCGAGAACTTTATGTATCGTTTCTTGCGACTTTCTAAGCTTCTTCCTGTCTCTAAATTGTACTCTCTTCACCTCGTCTGAAAGAAGTGGCAAGGCAGATGACGACGTATCACTGAGGGCCTGTATGTCATGACCCGTAGCCGGTAAGCTTACTACACGTTTGCGCTGACTGAGCTTATCCAGGAATCCAAAGGAGCTCGAAGAACGCAAACCCGCTGGTTTCTTCGTAGCTCCTGAGCGTGCCGAAGACGAATCACTGCCTCCAGTGACCGTGGCTGTGGTGCCAGAAGCAATACGTGTCATAGCACCCTTCTTCTCCTCCTCTTCAGCGCTAAACACTTGACTTTTCCTCTTATTTAGGAATTTAGCTGTTATCTTTCCACCTAGACTTGCTTCAGATTTAGTCCGCTGACGCGCATTTTTACCTGGCATTCTAGTGGTATGTGTTGAGACCAAAAATAAAACGCGTCAAGAAATCTAAATTCGATCGGCTACCAAACATCCAAATAAGGAAGGTGGTACGAGAAAATTTTCTTTCGCTTTAAAACATAATAATATGTAAAACAATTTAAAACAATTTTAATTAAACAAGGAAAGGGTGGAGTAATGCCTGTGATGCTGTTAACCTTCGGGTACAATCCAATGTGAAAAGTTTCTTAAGGAGATCGATCGCATTATATAGTTCAGTCTCTGGCCAAGCTTGTGTAAACTGTGTTTTAAGACTCTTCTCAAGACTCTCTTTAATCTCGTCGTCAAAGTCAACATTACAGAGGTCGAAAATATCCTTGTTCTCCTCTTCCTTGATATCATAATGCCATGCAGAAGGCGGTCTTGGGAATATGAAAGGGTTTAATTGATATATGAGTAAATGTAAATGCCTGCCTTGATGTTGTATTGATGGTAAATTTGAAAGGATGCTTCTATTGTGTAATTCCGCACATCTATTCATTCTCTTAAGGCCAAAAATGGTCGTCAGCTCAACCAATGCCTCATTATCGTCATTTGAGTTAAAAAATGGGAATCTCCTACTAAGAAAAGATAACAAGATGACACCAGCTGACCATATATCGATAGCTGCACGAGTGTTCAACATCAAAAATAGAACACATTGATAAAATACTCACCTGTAGTCTGGTCCTGACATTTAAGTAACACCTCGGGAGCTCTGAAACCTCTTGTACCTGCTCTGTTAGCTCTCACAACTGGTCTTCTCTCATCTGTACTATATCCAACATTACTTTTAGGATCATTCATGCGTCGTTCAGCCTCTTTGATCGCCTCTGAGGTTTTATTAATCGCCCTTGTATCCTTTTCAGTGCGTATGCTTTTATTAGTCAATTTATTCTGTCCAAGTGGGTATTCCTCTGTTGGTATAGTGTGATGACAATGATCTGTCCAGCTGTTTTGCGTCAACATGTACTGCGCCAAACCGAAATCGCAAAGTACTCCTTTCTGATCTTGCAACGAGAAAAGAAAATTAGCAGGTTTGACATCTCTATGGATAACCTCCTGTTCATGAATGTCTTTCAAGGCTCTAAAGAGCGACCTAAAGTAATTCTTAACTGTCATATAATCGCAATGTCGGTAGAATTCCCTAAAATCATTGTTTGGATGATATGGCATTACAGCCACGACTTGATCTTCATGTCTAATCGCCGTTATCAGACTAGAAACATATTTTGAAGTTCTGAAACGTGTCAATAAAGTAACAATAGGAGAAGCCATCATCTAACCTCAATTGATAGAGCATTTCAAGTTCATTCTGTATTCTCCATGGACAAGAAGTAACATAGATCCTCTTTAAGGCTACATAAACTTTCGAGCGCTCCCTCAACTGTCGTGAATCAACCTGCTCTTTAGTAAACCAAGTACTGTTATCATAATCGTGATGCTTCAAATCGATAGCTTTATAAACAGCTGAGAAGGTACCTTCACCCAGTTTATCTACCAACTTAAACTGTTCGCTGAAGCCATCAATATTGGTATATAGTTCACACATGTCTTCAATAGCTTTCAGGCGTTCTTCGTGTGGTAATCTACGTAATTCCTGACAGTCTTCGTAATCAGCGTCTATACCCAAAACAGAACTTGGTTCTTCTGGTTCTTCATCATTTTCGTAATTGTTCTTATCGACGGCTACTTGATCATAATAGTCGTCTTCCTCGTCCATCAGTTCTTCTTCCTAGATAGCGCGTTTAACATAAGATTGGCGGAGTAAAGATATAATATTTACAGCTTCTGCTTGTATTTCTAAAGAAACATTTTAGAAAAGTGTACAAATTTACGCGATTTACTCACTTTCATCATCATTCTGATTCATCGCTGCAACTAAACAAGAAGAGTCTAAAATGCACCGAAGTATATAAAAATAGTATAAAATACAATAAAATGTATGTATATATATCAAAATAATGTGTGTATAAGTTAAGCTTAACGTCTTGAGTTCGTACCCATCTTTCTCTTACCAGACAACATCCATTTTGGTTTGGTAGTTTGGATATGTCTATCAGATTCAGAAGCCTTTGATAATCTCGCTGGTTCTCTTTGAGCCAAAGAACGGTATTTCTTAGCTTGATCTTCATTAGCTTTGCTTCCGAGACCACCGACAGCTCTGTTCTTCTTAGGAGCACGTGGGTGAGCGGCTTTATCGGCGGCTGCAACACCTTTAGACTTCTTGCTTGATTGCTTATCTTCATCAACTTCCATTCCTTCTTCATCACTTGCACCTTCATCATCCTCGGCCATTTCAACATCATCGTGTTTACGTTTACCAACCAATCCTTTAGATTTCGCCAAAGCAATAGCTCTGCCTTCAATATTGGAAGCGTCAATACCTTTGCTGGCGAGATCGGCTGTCATATCAGACAATGTTCTTGATTGTTGTGTCCTTGGCATGATTGCAGACTTCTTCTTTCTAGTTTGGTCCTGTGATTTCAACTTAATCAAGTTATTTTGACCACGAATAGCTTCAGCGTTGGCTCTAGTCTCCTCTTCCTCACTATCAAGGATATCTTCATCAGAATTGTAGAAACCTTCAGCTTCAAGTTTCTCCTCTTCACGTTCAAGCGCTTCCAACTTCTCTTCAATGTCAGGATCAACGAAGTCAGCGACGTTGTGACCGTTAAGGAATTCTGGCATTGTATCCTTCTTCCAATCGTCATTCTCAAGAAGGTAATACTTGTGAAGATCAACACTATATACACCAGTGCCACCATTGGCTTCTTCAATATCACGCTCGAGTTTTCTTCTCTCTGGGTCCTCCTTGTCGTAACCTTTACGTTGCTTAACAACATCAGGAATTTGAGCAGTACGTTCAACATCGTCTCTTGGTTTTGGTTGAGCGACGTGAATTCTGTTAACGACAGAGTTAATCTTTGAACCACGCATCTTCGTGTCAACTCTGTGTGCTAAAAGAGTTTCACAGACTTGATTACGAACGTCCATGATACCTTCCTCTGACATACAAGATAACTTCATGTCCTTGACATCACCGTCCGCGAGTACTTCCTGTACAGCTTTCTTCTTTTCTTCGGTCAAATCGTCAAATGTAGTAACGTCAATCTTGTTGAAAACGATTGAAACTGGCTTGTTGGCGAATAAAGGCTTGATTGAGCTAAATAATTTACATTGAGCTTCAACTGTGTAACCACATTGTTCAGATAAGTCCATAAAGTATAAGATAGCGGAACGCAAGTGAGCCATAGCGGTGATAGACTGCATTTCGATAGTGTTCATTTCCTCCAATGGGTGGTCGAGAATACCTGGAGTGTCTATGACTTGCCAGCGGAGGTACTTGTAGTCCATGTGTCCAACAAAGAGAGATTTTGTGGTGAAAGCGTATGGTTGAACGTCAACATCAGCTCTTGTGATCTTGTTGATGAAGGATGATTTACCGACGTTTGGATAACCACAAATCAAAAGAGTTCTGGTTGTAGGATCGATAGAAGGTAAACGTGCGATGTGTTGTCTGACTTGTTCTAAATAAGCAAGTGGATCCTTCTGTCTACGCATGACGGTAGCCATACGACCCATAGCAGCTCTCTTAAGTTGTTTGCATCTGTAAAGAGAGTCACCAAACTTCATAAGTCTAATGTAGTCCTTGGAAACTTGATCAATCAAATGGCGAGCAGTGTTCAATTGACCGAGAGCGAGCTTGTAATGATTTTTGTCGTATAAAACGTTCATAAGAGAAGACAAAAATGGGTGTAAATTCTGCAGTTCGTCAGAGAGAAGACATTAGAAAAGAGGAAAAACTGACATCCAAGATAGGGAATTCTGATAAAATGGCATCCAATTTCTCGTTGAAGCATTCTTGAGTGAATTTAACCTTTCTCATGTCTAAATAGCATGTTAGTGGTGTAGATAGACTGAAGCGAAAAACGAACAGAAAGATCTAATACGTGACTGGATTAAGTCAGTAACGCGCTAGTAATAGTAGAATGAACCCACGATCTTAAAATTCTTGTGAATAACAGTTGGAGTCTTCCTTTGTGTTTTTGATAGGACAACTGGCTGGGATTAGCTGATAGCGAGCTATAAGACGACAGAACTAACTATCTAAGAAATCCGTAGCCGTAGGAACCGGCGCGATGCTCTTGAGTGATTTTACAGGCCCAGACATCTTCGCTGGTGGGTGTATGAAAGCAAGAGATATATGAAAAAATTTATGGAGACAAGATAAAATTATTCAAACGGTGAGAGATTTTCCCATGAACTTGCGTTTATTAAATGCCATCCACCACTTCGATGGCTTGTCCTGTGACTCTGAGTAGAAGATTGGTATAAGACGGTTGACGGTCTCTACTCTGGCTTGAGTGAGATAGCTGCGTAGGTAATCTAACGATTGGGTGAGCGATAACAGAGGGATTCGATCAGGAAACTAACCTCCATCCATACGTGATCCTGCTGGTGCGTAGAGTGAGTTCAATGGGAAACCGGCTTCACCAGGCAAGGCGAATGAGTCGACAGCTAGAGTGTGCAGTTGCTTAGATGCTTCGTTGACATTTGGCTCTGTTTTTGATAACTTTGCGATGCAGTCTGATATAAACAAGATGAGGTATATCAACAACCTATCAGCACCACCCTTTATTTCAAAGTTTCTGAACAAGCTGTTGGCTCTAAACAAGAGAATAGACTCCGTGATAATATCGACGTAATCCTCGCTGTTTGGTGGTAATGGGGCTACACCTCTATACTGTGACTTGAACGGAAGAATCGAAGTGTTACCGATTTGCTTAGCTGTAGTGTCTTCGTTGTAAACGCTGTGATACGCCTGTTATTTATTAAATATTTTATTTACTTATTTACAGCTCACTTACTGGCATCTCTGATTAAAGTGACGCAGCCGCGCCCTTCGCTTCTAACGTCGTCAATCTAAAAAATGTTAAGTCGTACAGCTGCGATACTAAGACAGCAGCCTTCTTTCTACGTCGGCGCTACACACCAACCAAGGCTGAAATCCCACTATGAAAACACTCTAGCACCTGCACTACTTTATATGAACTACAACGCTAGGGATCAGCCCCAGACTAAGCCATTGCCGTCTTGGGACGCTCAAGACCCTTACACTGCTCACCGTCAACAACCACGCCCTCGCGGTAACCGAGATCCCCTCCCAAATCCAACTGTACCATCAGCAAAGAAGAACATCAAATTAGAGAAAGTCATAATACATACAATGGTAAAAGAATCTATAGTAAACAAAGGCGCTCTTTTGTCAGCTATTATGGCATTACAATCAATCTCAGGCCAAGCTCAACACTCCGGTGGTGATTTTAACACCACAGGTGTAACAGTTTGCAAAGCACGCAAAGGTGTAGCTCAATGGAAAATTCGTCAAGGAATGCCTCTCTCCGTCAAAGTTGAACTTACAGGCGACAAAATGTACGACTTTGTCGACGCACTCACCGAGTTCGTCTTACCCCGTATGAGAGACTTTAGTGGTGTTTCCCTCCCACCAGTCAGTGCAGATCCAAAATCTCCTTCAGCAAGCTCAGGTGTCTTCCAAATGGGTCTTCCTCCAGCAGCTATGTCCCTTTTCCCTCAAATTGAAGCTGCATTCGATTCTTACCCTCGCTCGCATGGTATGGACATTAAATTTATCACAAACTACAAAGGTTATGGTGCTGAAGCAAAAACCAGAGCCTTGATGTCCGGACTCAGAATTCCTTTCGTTCCAAAGTAATCTGCATATATATAGACTTTTATTCATATCTTTCACGGTTAATTTCCTGTTACAAATCTTCTGCGTTAACAATCCTGCAATCATTGATTAAAAGTAATAAACAGTGTCCTAGTGTCTGATTACTGATATCTCGTGGATAAGGATCGAATTGAAAGTTGCTGGCCAGTAAAAAGCTATATAACCGTCTAATATAATCCCACATCTATATGTTGAGCAATCAATCCAGCTGCTATGATGTATGTGTTCGTAGATATTAACAAATCATGACGCTATCAATGAAGTAGACAGGCTACCTATTACAATTTACTTAAAGCTTTAAAATGTTTATATTAGCTGCTACAGCTCATTCTTCTCTTCTGCGTTAATACACTTCATAATGTGTGAACTGCCTAACAAAGTAAAGCACGTGTAACATGGTAAAATACATTGTAAACTTAAAATTACAAATCCGATAAATATTCGCAAAGATCTGTGGTCATCCATTAGTGAATCTACGCACTAGGTACGATCTACAGTATCACTCTTGTGCATCTCCTCAGTCAACTGGCGAGCGTCTGGCCTGGCAGGCATAGCATCCACATTCATATGCATCTCCTGAAGACGTCTAGTAGTCGTTGGACCGATACTGGCTAACTTAGTATCTAGTTTGAGGTTTTTGATAGCAGGTACTATGACATTTGCACCGCTAGGGGAGAATATCACAGACCAGACGGTATCTGTACACTCCTTCTGTTTTAAAGTTGTCTCAATTTCCTCAGAGGCTATTTGCTGGGTCGCGTAGACCTGTAGACGCGTTATCTCAACTCCATGGTCTTGTAGGATATTGCTTAACTCCGACGCCGTCTTATCACCTACTAAGTAAAGGATCCTGCGTGGTTTCTCCTCACGTGAGAGTATATACTCCGCCAGTTGGTTACCATTTCCTGATTCCTCACCGCCTAACACATCTCTAGGAGCTAAATCGGGGTTGATAGTATCCTTTAGTGTCTGTAGAGCATTGCTAGTTGACGGGCCGACAGAATAGAATGGTATATTACTCCAACTGCGAACATAATCAACTTCGATCACCAATGAATATCATACCGACCTTATAGGAGAATCTATACCTATACTGGCTTCTTTCCATGCCTGCACGGCTCTCTGTGATGTAACAAGTACGGCATCATAATCATGAGCACTCTTGTGAATAAGCTCTCTTAGGCGGGGTATATCGACAGATATCGAGCGCAAAACGGGTATGAATAGAGTATCGTAGCCACCTTCAGTAAGTGCATCTTTGTAGTTACTCGTCTCCTCCTTGAAGAGAAGTACACGCATGTTCGAAGTTCGCAGTCAAGACGAATGAGCAGCACATCCGACCAAGGATCTGAGCTGAGGTCCTTCTTCGCCGGTATCGGCTCAGGATTGACAAAAATGGTCGTCGGTATGTCTTCTCTCCTCGCTACGTACCCTGGCTGACATGCTACAGGACACCCATTTGATACGTGAGTATAAGAGTTGATAGGAACAACTGGCTCACAGGAGTAGTATTAAGGTAAATAGTATACTAAATTAGCGTTATTTTACTAATAAACTACAGACACGCTTGCAATGCTCACCACCTGGTGTTTTCAAAGGTCCGATAGACTGCCTGCGCCAGACATTACTCAAGGAGAATATACTGGCGCTCTACAAGGGCGGTCTAGCACCTGCCATTAGCTGGGGTTGTTCTGATGCACTCTTAATGGGCAGTCTGCATAACTATAGAATACTGATCCTCGAGAACAAATTAAAGTTCTTTACTGAGCCTATGCCAGGATCTTCTGACAAGACCAGGCTCAGTTTGGCTGGTATGTGTTCTATTACATCGATGTTTCACTTTAACATTGCCTAGGTCAAGCATTAGCGGGAATGGGTGCAGGATGGACAAAGTGGGTTTACTTACCTTTATATTACTTTCCTTACATATCCATTAGTGGTGTAGTCGCTCATCCAGCTGAACTTGTTAAGGTCCGCCTTCAAAACCAAATGGAGCGGAACAAGTCGGAAAGGAAGTATTCAGGACCATGGCCTATAGCAAAAGAGGTATACCAGCAACATGGAATAAGAGGCTTGTATAGAGGATATGCCGCTACTCTTCTCTTCCGCTCAAATATGGCCGTACTCTTTTCAAGCTTCGAGGTGAGTGCCCGTGCGTAATCCAATAGAAATGCTAAGATTACAGCTCTGCATGAGAGGTTTCAAAAAGTATGAAGTGAACGTAAGTGTGGGGACGGCGTCCTTCATTTCTGGGGGAGTAGGTACCTGTTTTGAAGATCAATCACAGCTGAGCAATTGTAGATTGGTGCAACTTTCTTTTGGATTTGTGCTTTGCCATTTGACAACGTAAAGAAGTAAGGTGTGTCTTGTCTTTTTATATTTCTCGTGCTTTTGCGTTGACTTAAAAAGTTCCACCACTGCCAAGGCTGAACTAGCTCACGGACTAATAAAGCCGGCTGCTGTTTGATGATTTGAACAAACCACAGCTCAAGGGCGTTATAGATACAGCAACAAAGATATATAAGACAGGCGGACTTAGAAACTTTTTCAAGGGGTTCACCACAGTGCGTTCCTACCCCTTAGAAAGCGGAATAGACTAAATATAACAACTAAACAGGTATTTGTGAGAGCATTTCCTACGAACGCTGCTGCCCTGGGTACATGGACCTATATTATGCATGCGTTTGCTAGTTAATCTAGGTTGCTTAGTCACTTGGGATAATATATGTCTCATCTCTTATAGCAAGAAAAAAGGATAAAATTTATAGAATAGAATTGCTATTATACTTGGCTATTTAAATATTGTATATTGTGGTTGAATGGATGATAAGATATTTCTGTAACTAACGTACGAAATGACGGTCAGTTGTCCGTCAAGCGTGTATATAAGCTTGAGAGTTATATAGAGCATGCTCTTAGGCTAGCATGCACAATAAAAAGCTCTGAGCTATTTCGGGCTACTTGGCAAATTGTTACCGTAAGCGAGATTTGGCTCTTTTCATTATTCGACCAACTTGATGATTTAAGGATGAATTTGGGCTCAATAGACGAGAAATTTGATAATGAAGCTGATGTACATCGTACGATTTTCATAGAGCTCGACAAAGTCATGAGTGAGAGTTATGTCAGGCTTTTGCCCGCACTGCTTTCATGGCCTGAGAATACAGCCGTGAAGTACGTGAGAGCGATGCAGACATCAACAAATAACCTTGGACACGCCTTCGTTACCTTCCCTAGCCAGCAAAACGCTTTGGATGTTCTCTCGACCGTCAACAAGGTATCCATGCCTGGAACGTCTAGGCCGTTCAAAGCAGACTGGGCTATAAATGCACCGCATTTGATAGCCAATCCGTTTACGTCTACGAGGTCCCCACTCCATGATACGCGCTCTTCAAATTCACCTGAAAAGCTCGTCAATGAATTCTCAGTTTTTGTCGGTGATTTATCTCCCGACGCGACCGAGCACGATCTTATGAGAGCATTCCAACATCCACCAAATTTGTCTAATCCATTCACGACCTGCACAAATGTCAAGATTATGACAGACAACGCCACCGGCTCATCCAGATGTTTCGGTTTTGTTCGTTTCTCAAATGAGGATGAAATGATCAGAGCGTTAGACGAAATGCAGGGTATCCCAGTTGCCGGTCGTCCGATAAGACTTTCAACCGCGACACCAAAAGTATGTTTTACTAATTGACACATCAACTTTACTAATCTGTCTCAGATCAAAACACATCAGCACCATCATCAACAACAGCAATCACATTTTCCATTACACCCTACGCCACATGTATACCCTTTGAATACCGAGCAATCCTTGCTCGCACTCGACGAAGAAGCGGAGAGACGAACTCAAAGGCAACGCGAATTACAATCACAGACACAACCTGATCATTTCAGCAGGCTCGCAAATCTCAACTCCCATCCATCCACTGTACCATCTTCGACGGCATCACATATCGCCAATGCAGCAGTCGCAAACGCATCTTCAGATCCACACAACACTACGGTTTTTGTTGGTGGTTTATCTTCCCTTATTAGTGAGGACACTTTGAGGGTATTTTTCGCACCATTTGGAGCTATCACGTATGTTAAAATACCTCCGGGCAAAGGCTGTGGATTCGTTCAATTTGTTAGAAAAGCCGATGCTGAACGTGCAATCGAAAGGATGCAGGGTTTCCCGATTGGAGGTGGTCGTATTCGTCTCTCTTGGGGTCGTTCTCAATGTGAGTCAAAACCTTATAGAATTACTATTGATATTGACTACTGTTAGCTGATAAAGCCGCACAAGCAGCAGCACAAGCAGCTCAATTAGGATTAGGCATTGGTGCACTCGGTCAAATGGCTAATTTGTCACCTGCCCAAGCCATGCAGCTGTCTACCGCTTTACAAAATTTGGGCAATGCCGGTGTAACCAACACTAGTGTACACAATGCTATAAAGCATCTCGCTGCTGCTACTTCTGGGTTGCGTGGACAGAATGGAAGTCCTACTCAATCTCCAGGACCATCTCTATACAATCCTACTTTAGATGTCTTTCAACCTCAAGACAACAGACAAAACTTCCAAAGACAGCCATCACCATTGGGTCAGGTAAACTTCGTAGGAAACAGCGGACTGCCACCTTCAGCTACTCCATCTGTTCCATCCTCAGCTGGACCAGCTGGGCGCGCCGATCCTATATTTTACATGCCACCTGATAAAGCCAATTATCCAGATTTCTCAACAATTGAACGCGAAAGAAGCTTATTCAAGACATTTATGAAACCTGAATCACCAGTTACACCAGGATCATCAGCATCATTTAAATCACCAGTTACGACAGCTTCAATTGATGAAAACTTCACAAATTTAACGTCACCAAATCCAACCAACCCAATGCCTTCACCACCATTAAAGGCTATGCCTACAAACACTCTAGAGAGTTACTTCAAATCGAGAGAGCATAACGCACAACAGCAACAGCATTATCAAACGCACGCACAACACAAAGAGCATCAAGTTGGCAATCTGGACGGATTCCTTGCATCTGAAGTTAGTGGATTAAATATCAGAGATCATCAATATATTAATCAGCGCGCAACTTCACCTTTATCGAACAATCTGCAAACCCATCAAATTCAGCAAAATAGTGATCGTGATATTAAGAATATTTGGAATTAGATTTTAATAGTTATCAATTCAATCGGTTTTGTTTTATTTCTCACTTTTTATTTTAATCAGTTTAAGCGACAAATGACGCATTTTACAAAAAGTTTTCCAGCAAAGTTCTAGCACGATTTTTTGCCCATTTTTCTCAATCACTTTCTTGTTTTACTAATCAACAACATCAAACAATGTGATCACATCTCAATAAAGAAGAAAAAGTTAAATACTTAACAAAAAAAAAATTTCTCATCATCATTCTCACTAGGTAGTTTTTTCGCATTTTATTAAAAAAATAGATAACAAACATTTGGATGCAAAAAGTATAATGACATACGCAAATCATTTTTCTTATACCTGAATTAAAGGATAATATTAACCAGTTTTTCGTGAATATAAACAAACATTGAACACAAAAAGAGTCATGAAAGTCTTGTTCTATCGCATCATACATTTTTTTTCTGTTTCTGTCTTTAATTTTTAAGTTTGTTCAAAACGCCCATAATTTGCTCGTAGCTTGCGAAAACTATTCCACCTGACATTGACAATCTAGCTAAACGAGGAGTTGTACCCTTCCAGAATCTAGTCAGACCCTCTTCTGTGAATATTCTATAAGCGCAATGGATTGAGTTACGGTATTCTGTACGGGCGTTGAGACCTTGCATACGCGTTTTGAGAACATCTAAAGGCATTGTTGAATAGACTGTAACAATACCTGCTACTGAACCTATAGCAAATGAAATTGATGCAGGGAGTGTCTGACCTGGTCTTGAGTTACCCTGTACAAATTGCTTAAGAGATGAGTAAGTTGTAAATCTTACGGCGGAGTTTGCAGCTTGTCTCATAATCTGTAAGCTGTCAGCAATAGTTCGAACATGAGACATAAACATACAACAGGTACGAGACCACTGTAGAGACCTCTGATACCTTGTTCCTTCAATATCAAGCTTGTTCCGTGTACTAAACCATTGAATCTTGGTGTCTTCGACTTCGCATCATCAATAAGCTTTGTCTTGATGGTCTCTGATGGTGTGACTGCAAAAATAGCCTCTGTAGTACCTGCTCCAAGGCCCGCAAGGAGCGATCTAGGGGCTGTGAGTTTACCCTTATAGATGTTAGCTTCCTTAACACATTTTTAGATGCTGCCTACATCTTTATCAACCAGGCTTTTCTTAAATGAATCATAACTGAGGAATCTAACACCAGCTTTGACAGCATTACCAATAACGAGTGCTGAACAACCGCTGTATAATCCTTTAACGCCATGCTCGCTGATCGTCGACTTGATAATTTGTATCGGAGAAGTCTTCACGCCCTGAGCCGAGAACTGAGAGCGAGTTTTGACGAATTCAGTAGGATAAGTGACAAATCCTTCAAAAGCACCACTTAATCCACCTGCTATCAAGCTGTCCATTTTCTCCGAAGATGGTCGTTTACTACAACCATCATACCAGCACGATAAGAAATGGAAACATGGCGAAAATTACCGTTAGAGTTGTGGAATTACATAATAGAACTTGCTTATCAAAATGGTGACGGTGATTGGAATGCTGCTCGTAGAGCTTCGCAGGTATGCAGATGTTGGCGTGATATGCTCCTGTCTATACCGTCTATATGGCAGAATGTCGAAATGTACGAGCATGATCTAAATGAACATGATATCAGGCTTTCTTTTGCACTCTTTGTTAAAACTATAAGGGATAGATCGAAAGATAGGATAAAGAATGTCAAAGTTATCCTTCGTGAGACGAAAGTACCAGGTGTAGCTATACGAACACTCCTTGATGATGATAAATTGGACAAGATTGTCGTACAATACACAGAATCTTTTAATGGGCCTTTCTTTGCACCTCCAACGTGCAAGGCATTAGAGGCGTATTCAACTCATACTCGCAATGACGCTGTCATCATACAAAATAATCATTTTGAGAGCGTGCGTCTCAAGAACGTCCTACCATGGTCTGTGAATGCGGATGACGGCATCAGTAATGGTTTGAAGCATCTTAGTATAGATTTACAAGAAAGAAGTAAGGATAAGATGACGGCATACACAATATCACAATGCAAGGATCTTGAAACCTTACACCTCGAAAATTTGAACTTCAGTTTACATGTTCCCGTAGTACTCAACAAGCTCAAAAAGCTATCCTTAGTTGGCAGCGAAACTCTTTTAAAATATTTAGAAGCACCTTCATTAGATGTTGCTACGATATACGGGCTTCGAGACTCCAGTAGTTATCTGTCTTACTTAGACGTCCGGCCACTGCGATATTTAAGAATTCAAGTTGATGATATCTCTGACGTCACTTCAAGTGCGTTCACTAACGAATTCGAAAATCTGGAGGTTTTACAAATTGACAACAATATTCCTGTCGATTGCCCTGACGCACGCGACCTACTCAAGCACATACTATTAAAAAAGGCAACTGCGAAGCTTAAAGCAATTAAGATATCTTCTGGCTATCATAACATCTCTCCTATACTCAGGGCACCACAGAATCTGTCGAAAATTGAGGAATTTGTTGTAGAGGACGCGGATCGTTTCACAACTGATGCATCTAAAGACCTTGATGATATTGAATGGCTAAAAAAGAATATACCAAAACTTCATCACGGTAATTACTGCAATTATGACAAAAAGGATTCGTATTTCCCCATAACATTCTCGTTTGATAATGTTATAGCTTAGAAATCAACGAAGTTGAATCAGAATGATAATTTGTACATTTGTATTAAATATATGTATTTCTACAAAAACACACAAATAGGTGATGTAATATGAAGTCACAACTTAGTCCATTTGCTCTCAAACTACTTTCTTCAGTACTAACGTTATCTAACTTGTAAAAGGAAGCATAGCGGTGGCCTTCAATAGAGTAATGAACTCATATAATCAGATTTGCTTTAAATAGTGTAATGGTTATTGGCGTGGTACTAGCTAATCTGTATTGATTTGCTAATATTGTCGTGATATCTTGTTTGATATACCAAATATCTGACAATACGTTATAATATGTTAGTTAGCTATTTCATAGGAATATCTCTGTTAATCCGTTCAAATCCTTTGAATGCAACAAAATAGCCGCAAAACAACGTAAAGAATCGCAATTCTGTCATACAGATTTTTAGCAGATGCAACGTGAAGTGTCACCCGTAATAGAATTAAGCCTAAAATATATTTCTGATTCAGTTTATTATAGTGAGTTACATACACATAATCTTTTTAGTTTCTGTTTGCAAAATAACAGAAGAAAATTTTGATCCACTTCGCAGATGTAGAACAATTATATTTCTGATATTTTGTGTAGACTGGTTTATATTTTTCTGAATGGCCGTATCCCAATGATAATAAGAATTGGCAACGATTGAAGCGTCTAGGAAGTATGAAGTTGGAAGACTCACTTTCGAACAAAGTAGGTTATTACAACAAGACCTTGAAAGATTATACAATATTTGGAGTATTCTTCATATACTAATGGCAGTTTTAACAGAATGTACATTGTGTTATAAATATATAGCTGTTATATGCTGGAAACCAAAAAAACCGTCTACTTTTAAGGCCAATTTAGTCGCTGTAAGTAAGACAAAATTATATTATACCAAAATAGATTGTTTAGGTATTAGACCTATACGATTTTTAAACGTGTAGTCTCATGTTCCAACGTCTCTGTCATATGATTTCAAAAAGTTAGATATCTCGCAGACTAATGACAATGATTAATGTGGTATATCAGAAACAAATGCCCTCCTATTTAGATACTTTTGAGCTGACACTGCGATGCGCTCAAAGCAATCAATACCAATACTGGTAGTTCTTCCTAAGCATTTATACTCATGCCACTAATGAAACAGTCTCAAATCTAAGAAATTATGTGTGAAAAAGCATCATTGGACGTATCCTGCGATTGAGGTACGACTCGATCTGAATGACTTTGTAAATGGATATCAAGGGCAACATTATTTTCCGTTAAAATCCTTGTTGTGAACGTCTTTCTATAAATATGTGGTTTCAATGTGATAGAAAGCCTAGACATGTCTGTGACGTAATTACAGATGCACACTAATAAGGCATAATAGACTCCTGATCAGGCAACCAATTAATGTGCAGAAGTATAAACTTTATAGAAAATGTTCCTTCAGTACTTAATTAAGCCAATTTTGGCGCGGACTATGACGTAGTCAATTATGTATCATGGCTGACACGGCTGATCATCTTACCGTTTTAACTATGAACATCTACAATCTGTCCACAGAACTTGAAATTGATCCCAATTATTCAGTTAAGAGCTTAGCTCAGTGTCTGGATAGCAGCAAAGATAAGATTAATCCCGAATCGACATCGCTTCCATACACAAAAACAATTCCAACACTGTTGCTATATGATAATAAGGGATTACAGATATATGACAAGATAACGCAAGGTGTGTTCACTGCCATTTTTCAGCTCACCCCACTAATCCGTATAGGTGACTTTTATTATCCTTTTTGGAAAGAATTAGAAATATTGCGTGACAACAAGGATGAAATAGCACGTAAATTATTTAACAACTGCAACGCAGGTACTGTTATCGAATTGGGAGCTGGTTCACTCAGGAAGACGTCTCACCTACTCTCAGCGATGGGAAACCTCAACAAAACAAAGAATGAAAGTGGCGACGTAGACTACTTCGCACTCGACTTGGATAGAGATGAACTCGAACGTACACTCGATGAGATGCGGGAACAAAAGTTAGACAATGGGGTAAATTTGGCAGGATTATGTGGTACATATGATATGGGCTTTAACTGGCTGAGCTCAAAGCTGAAAAGCGATACAAACTCGTCAACACCATCGATTGATCGCAAAGAATCTATTGTCAGTATGAGCGATTTCGATCCTTCTCCACCGCGCAAATCTTCACTTCCAACTCCTCCTTCTTCACCTGGATTGACTGGTGATACAAACGTGGGTGTTTTAGGAGATGATAGGGGTCCACTTTCTTTTTGGCACCTTGGATCGTCGATTGGAAATTTCGATAGAACCTCTGCAGTTTCATTCCTACAAACTGTCAGAGATAGCATGAGACCAGGATATGACACTCTTTTAATTGGTCTCGATGGACGCAATCAGGCACCAATAGTGAAACGTGCGTATGACGACGAATATGGCGTAACCGAAAGCTTCATTCTCAACGGTCTTTCACATGCTAGCCGTATACTTGCACCATATAATGACAATAATGAACAGCTCCTTGAAGGTAAATTCAGATATGTTTCGGTATACGACGAAGATAAAGGACGTCATGAGGCATATTACAAATCCCTTGAAGATTTCACTATCAATGTTCCAGTCGTAAATGCATTCAATGAAATCACAAATGGAGTGAAAGAGATAGATATAGCCAAAGACGAGTTACTAAATGTTGAATGGTCTTATAAGTACTCAGACGAGGAAGCCATTGCCCTGTTCAAGGCTGCCGGCTTGAGAGTAACTTACAAATGGACAGATAGCGAAAAAATGTATGGCTTGTGGCTCGTTGAAAGACCACCGTTCAATCTTCTCCCACCTAATCTTCCGATGTGGGCTTCTACAACTAGGCATTCGCTCCAGGGTGTACCACTCATCGATGATTGGTTAGAAATGTGGAAATGCTGGGATTGCATTATGAAAATGGTACCATCAGATATGTTGCACAGAAAACCAATAGACTTGCGACATATAGTTCTCTTCTACTTTGGACATATACCTGCCTTTTTGGACATATACATCTCGCGTCAATTTGGTGAGGCGCTCACGAATGAGCATTTCAAGGATATTTTCGAGAGAGGTATCGATCCTTCTATGGATGATCCAAACGTATGTCACGACCATTCAGCCGTTCCTGAGAACGAAGATGAATGGCCAACGCTGGAAGAAGTTCTCGAATTTGATATGAAGACAAGAGAGAGACTGCTCAACATCTACGCAGATATTGATCTTGGAAAGTTACATTTGGACAGACGTTTAGCGAGAGTGCTTCATATGACTTATGAGCATATGATTATGCATGGCGAAACATTGCTTTACATGCTCATCCAGAAATGTGAGGAGATAAACCCACCATCTGGTTTCAGTATTCCTGACTGGACTGCACTTAAGTCCCTCTGGGATGTAAAAGCTGAAGAGCGTAATCAAGTGCTAGAATTTGCTAGCCAGGACGTCCTTCTAGGACACAATGATTCGGAGTCAGGAGACTTCGATGCAGGAAATAAAAACGCGGACTCGCATGAATACGGATGGGATTGCGAGAATCCATGCAACAGGGTCCACGTAGAAGGCTTCAAAGTGGACGCTCTACCAATTCGTAACGGCGAATACAAAGAATGGTTGCAGAAGACCGGTAACAATCACTTGCCCGCATCGTGGGCATTGAGCGATGGTGAAATCAAGATAAGGACACTATATGGTCTCGTTGATTTCGTGATAGGTCAGTCTTGGCCAGTCCAGGATAGTTTGGAGCAGTTGGAGAAATTCGCTGTCGACAAAGGCGGAAGGATACCAACTGAAGCAGAGCTTAAAGTGTTATCTAATACTATAGGAAATGACCATGCAGGCGCCAATGTCAGCTTTGCTAATTGGCATCCAATCCCACCAGCTGCACCATCTGAAACGGGCAAAGGACACAACGGTGGTGTTTGGGAATGGTCGAGTAATACATTCGAAAAACTCGAGGGATATGAAGCTAGTAATCTTTACCCTGGTTACTCGAGTGACTTCTACGATGGAGCTCATTATGTAGTTTCAGGAGCCTCATATGCCACTGCAGGCAGGATTGCTGAGCGTTCTTCATTCAGGAATTGGTACCAAAAGCCGTGAGTCTTTTTACTGATTGAAAACGATTATCTAACGAGGCAATTGTAGATATTCTTACGTGTTTGCTGGTGCTAGAGTAGCTTATTCAACTTAATATACGATATGCGACTAATTATAATCGACAAATTGCGTTTAACATGTGTATTATACAAGTCATAGTTTGATCAAATAATTCATTAGGTATTTAATCGTCTATATTGATTTTTCTAGTGAGATATTGACGTCTGTGCCATTACCAACGAACTTTTTGACAAGATGTAAGCCAGCCTCATTCAATAGAGAGGATGCAGGGTGGTTGAATATGCAATTATGGAGAATGCCGTTGGTGGATATATGCAATAGAGACAAAGGAAGTGTAGACGCGATTGCGTTTGCGACTGTCTTCGATGTGAAGCCTTCAGGGGAGGCTAAGAGTGCCATAGTGGTATTTATATTACCGTGCTGAATGAGTGTACCCTGTAATTCTCTAATATGCCTCGGTGAGAGCTTCTTGTTTTCACATTTACATTGTACTAATAAACTAATACGGGGTTGTGTTTGTGTGCATCCTTGTAAATCTACACCACGGTCATTTGCGCCGCCAACTCTCATGAGATTCATTTTAAGCTGAGTAGTGAGAGAGTGCATAACTGCTAGCTCGTAGGCAGTACCAACGGTCACTGTGTTGAGTTTCCTCCGCAATATCATAAAACTAGCCCAATGTAGTCAATTGTATCCTTCAATGATGGACGAAAGAAATCAAAGACGACAAAGGAAGAGGAAGATAACGTCATAAACCTGTCAAGGGTTGTTATAAATCGATACTGACGCTCCTAAGGAGATGAAAATGTTCGATGTTTGTTGACTTCTCACCAGCTGATGGATCTGAAATGGTATAGACAGACAGGATACGGTTAAGCTAATAGACTACAGTTGGAGGCTTTAGCGCTGCATGTGCACGTGTACACTTGTATTACTCTAACAACGCAGTCTCAGGATGACATTGCTGTAGAATGCTCGCCATTAGAGCGATATCTTGTTCAAATAAAGGAATTGTTATTAAAATACAGAATAAAAGAACTATAAATATAAATCAAATTGTAAATTTCTAAATTTTGTGCTTTCTACATCGTTACTATCAACTATCATTATAGAAAATGAGCAAACCACTCGATGACGAAGAAGTAAAGCAAGAGCTTAACAAAATGGTATCCTTTATCAAACAGGAAGCGGAGGAGAAAGCCAGAGAGCTCCGCGTTAAAGCTGACGAGGAGTACGAGAATGAGAAAGCTAAGATTGTAGCACAGGAGCAGCACCATTTAAATGCAGTATACGATAAGAAGTTCAAACAAGCACTTGTCGCTCGCAAGATGTGAGTATATTGGTCACTACACACCCCTCCCAGCTGATAAGCCACAGCGCCCAATCCACCCAAACTAACAAGGCACGGTTGAGAGTATTGAGCAGTCGCGAAGAACATCTGAACTCCCTATTCGAGGAGGTTAAGAACAAGGTAGATAAACTCTCAGAATCTGATGATTACGCCGATATTTTGAGGAGATTGATAGTACAGTCAATGTTGAAGTTGATGGAGGGACAGGTCATCATCCAAGCTAGACCTAAAGATGAGAAGGTTATTGAAAGCATCCTCGACGATGCTAAGAATGAATTCAAGGAGGCCACTGGTAAGGATGTCGACGCACAAATACAAACCTCTCTCGAGGACGCGTCAGCGGGTGGTGTAAAGCTAAACGGATTCGGTGGTCGCATTTCCATCGATAACACTATCGAAGCACGTCTCAGCCTTCTTGAGGACCGAATGCTGCCAGAAATCAGAATGGACTTATTTGGACAAAACCCAAATCGTAAATTTGACAATTAAAGTGCATTTAAGCTGTTTCTACTATTGATTTATACCTACTAAACATACAAAAGAGTGAAAAATTAATTATTATCGGGATGTGTGGTGATAGATAGTAAAACTGAGAATTTTATTAAAGAATGACTAACTGTTATAATCGAAAAAGCCTTGAGCCTTATAGCCTTATAATGTGCCTATTTTTAAGCAACTTAAATCCAATTTGGGTAATTATTAAGAAAATTAGAAGAGGAATCTTGGAAGTATGTTGGATGCTGCAAAACCAACACCCAAAGCAAATGCACCAACGGCAGCGGCAACACCTCTACGCTGTACGACAGGTCTTTGTTGGATTTCTTCTGGATTAGCAGGTGGATTTTGGCCAAATGAGACAACCTTGATTTCATTTCCAGTCTCATCTTCCAACTCACGTTTTCTTTTACCTTCGCCTTCCAAAGATTCTGTTGAAACTGATGGTTGGATAGTCTCAAGGACTTCTTCTTTGACAACCTTAACTGGGCTTGATTGTGATAAGTTCTTTGATTGCTTGATATCGTCAACTAAATCCTTAGCTCTCTCAATATCAGCAAGAACTTGGTCGTCATTCAATGCCTTCTTGAGTGGTGATTCCTTTTTGTCAACAACAATAGTCTCCTCAACGGACTCTTCAATAACAGCCTCCTTTGGTGCCTTCTTAGCTTTCTTCTTACCTGGCGTCAAGTTGTGGGTGAGTGGTGAAGGTGAAGGGGATCTCGATTGATGTCTGGCTGATCTTCTTGGTGCAGGGTTCTTTGTAGGTGTTGGTATTTTCGATGCGGATTTTGCTGGTGATTCTAAGCTAGCTTGGGCTTTCGCAGGTGAACTCTTAATATCCTCTGAGGTTTGTCTATTGGAAGAGCGCTTTTTGAAGTCTGTTAAATCTGGTGTGTCAGCTTTGGCAAGAGCGTCGACGTATTCCGCCATCGCGTAACGCTGACCGAGCTCTTCAGCGATAGCGATAGGAATCCTAATGAGGTTAGCTATGCTTGATGATTAGTAGAGTAGACAAACCAAAATCCAGCTAATTTTGCTAATTTTCTCTCTTGGTATTCCTCGGTAGGGACGAGTGTGACGTCGTAGTTTTTCTTGACGAAACCGGACTCAATCTTCTCTTCTTCATCTGTAGCGTATGGATAGGCGGCTTTAAAGAGTGATCCGAATGAAATACCGTTGCAATCGTATCTCCTGAGAATGAAAGTGTGTTTCTCGCGCTTCAATGGGTTAGGAGGGATGGTGCGTGATGGCAAAACATACTGGATGTGGTAGCTTCAACCTTGCTATTGTGATTGGTCTATCGTCTCGCGTAATCTACTAAAATGAGCGAATAAGTTGGTGGGAAGGAATGAAACGCACCTGCTGCCACTTTGGTGAAGGTATTTCACTCTTATCGAGTAATTCGTTAAAATCCTTTGGCAATCCTGGCGAAGTCATTCTTCTTTAGTGAGTGATCAAGAAAGAGGAGACGCGCTTCAGTCAAACAGTCTCGAAAGCAGATTGAATATTTTTAATAAATTTATATTTAGCTTTGTTTTACACGCGTATTTTATTCTTTCTATTTATTACCCTTCCTCTCTCTATTCTATCGCCCTCTGGTAGTCAAACGTGGGCTGGGAAGTCTTTTTTTTCACAGCTTTTCTGAGTGCATTGTGAGTCTCTAGACAGTCTATAAGGCTCTATTGACTATTACTTCCTTCCTGACACCCATCTGTCTTGATATCAACCATGTCTACTCTTCTGCCGTTTATATCGCAGGCAGAGAATGTATAAGAAAGTGGTACACCATTAGCCCTTTACTGAAACTAGCATGGTATCGCTCATCACTCTCCCCCTTTCTCTCTTTCACTCATTCACTATGGAGCAGCAAAGGAAGGCAATAGCGAGCAAAATAGGGCTCTTTCTCGAAGAGGATATACCATCACCCCAATCAATATTCATACAAGACAGCCAGTCTATTGATTTCACAATCGAGTTTCTTCGCGATACGCTGCCCTCTCAAACACCATTTATATCGACCTCAGAAGCCTACAACGCGCGTTTAGTAGTGGAGCGTATTCTCACAGCTTATAATGTCGATGGTGCATCAACGAACCCCGTTGAAAGGCTAATTGATGGTCTGTCGAACTTCCAGGGTGATTTCACGAAGCGCTATATCGTCATAACCGAAGCTCATAGGTTGAAGAACTATGATAACCTCCTTATTCCCCTTCTTCGCCTTCCCGAGATAATACAGCTACCTTTTACGCTCATCATGACGTCTAAACAACCATTCACAACGCTAAGACCGACAAATGGACTTTCACCTGATCCGATACTAGTCAATATACCTCCAGTTTCTAGCAAAGACATTTATGACTATCTCATCCAAAACTGTCCTAGTGATGTTGGTGAAAATCTTCACAGTACTTATCAAGCATTATGTAACTTCATAATGAGCTCGACGACGGCACTTAACACCCAACCAAAAGAGTTGCTCAAAATCACGCGTAGAGCTTGGCCAAAGTTTATTGAACCCTGGACAGAACGGGATGCAAGACCGACCATGCGAGATAATGAGCTCCTTACATTGACATTCGCACGAGCAAGTAGGGGAATCATACAATCGATAAACAGTAATCTTCCTGATAATATGGATCTCCTTCAGGCGTCTTTACCAACTGATTTGACGCGCTGTGCCCAGCTTTTGCTTATCGCGTCTTATCTCGCCTCTTACAATCCACCAAAACAGGATGTTCAAATGCTCTCGATATCGCTCGACAAGCAGAAATTGGTGCATAGGCGGAAAGACGCAAAAAGTAGACCAGCTCAGCAACTATTAGGTCCGAAGAACTTCTCATTCGATAGATGGTTACATATCTATGGCGCTCTTTTGCATTTCATCAATGATACTTCACTCACTGCATACTCACTCACGAATTTAAAGAATGACCATAGGGTTTTCACAGACAACGAACTCGGACAGGTGGATGTATTGCAGAATATCTCACATCTGACGCGAATTAAAATGGTTCAACGTACTTGTCCATATGAAAGATTGGACGGTATGACATTCAAATGTGCTATAGGATACCACGTCGCTTCAAATCTAGCTAACAGTTTTGGTGTAAAATTACACGAATTCCTTTGGGATATATCATAATTTATTATATCGTAAAACATTTATACTAATTTATATTTTATACAGAAAAGATCGCTAGACTATGATAGGAATTTAGAATTGTATTTGCTCTTCTTGTTCTTGTTGTTTGAAGGAACATTGTCCCTTCATTCTGTGGTACTTTAATCCGTTTTGCTGCTTGTACGCTTTGTTGCAGCCCTGTGCCTGGTCAAAATGGGTCATGAAAAGGTACTTAAGAACTCACAGGAACTGGACATTTGAATGGCTTGTCTCTGTCCTTTTCATCCTTCGCGAAAGGTGCAGCGGCGGATGACGGATTAGCGGGTATATTCGCATTTTCTTGGCTAGTGACGTGGCTAGATAAGCCGGTTGCCATAGCTGTATACGTTGAGGCGGTAGAGCGTGGCGGCTGAGGCTGTAAAGGCGCAATTGGCTGTTTGCGTTGCTGTTGTTGCTGGTACTGCGTATGTAAACCAGTCAATGGTGTTGACATACTAACAGGTATAGTCCTGCTATGTTGAAGCTGTTGCTGTTGCCTCATGGCCGCATTATGCAGCATATTTGGCTGTACACAGCTTGTACCAGCGCTAAAACTCCGCGGAATAGCCTTAAATGGTGCACTATCGACATCCATATCGATCATCGGGGTGCCAGGCATACTCGAACTTTGCTGCTGTGCGAGTCTAATTTTTTGCTGTTGTATATCACTATGTATAGAAGTAGCAGCAGTGCTGACAGTCGTGTCTACCGATCTGCTACTTCTGCTACTAGCGCTACTCTTGAGGTCACTGTGTTCAGTCTCGTAGTGATTTTGCAATTGATGGAGGTTCTCAAGGTAGACACCGCAACAGGTGAAGTTCCTGCAGTAGTCCTCCTCCAACTTTGGCAAGTAATCGCTTTCTACGGACATAGACAAACTCTGTTCGCTTAGCTCGCAGCTAAGTTCGCTGGTCTGGATCACTGAATTGATAGACTGTCCGTAGACACCGAAAGACCTCGGAGAGTATGGCGACACCGACATATTTATGGGTGAACTCGTCCGTGGAATCTCCATAGCCATAGTCTTTGGCTCAGCTGTGCATTCAGACATTTTCGATTGCTGCTCGTAGGCTGCTATTGAAGTAGCTAGCATTTTCTAGAATAGACCAGCTAAAATGCCTTTCAGATGATCTCGTGCCGGGCTCTCGCGAAGTGCTCAGTCAAAGGAGCAGCCAAGATTCGAGAGCGCAGATCGGCATTTTCGCATTCTCGATTTTGCAGCCATTTACGCGTATGACCTTTTATATTACCTAGTTTTACTCTTTCTTATTATAATATCACACTCCTTCGTATTCTCAGCTTCGAAATAACAATATTAGTGGTTTTATAGTACAAAAAGGCTGAATTGAATTAATCCTAGTCTTCAGTTAGTCAGGCTATAATATTTTTGCTAATACTCACCCATAACTTAATTGCTCCATCCCAACTAGCAGTAATGACTTTCGACTAGAGCGTCATGTTAGTATGAATCCACTCAGCGCACCACACTTACTGTTTCATGCGGGAGCCATGCATGGTCAATAACGCACCTGTCATGCGCTTTGATCTTCTTGAGTAGGCGACTCGTCTTCCAATCCCAAAACACAATGTTACCAGCACCATCACCACTACTGATGTAACGTCCGTCAGGACTGAAGCCGAGCTGGCATGCATATCCAGATAACGAATGGCCAGCGAACCTCTTCCTACGATTTTGCTTGAACGTGTCAGCAGCCCATATCAATATCTGATTATCGAGAGACTGAGCAGCCAGGAACTTCTTGGTTGGATGTAATCCAACTGCTGGCATACTGTGCATATCAGGCTCAGCTATGTATTTAATGACGACCGGTATATCGTAATCCCAGGCTCTCATCGTCTTGTCGTCAGATGTAGTTACGAAACGTCGATTGTCATCTACGAATGTGAGTGTGTTCTAGAGTGAGTGAGTGAGTCTACTTGTTCGTTTAGAAATTACTTTTAAATACTCACAACTGGACCCAAATGCTGGTCGTACTCTTGTGTAATCTCATTAGTGCGAAGGTCAACCTGTATAATCTTCCTATCTTGCATACCAGCCAAAAAGGTATCTTGCTTGTCAGCGTCAGGGTTGAAAGTGATACACTGAGGACTTTTGTTGTTAGTGAAGGCGCTGATACACTGTCCTGTCTCCGTGTCCCACAACTTAATCTGCTTGTCGTAAGACGCAGACAAGAAACGTGTACCGTCGTTGTTAAATGCGACATCCTTGACTGCTCTGTAGTGACCCATGAAAGTTCTTAAGCATTTACCTTCATTGTAGACATCCCAAAGCTATGATAACATATGAACAACTGATAGGTATCCTAAAAAGTCTACTCACCTTAACTTTGTTGTCCATAGAGGCAGATAAAAGCAAATGTCCGGAACCTGGGAAGAGTTTGATACGGGAAACACCCTTGGTGTGACCTGCCCAGGTGTGTATACAGGCTTTTGGAAGGAAATTAGTCTGGCTGCCTTCCTCGCCGTAGAGGTTGACATCGACGTCTGTAGGGATGTGCATGTAGGTACGTCCCTGGTAATCGCGGAGCTGGCTACCATGGAAGACGGACTTCTCTCCACCTTGTGCGAGCAATGTCTTGCTAGCATTACTCCTACTTGAATCGTCGAGCCATTTCTGTCTGTCTATTTCCCAGTCTTCGACGTCTTCCTCGTAAGGAGCTTCGATCTCATCTGGCTTTGCTACATCCTTCCAAGCGGCCCAGGGACCTCTATACTCGTTGTCACCGTCTACAACCTCCAAATCACCCTTGTCTTCTCTGGCATACGTCTTCCTCTGCTTCTTATCAGGGCGTAAGATACCCTCGTATTGGCGTTGTAAGGTCATAAAGTCGTGATCGTTCATTGTTTGCTCCTCGATGTGTGCGTTTAGTAAGTTTTGATACGGTTTGTTGTTCTTATCTCTGAAAGGGTCGTCTGGACCAGCGACGGCGTTGTTCATATGTTCGTAGGGGATGTTCACCAACATCTGGTCGTCTGTAGGCCTCACCATGAGTGCCTGAGCTTGTTCATCCTATAGATAGTCAGAGATGACGAATGAGAGTGAGTTACTCACTGCAGCTGCTGTCTCTACATCTGGCGCGGCTTTCAGGTTCTTAGTGACTGGTATTTCCTTCTCGCTGTCGTCATCTGAGGCGTAGCTGACTAGCATCTTGGACGTTGCTTTTCAACCCCCATCTAGTAGAATATAGACGATATGGTGTGTTTAGAGATAAAAATTTAAATTCTCTGCTGACTTACTTAGAAAATAAAAGCTATCACTAGAAGCCAGGCTGATGGCCATCCATCCGACCAGAAACCACCGTCGAGGAATCCAGACCCCTCTATGCACCCGTTCGCTAAGCAAAGAGAGTACTCTAGGGCTGTAATTGCATCCAAGATGGACAGAATGTTCGCTAAGCCTTTCATTGGAGCCATAGAGTGTGGTGATGGTGTCTACGGTATGGCCAGGGATAGCGCTAGACTCGGCGTCGTAGCCACCTCAGGCGCAATGGGTGAACTCGCTATTCACGACGTTCCAACACGCCAGACGCTCCTCAGCGTCCCAAACGCGCACCAAGGCATCGTCAGCTCCCTCGCCTTCTCTCACACTTCAAAATCACTCAGAGGTGATTCCAGACTTCTCAGTGCTGGTCTCGACAAGCATGTTAGGATGTGGGATGCAAACCGTTCGACCGACGCTGGAGACGACGCAGGTTTGATTGACGAAGAAGACGCTACAGCCGAGCAAAAGCCACTGAGAACTTGGACTGCGAATGCAGGTGTAAAGTAGGTGATACACACTCTATTTTATTTACTAACGGTCAATAAAGTTGCATCACTCACAACCTTCTCCATCCTACCTTCGCTACAGCCTCTAACGCTATTCAAGTCTGGGAGGAAGCCCGCACAGAGCCAGTCGAGACGTATACATGGGGTCACGACAATATCTCAGCACTCAAATTCTCACCTACCGAGCACACGATCATGGCAGCAGCTGCTGGCGATAGAAGCATCTCACTCTGGGACACTAGAGTAGCGGGTGGTAGTATTGGACGTATATTGACGCCATTCAAGATGAACGATCTTTCATTTAACCCTATACTCCCAACTCTACTTTTGAGTGCAGGAGAAGATCACAACCTCTACCTCTGGGATATTCGCAACATGGGTGGTGGTGCAATCCAAATATACAAAGACCACGTTGCGGCCGTAACATCCTGCGACTGGTCACCAACCGGTCAACAAATAGCTTCTGGTGGTTGGGACCGCACCGTGCGGATATGGGACAAGAACCACGGTAGATCGAGCGACTGCTACCACACTAAGCGTATGCAACGCCTGATGAATGTCCAATACAGTCTCGATTCTAAGTACGTACTCACGGGTTCTGATGACGGTAACCTCAGGATCTGGAAGGCAAGAGCGAGTGAGAAGATCGGACAGATGGATGCACGTGAGAGGGATAGGATTAACTACCGTGACAGTCTCAGAGAAAGATGGAGTGGTGTTGGTGAAGTACGCCAGGTCGAACGCAGACGTAATCTTCCAAAGGCAATCCGCAATGCATCTAAGCTCAAGAAGACGATGGTCGACTCACAAAAGACAAAAGAGGAGAATTCACGACTGCACACTCAAGCAGGACAAACGAAGCCAAAGTCCGAGAAGAAGAAGAGTGTCATCAAAGAACAGACGTAATGATCTATATATTGTACTATTTATTTATATTCCTATAGACTTTTCCTCATTTACTCGCTTGTTATCATACAACCATCAACGATGAGCGCAACGACGCTGCCGACGCTTGAGGAAGTCATAGACAAGAATCTAAAGCGAGGACGTGAATTATTCTATAAAGATTTGGAGTTCAGCCTTGAGAGTGGTGTAGATGAATCAGCGTATGTAGAGAATAGCATTTCATACCGGTATACTAACAAGCACAGCAACAAAGCTAAGCTACAATCGAAACTAGCAGATGAATACAAAGGTGCACAGAACCTTCCACCTTCTCTCGCCGCACAGGAAGGTCCAAGAGGAAAGAAGAGTCGCAAAGCAGATGCAGAGGATAGTGAGTCGATATAGAACTATTTCTACAAACTCTGACAAACCACTAGTATCCGCACAAACCCAGAAAGCTATCGAAGGATCAACATCGAGAAAACCAGACGAACAGTCACTTATTCTGCACAAATCATTCCCTAAGAATGTCAATGAATCAGCCAGTACCAGCACCAACGGCAGTAGCTCTATAGTAAATAGCTACAATAACTTTGAAGGCACAAAACTTAGCCAGCAACTGATGAAAATCAAGAACCAGACGCAAGCCAAACCAGATTACCACCCACAATGGAAGCTCATGCGTGTTATATCTGGGCATCTTGGTTGGGTACGCTGTGTTGCTGTGGAACCTGATAACAAGTGGTTTGCGACAGGTGCAGGCGACCGGACGATAAAGATATGGGATCTCGCTTCTGGAGAGCTCAAATTATCACTTACTGGTCATATATCTACCGTACGTGGTTTGGCAGTATCTAATAGACACCCCTACCTCTTCTCCTGTGGTGAAGACAAGATGGTTAAATGTTGGGATTTGGAAAGCAACAAAGTTATACGTCACTACCATGGTCATTTGTCAGGTGTTTACGCTATGGCAGTACATCCAACTCTTGATTTACTCGTTACAAGTGGACGTGATTCTGTCGCGCGTGTATGGGATATGCGTACGAGAGCACCTGTTCATGTTTTAACAGGACACAAAGGCACAGTCGGTGCTGTGGCTACCCAAGATGCTGATCCACAAATTATAACAGGATCGATGGACTCCACTGTGAAGCTATGGGATCTTGCAGCAGGTAAAGCAATGACTACGCTCACCCATCACAAGAAATCTGTAAGGAGTCTAGCAGTACATCCAACTGAATACTCTTTCGCAAGCGGTAGTGCTGGTGGAAATAATATAAAAAAATGGAAATGTCCAGAAGGTCAATTCGTACATAATTTCAGTGGACATGACGCAGTTATAAATAGTTTATCCCTCAATGCAGATGGCGTACTCTTTTCAGGTGCTGATAATGGTAGCATGTCGTTCTGGGATTACAAAACCGGTTTACCATTTCAATCAATGTCTGACATCCCTCAACCAGGTTCTCTTGACGCTGAAGCAGGTATTTTCTGCTCAACCTTCGATCAAACAGGTTCACGTCTTATTACAGGTTGCGCAGATAAGACTATCAAGATGTACAAAGAAGTGTCGTAATTTTTGCTTTTTATGTATTATATTACTACAAAATAAATTATGTGCTAATCCAGACGTGTTTTCTTGCTTGGAGGTACTACTTCAACCTCGTCGTCGCTATCATCTAGTGTGATAGTCGCATTGTTTGCCTTGGCTGGTGGTGCTTCATCCTCACTATCGTCGATACAGACAACTCCATCAGCGGTCTCTGTATACTCTTCTTCCCTAGCTCTCTTGCGAGATACTGGTTCTGGTTCTGGTTCAACTGGTTCTGGCTTCTTCACTCTCTTGCCGGGTTGCTTGAAGGAGTCTTGTGATGGCAAAATGCAGCTTTCAGATGCATCCCTTTGCCATGTCAGTAAATATCATCACAAATCCAACCACTCTACTCACTCTGGTAATGGGGTCAAGACGACTGCAACATTGTCGAATTCACCATCCTCATCAACAACAGTAATGAATGTGTTCGACTGACAGCCAAGATCTTTTAATGGTTTGTTAATATTATCTTCAAAGTCAGGGTCATAGAGTAAGCGCTCCTTTTCGAAAATGCTGAGTTCTCTATCATCTTCGTATACCTTGAATAACATCCTAAGCGTAGTTATGAACTCTCCCAAAGTCAACTTGGACTCGTCAACCGGGAGTGAGATGTAGGTATCTCTACAGGCCGTGCAAAATGGATTAGGTGGTTCGAAAGGTGCCGCGATAAGCTGTGAACCGAGGTATACAGCTGGTTTACAGAGATCCATCTCATCATTGAGGACATTAACAGCCTTGAGTAGTTGAACGCCAGCAATTATCGCATTAGTCGTAGCTATAGCCGGTATAATATTACCCGCCATCTCCTTCACTTCGAACACGGTCTTCGGTACAATGCTATAAACTATTGAGCGGAGGTTCGAAGCGGCGCTAACAAAGTCTAGAGTATCTCTATCATCTTTGTCAAATTCAATTGGATCATCAGTTTCACGTGCGCGCGCACTCAGACGCTCCGTCGCATCGATGAAGAGTTTGACATTGTCACCTAATGTCATCTTGCGTTGATCAACAATTGCGCTATCGGTTGTACCACCCTCTGTAGTGAAATCTGAAGAGTTTACACAGTCGTCAAACTCTAATGGACGAGGTTTCTGGCGATTTTTCCACATGTCTTCCATTTCTAGTAATCTTTTGACATCTGAGTTGAATATCTTGTGTTTGTTAGCTTGATAATTGATCTAAGCACAAAATGACTCACTTTGTCGAAAAGTACCTTCGCACCACCTTCAGTTCTGACTGCTTGTCTGACTTTCTTGAACGCGTGTTGTTCTTCTTTGAGGGTGTTTATCTCATCAGCTGGCCTATCGCATGAGATTTAATCTTTGAATCTGAAACTACTCACCATTTTCACCCTCATCCGCTGCCTTATCTAATTCACTATCATCCTCCTCAGCCTGACCAAATACCTGACTTGAATTCTTTGTAAATAAATCATTTCTTGAAAGAAAGGAACCTACGGCAGGAGATAAGACTTTGACCATACAATGGTGTGAATTGGTGCAGATGGTGTGCTTCTGATGGTACAGACTGGGAAAGTCTTTGGTGTAGGCTTAACCTGACAGTCGTAGCATTCAAACTTATCCTTGTATGTTGTTAAACGAGTTATTTCAAATGTAACTACCCACCTTGATGATAACCTGTACATTGCCAGAATATCCAGTTGTCCCACTCTCGATTAACGGCGTGTTAGAAGCCAAACACATTTTATTTACATGCCTTCTCGCGTCGAGGTTATCGAGCGCGCCGAGGACGATATCAAACTGCGAGAACCACCTTATATCATACTGAGGTGCCTTTATATTATCATGATGTGCTACTATATCGACATCTGGGTTGAATTTGCTTGCTGTCTCTTTTGCTACTTCTGATTTTGACCTTTTGATATGTCTCGCCTGGAACAAGAACTGTCTGTTGAGGTTAGATAAGTCGATAGTATCGAGGTCGATAATATGAACATTCTTGAAACCGGTTAAGACGACATTTTTCACTATTTCTATTCAATATGTGGTATGTCATGGGAGAAGAACGCACAAAGTTCGCAGCCGATACCACCAGCACCAACGATCAATATCTTTGCGCTGGATATTCTATTAAATGATTTCTCACCCAACACTCGCGCGATCTGGCTGTCTTTGAATGTCGTCATGATGGTAGGAGAAGAAGAAGTTGGAGAGCAACGACGATGATCTTACGCAGCGGAACGTTATCACGCGCTATGAGTTGTATATCACAGACGAATCTATCACAGTTGCGATGTATCCACAGTAAAGGAGAGATAAGCAATCGTGATCACAGGCTACAAGTTGGTAAGTAGCTCATGGCACTATCTACACACTCTTATCGCATACTCAGGTAGAGCTATACGTACTCTACGCTTGACGCTTCCCCGTTTCTTTGATGATGGACTCTCAGATAGGGTATACGGCGGAGAAGAGGAGATATACGCACCAAATGTGGCTTTATACCTCCCCAATTTCCACACACTTCACCCACCGCCACTCAAAGGTCGTGCTGTCTACCTTCGTAGCGCGAGTCTATTACGTCTCGCATTTGTAGCTTTACACTCAGATGCAGCGGTTACACTGAAGAGCACACACTATTATGAGGGTGATCTACGTATAAGTCTGATGGTTTCATCGATAAACAGGTTAACGAGGGAGTTATCAGAGTGGGATGTGTGAGTAGAATGCAAACATACTCACGCACACTAATAGATCAGTCTATTCAGGTATACATTCGACAATGCCGGTTTGATTGACGTACATGAGGTATTACGCATCAATCCACCGCCAACGAGTAGTGCAATCGAGGGATTACGCGCAGTATGGATGCGTCTACAGCATAAGCCAGAAGAAGCTGTAATATTCGATGGAAGTGGAAGTAATGAAGATTTTCACTCAAAGAAGAAATCATAGGAGTATGATTTAACGCTTTAATAACTTGTTAAACATCCATCTACCCCCCGTTGTACAATAATAGAAGTTGATTTTTAATTTTTTAGTATGATGATATAAAATCCGCGCAAAAAACTCGTCTTCTTCTTTAACCAACCACATACAGTCACCGAATAGTAACACGACGCAGCATACAGACGAATGGAATTATTCCATTATATCTCACGCTGTGGGGAAAGTCCCCGGACCGACGGACACCCATTTGTACATAATTGGAGAGCTCACCAATTGGTGATTTTGATGGGGTCCGGTGTAGAAGTTTGCTAGTACTCCAGTTGGAGTGCAGCTATAGGCTTCTGCATTGAATGTCTACGCAACTGATAAATGGCGAAGATACGAGCCCACATTGGATGTGTAGACAGCAATAGATTGTCGCATAAGAAAGTTATAGTGTTGGCTGTGCTACAGCAACAGAATGGGGCTTACAATTGGTGTTTACTGTATGTGGTTGGCCGTGACCTTACTCGGGTAAGTAACCTAAGCTGGTTGCTAGTTCACATGATGTCTTTGAGCTTTTATAAGTTTGAATTTCTTCAGGGAGGAACAGCTTCGGTTGTAATGCTCCAGAACTTGACACCCCTGATACAACTAGCAAACCAGCTATCCCGAATAGACATTCAACTAACATCCAACAGGTACACACACCTACAAATAAAACTTTTGTCTCTTTTTTGTTTCTCTAAATTGACCAATGTTTGCTTGTGGGCGTCTTCTGTTTGTAACAACCATCATCGTCATAGATGACAGAAGTTTCTGTACACCCTTTAGTTATTTTGAACGTTAGCGATCAGATAAACAGATCAAAGTGTATAAATAGTAAGAATATTGTTGGTATTATTATTGGAAATCAACTTGGTAGATCCGTAGACATCATCAATAGCTTTGAGCTTAGGTTACTAGATGATGGCAGTATAGACGATGAATATCTGACTGGCAGACTCGAGTTATATAATCAGGTTTTCCCACAGTTTGAGTTACTCGGTTTCTATACAAACATCCCAGAATCAGAGCATTTACAAGAGCAACTCTTCAAATACAGAGAATCGCCTTTGATGCTATATTATGATGAGTCTATCACTGACAGCTTACCATTCGAGATATACGAATTGATAAAGTCATACGAGAAAATATTCACCAACAACCTTAACCTAACGATAAAATCATCAGAAGTGGAAATGATATCAATCAACCACTCAAACAAATATACCAACAATCAATTGAAAGATTCCATAGATGGTGACTTCAACTCAATCAGCTTATTACATAGCAGATTGAGCGTCATTGTCAATTACCTTAACAACCTGGGTGATTCACAACCAGATCCTGAGATCAATGCAATGTTAAACTCACTTTATCATCTACTCAACACGGATAGTCATCAATATAAAGACGAATTCAATACTGAGTTTAATGACACGCAATTGACGACTCTCTTGAGCAGTCTAACAACATCAACAAACAGCTTGAATTCGCTTCTTAACAAATTTCAAGTCATTAACAACTCATTTGATTTACTTGCACAGCAACAATAAAAATATTAAACTGAATGCATTCTATTTAAGATCTTCTCGGTTTGCTTATTTAGCTTTAACTGTGGTACTTTCTTCTCAAATACCTCAATCATTCCTTTACCCATGTTTATTAGTTCTTCTCTATTGTGAACTTCTTTGAAGTACCTCCTTGGTCGATATTTGTATTCGAACTTTGGTCCAGCCGGCTCACCGATTTCTAGTAGACTTTTAAGGTATATGTTTAGACTATTGATAGCAAAAACTTCCTTTTGCTTCCCTTGATAGCTATCTAAGAGGTTATCGACCAGATTGGCCGCGCTATCCTCGTATCCTGTCCGAAGTAGCCATCTGAGGCAAGCAAGAGAGAGATTTACCGATAACCCATCCTTGGCTGTTGGCAACTGAAATAATCCTTTTTGCAAAACGACGATAGGAAGCACATTAATCAAAGCTTGTTGCGTTGGTTTCGCATCATCTATCAGACTACCTAGACTGTTGTGATCGAACGCTGCAATTGCCTTGCTCTGTGATAAGCTGTAACTCCTCCGCGCTCTCGCTTGATCCCTCTGATTCTTGTTTATACCAATGCGACCATTGTGTACGCCATTCAAGAGAATAATAAAGGCTTTCTCGGAAATGAGCACACCTTTTCTGATGTTCTGGATATAATAAGCCAAAGTTTTGATATCTCGCAAGAATACCAATCCGGGTATGAGTAAATTCGCTATAGCACTCTCTCCGAAAATGTTTAGCCGACTGGTAGCTTTCCTGATGGCTTTCCTGTCATGGCGAATAAGCGCTCTACTGAGATCTTTCAGTTTGTCGCTATCGAGTATCCTTTGCTTGGCTATACGACGTTTCTTGAGTAAATTACCCACACGCGGTCGACTAGCCCGGTTTTCTCTAAGTTTTCTACTCTCTATTAGTCTGTCTTCTAAACTGAATGCTATGGCGTTCTGCCTTCTTGGTTTTGGACGGTCAATAGGGTGGTGCCTTTCTTCATATGTTCCTTCTACAGGGATATTGATAGCTGGTCTACGCTCGTATGTTCTTCCACCATATACAGCTGGTACAGGAGCCCCTAAACCGCTGTCGTCTTCTCGCGGTATTCTCGTCGACAGCGCCCGCGAGAAAGCAATCCAGCTTGATCGACGTAGAGTGGCCAGGCTGATTGCCATCTGATAATTTGTTAGGATCGTACGCTAGATATCCTAATATACCTACAACACCCTTCCTAATGGTACACTTACAACAACATATATCAATTAAAACGAGGAATATATAAAAAAAATATTAACAATTTTACAACATCTATACCACCAGATCTACTTTTTTTCTTCTCCTTCTTCTTCAGCTGGTGGCTGGAGCTTGAACTGCTCTGGCTTGTGGTCGACACCCTCACCGACTTGCTCCCATACGGAAGCAGCGCCTTCAAAGTTTCTGAATGCTTGTGTGAGTTGAAGTGGTTCTTGTACGACACGCTTCTTCTCTTCATCGTATCTCAATTCTGTGTAACCCTAGAATTCTATTAGAGTATGATATAGGAATGAAAGATACTCACAGTCAATGGGAAATCCTTTCTAAGTGGGTGACCTTCAAATCCTAAGATTTTGTTAGTAAAACTACCAAGTTTACACTAGCATATACGCACCATAATCGGTCAAGATTCTTCTCAAATCTGGATGGCCGGTGAAGAAGACACCATACATATCCCAAACTTCTCTTTCGAACCAGTCAGCACCTCTGTATACACCAGTGGCAGATGGAACAGGCGTGACTTCATCAGCGTAGGTTTTTACTCGAATACGCGCATTGTAGCGTACGGAAAGCAAGTTGTAGATAACTTCAAAACGCTGTGACTTGGTTGGGTAGTCAGCTGCAGTGATATCCATAGCAGATTTGAACTGTGATTGTGTGTGTTGCTTGAGGAATTCCAATGTAGGAATAACGCCAGAAGGTGCTGTCATGAGCGTCAATTCATCCTTGTATACGGAGAACTGTTGGATGAACTTTGGCATAGCGGCCATCAAGTAGCTACCATATTCGTGGAGAGGTGATTGGAGGTACTCTGTATCGATAGCTGGATTCCTTGGTGCGTTAATGTTGAAGTCTGCACTTGGCTGGCTCTCTAGTGGGTCTTGATCAGTAAAGTAGAGAAATGCAATAGAGAATACACACCCAATCCAGCCTGCATGAGACGACTACTAGTAGAAATACCCCTTACGCTTCTTCTGAATGTGTTCATAATCGACATTTTCTTATTCGCCCTTAGTCGTCAGAGAAACAGCCCTAGGAGAATGATAATAAAAAATTTAAATATTAGAAAAATTACAAATAAATTAGTTTCTCTTCTTCTTCTTCTGGACTACCTTGAAGGTCTCCTGGAGCGTCTTTGGCGCTTGTTGCTGCTTGACGATATCGGCAGCTGACGAAAGTGAAACACCTTTGCTGTCTTCCTTTCTTTTCTTTGCAAATTCGCCCGCGAATCTTCTACCGTCCATTGTCGAGCTAGAAGCATAGATCATATCTTGGATTAACTCCAAATCTGGCTTTTCAATATCAAATGAAAGTAAAATAGGTAACAGTTCGTCAGCTGGTTATTGTTAGTGATACATTACAGAATTAGAAGAATAACCCACAAGTCGTTCCGTTCAAGCCAACTAATGCTCCCTTGCACCACTTGATGAATTCCTCTGATGGTGCACCAGGTTCTCTAACATTTCCACCCTGTGCAATCGAAGGAGGTACAGAAACAGCTGGGGCAGGTTTAGGTACTTGCGCAGGCTTTGTGGTTTGTTTAGGAGCCGCTGGGACTGGAGCTGGAGCTGGAGCTGTTGGAGCTGGTTTAGCGCCGTTGCTCTGCCCGACGACAGTCCAGGCTCCACCTGCAGATGGAACGGTAGTGCGCTGCGCAGAAGCTGCATAGCCTCTTGTTGCGGAGGCTGCTTGTGCGCTCGCAACCATCTTCTTCCTTTGGGCTTCACGCTCCCTAGCTTCTTCCTCTTCCTGAATCTGACGGAGTGTCTTCTTCTGGTTGAGGTTGCTACCACCCCATGCTGGGCCAGTTGGCTGTGGTGCAGGTGCTGCTTGTGGTGCACTGCCTGCCAATCCCCAGTTGAGTGTGCCTGGAACAATATCATCAATTCTTGCGCTCGCATTTTGTGATTGGCTGATTGCAGCACGTTGTGCTTGTTGGGCCTGCTTCCGTGCTTGCGATTGACGTGCCTCAGCCTCTTGGATCTCCTTTAATGATGGTGCGGCGGTAGCCTTTTCACCTTGCTCTTGAGGGGCCCATGGAGCAGGTGCAGCCTTCTTTGGTTGGGCGAATTCACCTTCTTCATGCTGCTGTTGTTGTTTGTCGATTACGTCGGATAAAGAAACTCCCATCTTGCCGACAGGACCTTCCTGCTTGGACATGCGCTGGACTCTCTCGAGTTCAGCTTGGGAAATCACATTCACACCGCCCCTGACGGTCTTCTGGGATGGTTGTGGGGTTGGTACTGCAGGGATAGGCTCAGGTGTCTTCATTGGTGACATGACGCCATCCTCTGTCACGCTTGCAATTGTCGATTCTGGGGCCTCAACTTGGACACTGATATCAGCCTCATCTTTGGTCTGGGTATTGTCCAGTTGCTCCTGTGCTTGTTTCTGCGCCTCAGCTTGCGCTTGTTGTTGGAGTTCCCAAGCACGCTGGAGTTCGAGCTCGTGATGCAATTGCTCTTGATGTTGTTGTTGTTGTTGTTGCTGTTGGAGCATCTGCTGTTGTATAAATTGTGCTTGGGCCGCTTGTTGCTCGAGGAGCTCGCGATGTCTAAGCGCCATAAGGAATTCTTCGCGAGAATGCTGGTCCGGAACATCGACACCTGGGCTGTTAGGACCCCATAACGGACGGCCAAAAGGTGAGGCTGCAGGTGAAGACGTTCTACTGTCCCAGTTTGCGAGACGCTGAACTTGAGGCTGGGGATGGTATAGACCCTCCTGCTGGAGACGCCCCGCAAGTGGAGACTGCGTCGCTTGTGGAGAGAGAAGATCCACCGCGGGAGATGCGTTGCTAACAACGGGTGACGCGTTGAAACGCTGATTGAGAGCGTTCACATTGAGCGCAGGAGGAGCTGCTGGCAAAGGCGCAGAGTGGAACGGCGCGGATTTATCTTGTACACTCGCCAAAAGCTCTTGTAGAGGTGTGAAATTGTCCCTATCCACTCTGCGTACAAGCAAATCAGAGGGGAAGTAGCTACCGAGGAACCACTCCTGCATGAGGTCCGCCTTGAAGGGACCCTGAACGTTACCCGACGGGTCGCGATAGACCCAGTCTGTGGCCTGATGCTGGCCCTGACTGGATGCAACACGAGACATCGGTGTTGATGATGGCAATTCGGGGGCAAGCTTGTTCTTTAGCTGCGCAGGGAGTTCATCGTCAGCATCGAGTGCCAAACTACCCAGAACTGAAGAGACAGGCGCTGTGCTGTCTTCTTTCTCAAGCGGTGGTTTCTTATGGCGGTTGTTGAGGCCTGTGGGGTTAGGACTCGTGACGGATTCTTTAGTAGGGCGCTGTGGTGTGTTAGAGCCGTATATCCTCTATATTCTATCCCCACCTTGTTGAACAAATCGTCAGACTTCTTGAAGCGGGATGCCCAGCCAGAGTGGTTATCCCAATCTGGTTTGCTAGGTGTCTTCTGCTTCTTCTGGTTGTTAGAGACCCTCTTCTTTAAATGCGAGTTGAGCTGTCCAGTTGGTGGAACTTTCGTAGACAAATTCGCAGGTGTTTGTTTCGTAGCTGATAGTAAAACGCTATCTGCAATATTGTCTGGTGCTACGATGTCCAAATTTTTGTAGGTTTCTATCAATTCTGTCTTGCTGTAGCTCATATTTTGTCCTGGCGGTGGTTGAAATAGAAATTCTCAATTCGCTGCTGTCACTCAGAAATTATTTCTAGCCGAGGGTATTAGAATTTCAATAGCGATTTTCAATCCATTCCCTTCAATCTAATGCGCTTTATATACGCACTCTTTGCACTTGCTGTCGGTGCCACTGCGGTGAATCCTATAGACAGTCTACTAGAAGAGCTATCGAGTCTGACGAACTACAAACCATCATCTATCCCTCCATCGAGATATTTGCATAGTCAAACCGGTCAGATCGACAATCCCAACAATTACGAAATACTAGCTCAGGGTATCACTGAACTCCTCGAAGATAACGTTCTATTGGCTGATCTGGTATTTAGAGCACCACCACCTTTCACACATGACACTCAACTCGCTTTCAACCTCTACAAACAACTCGCAGATGAAGGTGACCCCACTGCACACTCCATTCTTGGCTTCCTATACGATACAGGCTACAATAATGTTGTAGAACCACACCCCGGTTTGGCACTCTTGCACTATACTTTCGCCGCACTCGCTGGCGACACCATCTCAGAAATGACGTTGGGATATAAGCACTCAATTGGTAGCGGCGCTGAACAATCCTGTGAGCAGGCTGTAGAGTGGTACAGCAGGGTAGCAGACAAGGCCATAGACTACTACCTTAGTGGACCACCAGGCGGTCACTCTTTGCCCCTCTCTAAGCCAAAATTGTCGGATCTCAAGGGTGGGCCATACGGACTAGGCGCATCAGTCGCATCCACAGGCGAAAATGCCTTCAGGCCTGTCATATACGCAGGTAAAGCTAAAGATTCTGGTGAAAATTGGCACGATCTACTCGATTACTTTACATACGCAGCTAACCAAGGTGAACTGCAATACACAATACGTCTCGGAAACATCTACTACCATGGTAGTGTATACACGCCCAAGATCGGTCCAGCCGATGGCTCAGGGGCTATCGCGAAGGACTTTAAGAAAGCCAAATACTGGTTCACCAGAGCAACACGCAAGATCTGGCCAGAAGGTCTTCAATCAGACAAACAGAAGGAAGTTTCGAAATATACAAAATATCTCGTCAGTATGGCTGCTACCTCGCTCGGTAAAATGTACCTTAGAGGTGAAGGTTTCGAAAGCAACAACTATATCAGTGCATTCAAATGGCTCGAGCGCGCCCGCGACCTGGACTCAGCTGAAGCTGAGTACTATCTGGGTATTATGTACAGAGATGGCTATCACGTCGGCGTCGATTTAAAGAAAGCTTCAGCATACTTTACAAGCGCAGCTTCAAATGGCTATCCAGAAGCTTATGTAGCACTCGGAAATGCCTTCTTAGGTTGGTTACTCCTGTTTTTGAGATAATTGCTGACACAACACAGAACGTAACGATATCGTTAATGCTATCCAGAACTACGAATGGGCCGTCAATATTTCCCGGTCTTTCGAGGGAACGTATCGTCTCGCTACATTGACACGCGATAGTGACTGTCAATCTGCCCTCGCAAAATTCAAGAGTGTCGCTGAACGCGGCGACTGGACACACGGTGATAAAGTCTGGAAAGAAGCTAATTCGCGCTGGGAAAAAGCCAATGAGTGGAACAGAGACAGCTATGGCCGCAATGAAGCTGAATCTGCTCTACTCACTTGGTGGAGAATGGCAGAAAGAGGATACGAATCAGCCCAGAATAATGTTGCATATATCCTCGACCAAGACAAGCAGGCAATTAGATTGCCGCGCTTTGATAGACCAGCCAATGACACGCTCAGCAAAATCAGCTTGGGATATTGGGAGAAGTCCGCCGAGCAGAATGTCCTCGATAGCAGAATCAAAGCGGCCGACTATTACTTCAGAGGTTTAGGCACAGACGTCAACTACGAGAAAGCTGCTGCATTGTATCTCAATTCCGCCGATACTCATTCATCAGCCCTTGCTCTGTGGAATGTAGGATGGATGTACGAACATGGAAAAGGTCTTCCGATGGATTACAATCTCGCCAAACGGTACTATGACATGGCACTCGAGGTCAACAACGAGGCTTTCATACCAGTCGCTATATCGCTTATACACCTCTACGCCAAGTCTATCTGGGGTATGATAACAGGCAAGGAGGACAGTAACGTCCTTTTCAATAATATTCAGAAAGCAGGCACACCTAGAGAGCGGGAAGAGATGGAGGATAGGCAGTCTGCCCAGGAAGCCGTCAACAGAGTTGACTGGACTACTTACGAAGGAGAGACGACGTCAACGCAGAGGGAATTCGTCGATGGGTTGCTAGAAAGAAATGCGTTGGTTGAACCACAAGATGGCTTTGAGAGTACGACATTCATCGCTGTTATCATGACAATCGCCGCAGGTATATACTTGCGTCGTCAGGCCATGGCACGCGCCAGACAGAGGACGGTCGATAGGCTGACGGAGGAGATAACGCGTCGAGCACACGATCAAGCCGGCCATACGCAGCCTCAAGAGAGCGATAACAGTGAGAACGTCCAGAACAATCAGAATGAGAACAATCGAGAGCAAGAACTCAGACAGAGGAACACGACGAATCACGACTATTATACCTAAAACATATCTTGTATTTCTAAAATCACAACAATTTTTTAAGAAATGTCACTTAATTGCTTGTCAATCGCCCCACCAAAGACGGGCGACTGCTCAAAAACTAAGTATTTACTCTGCCACCCCGTTTCCCGTTATGTAGATGTAATGAAGCATCCATATAACAGTATGAAGGCGGCTCTTGTATCATCGTTTAAGAGAAGACCGGTTGGGCTTTTTATAGTCTCGCGCGAGATTTTTTATTTCGAAGACAAAAATTCAGGAAATCAGGTAAAACCAAAACGACGAAGTCGTTGGTGACGGTCTGGCGTACACTTGCCTCACCTGTCTCGCAATTGAACACTGTTCTCTGAGTCCTTCGCAGAGTTATTCGTCGCACTATGAGTACGGAGGTGTCTACTGTGGCATCTTTGTAATTAATGTGCGGCACATTTCAAACATGCATATATATGATAATATCAAATGTTTCGTTGGTATAACCTATGCATACTATATATATATATATATCTTGCGATTCTGTTTTTTGCTTCACTTTAAGTTGCTCAGATGAGACGATTTTGTGACTATTTATGGGATCCCTGATATGTTTTTAAAATGCTCTGTTGCTCATCCACCCATTCATTCTTAATGTGTTCTAATGTCAGTCCCAACCTGTTGCAAGCACAATCGTGAGTTAGGAATCATTTATATGTCCAATATATATGTTTATATATATACCAATGAATGATAGTTTTTCTGGTCAATTCATTTCGTTATTGTTGGCTCATGTTGGTCAGTAAGTACTAAACACGCTTATCCTCTTGCTGTGTATACTGTGAATCATTTATTGTTGATACGTCTTCTACTGTGTTGTTAGTAGTTATGTTGATGCCCTTTTTTTTTTTGCATAATAGCCGTAATTGATTTCCACTTAGTGTTTTAGTAAATATGTCGGCCAATTGATCATGAATGCGAATTTCTCTTTACCTCTATTTCCTTCCGTTCGTGGTTTTCCTTACCTGAATGACATTGTAATCTTGTTTGTTTGAGCCCAGTGATGGATCAGCGTTAAGGATATTTGTTAAGGCGGCTGTGTTGTCAGTTTGACCGGTACTGACGATTTCACATCCCCAACAATCGAGAGCCACGATCAAACACTGGAACACACTAGTCATCTATACACTATGAAAAATCACTCAAAGAACAACTCACTCGTGATGTCGCATTATTCGATCAAGGGTCAGACATCACATACACCTGTAGACTGATGTGATACATCTAGACACGATGTTACTTCGACACACCTAAGGGAAGAATAAAATCATCAACTGTATGAACGATGGACCTAAACTTAGGATACAAAAACGGCATTAATTGGATTGACACAGAGGCACACTATGACTAAAACTTCTTCTTAACGCTCATTTCGCAGAATATACTCAAAAAATACAACCTAGGTATGGACTGCCAACCATCACATTAGGGCAATTTCACACAAGGTACCATTCACAAATGAAAATTTACTTTTCAAACTCAATGTAAACCAAATTGAGAAGTTCCAAAGTTACTAATGATAATAATAATAATAATAAAATAAAATAAAAACCGTGCTGCCAAACGATCGCTGCACTCGTAGACAATCTATTTGACGTTCAAAGCTATTAAAATGCACTTTATCATTTTTATTTGGTCTAGCTTGAACGTAGCTAAATATTTTATAGCTTGGTTGTTATTATATTACTTAGGAGCTCCGTCATCAGTAGCTTTTGTTCTGACAATCACTTATATTGAAGCAAACTATTATGAGAGACACATATGTTAGTTAAATCTTCAATTCCATAACATTTTTAGGTCTGTTTGGGAACTCACTAGTTTCTGGAATGAGGTTATTGAAGCTTAATTGGACCTCTTACGACAATCAGATCAATAGATTTAACTTACAAAGTGTAGAGACTGCGGATAATATTAAGGGTCTGCATTTTCTACCGACACTGCCTCCAGGCAATAGGTCCCTTTGGGAATGGTCTGAAGATCAAAGCGAGATTGTGAAAGGATAGACAATTATTATTACAATTCAGAAGACGTTTGGACGCTTGATTAATATCATTATCACAATCTCTTCAGTAACAACGTTATAATCAGGTCCAGTGGACAACAGTTGAAGAGGTAGCGAGACGCTCAGTGTCTTGATCTCGAAGAATGTTCCACAACGTTCGCTTATACAATAGCAGGAGGAGATGACGCCGATCCTCCTGATTGTGAAGAAGTAACATTTGATACTTGTAAATTGACTATATTGACACACTGTTGACCATAAATACCTTATTGTCTTGGAGAGTCTATTGTGAAGCTGATAACTTGTTGGTTCATGTTGGTCCGTAAATACTAAACACGCTTATTATTACCTGTTATACATGTTAGGTTATTATACTATATTGTGATCAATTAGCTTATCGTTTGTGTACAAGATGTTTTTCTTCTATAGTTTTCACTGTCCGCATTTCCTTGTCGCCCTCTTGATCGTACTGCAGCGCAGTGTTCCTCTTGTGCGCAATGTCCCTATCACTAAATTATACTGTATGTTTAGCTTTTTATCGGTCTTCTGATAGTTATTATCAATATTGTAGACAAAGACAAATTACCAAGTAGAACTGCTTAAAACGAGTTAAGTTGGGTAGAATATAAAAGCAAAAATCGCACATAGGTTTCCTTACAAGCTATTAAATCAAACGCTTTTCTACTTATTCTGAAAGTCCACTCAAATTAGAATCTTGAATATTTTCACAATGGTGACGGTGATATTTAATGACCAACAGTTTTAAAGTATCATTGTTGCAATATTAATGACGCGGTTTAGTAGCATTCCTAACATTATGTCATGAGGTTAATTTTCGCAAAGTTCTGACATGAAAATTTTTGTTACAGCATCCGCGATACACATCTTATTTACATGTTACGTTTTCATCTCCTCCTATAGCTCAATTGGCAGAGCGCAAGACTGTAACGGCAGCTTGATATCTTGAGGTTCCTAGTTCGATTCTGGGTGGGAGGACATCTTTTTGCCTTTTTGACGACTTTCATTTGATATGAAATATTGTTTTTTTTTATTTGAGCTTTTAAGGCGCAAATTGTCTTTTCTATCTTTAAATGTAAGTTCATCATCATTTTATTGTAATACAATTCTATATTATGCAGCGTTTGATTTATTTCTTTTGCTCCCTTTCGACCTGCTTCTTTTTCTAATGCATATGTTAGTATGTTGCTTTGTTTGAAGAAAAGTAGTACCTTTTTCAAATTCCGTTCCATCTGGATAGCCTGTCAGATGTTGCTTTCAATTATGTAATGGATACTCACCTCCAAAAAAGCTCTCATAGTCGGGTCCAAATCACTAACTAGCTTATCAGCGGCCTTTTCAGCTTCGATCTCCGCATCTGCTTGTGAAGTTGCCGCCTTGGCGCCTGCAAATCCCTTTAAATCTGCTGGCCATCTGCTTATATCGATGCCTTTAGCCTCTAATTCTGACGCAGTTTTTGGGGCTGCTGATAAATAACTTGCTAGATCATCGGCATATATATCATAAGTGCAATTAACGCATCCGGACATACAACACTCCTCAGGTGACGGTTGAGAAGGCTTTTTGGGTATCCTTACGCCTTCTATATAAATATATGCATTACTGGGTGTAGTATCGACACTTTTATCCTCTTTATCATGCGATAAATCCGTTGGGTTCGTCGTTGGAGTCTGAAATGATACTGTCGACGGCTCAGTTGATATCGAATCGAAATCCTCTCGCTGTAATTTTGACCAAAGTGAGTTCAAATTCCTCCCCGAGCGTTCTATTCTCGTCGTAGTCGTGAACTGCCGTAGTATTCTCATAGTTGAGATATCATTGAATGTGATGGGAGGTGTTGATTAAGGAAGAAATTAAGATATCCACCTAAGTAGCAAATACATTTCTCTAGAATATACCACCATCATCAATGTCGTCAACGAGCGTACTTTATCAATCAAAACTAACATCAAAGCTACAAAAAGGTGAATTCTTCCCACTATCTTCTTTATATTTCTGTGAAGAATGCGATGCAATCAGATGCACGCGTACAGTAACAATGGAACCAGTGATTCACTACTGTCCAAACTGCTTATTTGAAGTGCCGACAGCGAGCGTGAAATCACAACGTAATCGCTGCATGAGAAATTGTAGTTCCTGCCCGATCTGCTCAAGCTCTTTGTCTACAGTTGGGACGGGTACTTCTATAGAAGATAATGATATACCATTGAATATGCTCACAGAGCCTGAATCATCACGTGCGGACCCTCCATTCGTACTCAGCTGCGGCTGTTGTGGTTGGAATACCACCTCTTTTGGCGATAAAGGTGTGTTTGAGAAGCCAACTGGTATTGGTGCGCTCATAGCGCGCGGGGATGAACGTGAAGGGAGAGCAAATGAAGAGTTCGATTATATTAGGGATAGGCTAGACTCTCTATTTAGTGTTCATAGTATGATTGACGACATCTCAATACATCCACTTTACCCTTCAGATGGAACGCAAGTGGAGACGGACCGACAACTCGAGTCAATTGCTGAATCTGAAGAAGAGAGACTTAGAGTATTAAAGAGAGCATCAAATTTGGATAGCATCAGTAATCCTTCGAGTAATTCCTATCCGATGAGCATGTTTAAACATCTACAAACACCACAGAGAGTCAAGCTTGTGACCAAGTACAGCAAGAGGTGCGGCATATGTAGACACATACTCATAAAGCCAGATACGAAATCCCACATAAAGCATAAGATCAAAATGACGGCTAACAACTATCTGCCTGGCATAAATGTGAAAATTGCGCGTATGGCACTCCAGCCACCTGGTTCTAGACTAACAGCGAATGGCGAACTTCGAGCTGGCAGAGTCTATGTATTCGAAATGCAGATAATCAACCCACTCTACGATGCTATGAAAATAAGGATGCGGGTCTTAAATCAGAATGGGTGCAAAGTGCGAATTGATGAAAATGAATATGAAATAGGTGCATTCAATGAAGTTATGGAATTTGAAGAAGAGGCATGGGTCCAAAGTCAAGCGAGACGCATCTCAGAAGCCAAATCGGTTGGTTTAGTAGAAAGTAAAGGCAATTCAACGCGGACGATGTTCGAATTGAGTGTCAATGGGGATGCAAAATGCGCAGAGGTGAGTTAGATTTAGAAAATGGTATATATTAATCGTAGTCTAGGTTATATTGGAGGTAACATACACTTATAGAACAATGACGCCGCCTTCAAGTCCGCAACTGGATGAAGCAGAGGACGAGTATAAAGACTTTACGTTTAATGTTTTGATAGACGCTGGTAATATCGGCTTAAATGAATGAATTTCGCAATTTCTCCGTTTGATTGAGAAGTTCAGAATGGAGAGTTGATAGTTCTTCTAGTTTCGAGAGGTTGACCTTGCTAGATGATAAATCTTTCAAATCCCTCTGTAGCGTGCTCAGTTCTGATTGTAGCTCGTCTGCTAGCTTGTTGAGGTCATCAAGTTCTCTTTTATCGTATTCTATTGATTGTATACCCGTGTTTATTGAGTTAACAAGTTTTTCAAACTTATCGTCCAGCTGAGTTATAAGCTCTCTTGGTGTCTGATCCTCTAGGGCACCCTTGACCCATTCAATGATGGCTGAATCCATTCAAGAGCTTGACGATAGAGAGGAAGTACGGTTAGAGAGAAAATCGCTGTCCAAGTCAACGTCCGTGAAGTATTTAAAGCTAAATCGATACACAAATATACTTTGCTACGATGATAGCTTACCCACGACTGTGGAATATATCAATGCATCTGTAATAGAATTCAAAGAATTCAATTGCAATACGACTAATGCTAAGAGGTTCATAGCCACGCAGGCGCCACCTGTGCGCACTTTTGGGACGTTCTACAGTCTGATACTAGAGGAAGGTGTCCGTGACATAGTACAAGTATCAAATTACCAAGAGAATGGCAGACCAAAGGTGGATTACTATCTACCAGATGATAAAGAGCTGCAGTTCGGTGATATAACCGTTAAGACACTCTCAGTTGAGGATGACGCAGAGTGTTTAACAACCCATTTGGAGATTTCCACTAACAGCAAGGCAATACAGACCAGACACATTTTATACAAAAACTGGCCAGATCATTCAGCTCCTACATCACTCAGATCGCTTATTGGCTTACTTGGCAGGCTGGACGAATCTGCGCCATGTGTCGTACACTGCTCAGCAGGAGTTGGGAGAAGTGCCACGTTGATAGCGTTACATGAGATGTTAAGGTGTAAAAACCAACCGTTGCTGCCATTTTATGATGACCTGAAGGGTAGGTCTTACGAGAACTCAGATATTGTCTATCGTACGGTCGACTTCATACGTAGACAGAGACCGCTGAGCTGTGAAGCTAAGCAGATCGCCTGGCTATACCAAGCAGTAAATAGACTTTAATTTTGACCTATTATGGATATTTATCTACTGAGAGCAGATAAGCCGGATAAAGAAGAGGGAAACTGTGAGGGGAATGAGCTGTGATAATATAGTCTTGATAGACTCTTATACTATCCTTATAGAGCGCTGTAGCCGCCCCAAAGAGGGACGATAATCTGTACGACGATCTGCTAGCAATCTAGAGATGGTAGGGTAAAAAATAAAATATCGCTTATAAAAGAATGAACGTATTATTGCCTTTATCTAAACAATTTTTTATTGCTTCTCGTCTATTCCTTGCGAGGTTAGGCAAGCCTTAGTTCTGAGCGACGAGGAGGTATGCCTGCGAAATCGAAGAAGGGACAAAAGAAAGCAGACGATCAAACACAGCATCCGGACCTCAGTGGACAGTGGAATCTAGGCGTAGACGCAGCCGCAACAGCTCACGGTGGGTCATGATATCTTCCAATATTGGCGATTGCTCATTTAGTACAGATTTACTAGCAACAGCTAGCTCATTATACGCTAGAATGTCCGCAGATCATCCTGGTTCCTTGCCAGACGACGACGCCTACTGGTCCAGTCTACCGGCACACTTACGACAATTTATAAGGAATGCACTACCGCTAGGGCAGCTACAGTCGAACAACCATCATACACCGCCAAAAATGTCAGCTGCAGCAATGCAGGCCGTAGCTCAGCAGATAGCTTCTGCAACTCGTTATCCCCCAAACAACAACAGTTCACAAATACAGGGCGTTCCACATGGTCCAGCGCCACCTCCGGCGAGCTCCTTCGATTTCAGTGATCCTTCCGTGAGGTTTGCTCTCGAGCAGCTTGGTCCTCCGCCCTCGCGCGGTCTCAGGCAAGAAGATTTCGACCAGGAGTATTACACGGACGAGGAGGTAGATTCTATCGATGGTACGGATGGTGACTACAACTATCACTCAGGCGTTATATATGACAGTGGCGTCATCCCACTCACAACACCTGGCGTACAGCCTGATCAGCATCTTAACGGCGTGGCTGATCCTCCTTCTAAAAAGAAGAAGAGGAAGAATAAAAAGAGCAAACCAGCCGCTCAAGCAAAGCTTAACGGCAAATCAAACACCAATGCTATTCCACCCCCACCACCGCCACCTGCTCAGCCAGTGCCACCACCACCTGTGAGTCAACCGCCCCCGCCGTCATCGAGGGCAGCTGGGAAAGCACCAATGTCATATTTGCCTCAACAATCAAATATTCGCTCAAATGGTGCCACGAATCAGACCAAGTCAAAATCTTCACAAACATCTTCAACTAACAAACAAACGCCTTCTTCTTCGCTCGCCAAAAAGATTTGGTCTACGAATTCGACCGAAGAGCGTGAACGTATAAAAGAATTTTGGTTATCGCTTTCACAAGATGAGCGAAGAAAGCTCGTACAACTTGAGAAAGAGACAGTACTAAAAAAGATGAAAGAGCAGCAAAAACACTCTTGCTCATGTGCAGTATGTGGCCGAAAACGATCAGCAATAGAGGATGAACTGGAAGTTCTATATGATGCATATTATGACGAGCTAGAACAATACGTTGCACATCAGCACCAACATTACAGTTCACCTAACACCATTCCACCTCCACCGGGTCCAGGTCCATTCCCAGGCTCTGTTGAACTAGATAAGAATGGTCAATTGGTACAACCACCCGATAGTCCAGATGATGATGATGATTTGGATGATGAATACGACGATGAAGATGATGAGGATTACGACGACGATGATCCTGAAGATGATCTCTCAGGTGATGAAGATTATGAAGATGATCAGGATAGTCTTTCAAATGCACGTCGTTATCGTCATAATAATAGGAGAAAGAAACCTGAAATATTTACATCGTCATTTTCAAAAACGTTTACAGTACAAGGTACGTAATGAATATCTCAAATTTATATTCAATTTATTGATTAGAAGCTCTAGGTGGCATACTCACGGTTGCTGATGATCTCTTGAAGAACGACGGTCAGAAATTCCTCGAAATGATGGAGAGTCTGGCTGAGAGACGCTTGCAAAGAGAAGAAGAAGCAGCTGCTGGATTTGATGACAGCGAGGAAGAGGATGAACAGGATGAGGACGAAGAAGATGACGATGACCTTGAAGATGAAGACGAAGAGGATGTGAGTTCTGAAATTTTGTACGTTTTGACTGATCTCACATTCGATAGCGTATGGAAGATGGTCGTCGGATGTTCCAAGTCTTCGCAGCTAGAATGTTTGAACAGCGTGTTCTCCAAGCTTACCGTGAAAAGGTAAGATATTCTCACCAATTCTCATTGAATGTCTTAACAATATATAGGTGGCTCAAGAGCGTCAGCTGCAATTGCTCCGCGAACTTGAGGAGGAAGACAAGGTTGCAGCCGACAAGGAAGCTAAGAAAGCTAAAGAGAACCAACGTAAAAAAGACAAGAAGCGCCTCCAACGCCAACAGAAGGAGGAAGCTGATGCCGCTAAAAAGGCTCATCTAGCTGAAGAGGAAGCTGCCAAGAAAGCCAAACAGGAAGCTGCTCAAGAAGCTGCACGTCGACGCCAAGAAGCTGAAAGGCAACGCCGTGAAGCCGAGCGACAAGCTAAAGAAGAAGAAAAGCGTCGTCGCGAAGCTGAGCGACAGCGTCAGCAAGAAATCCATAAGGAAAGAGAGGCAGAAAAGGAACGTAAGAAAAAGGAGCGTGAGGATAAGCTTAAGGCAGAGAAGGAAGAGCAAGAGAGAGCTAAAGCAGCCAAACTTGAGCGCAAAAAAGAACGCACTGCTGCCTACGAAGCAGAACAGAAAGCCAAAGCAGAGAGAGCGGAGGAAGAGGAAATGCAAAAGCAAGCTCAGGCTCAGGCTCAAGCGCAGTTCCAAGCCCAGGCGCAAGCTCAAGCTCAAGTTCAAGTGCAGCAAGCTCGTATGGAACAAATTCGCCAGCAGCAAGCTCAAGCTCAAGCTCAGGCCGCTGTCCAAGCCCAACGCACGCAATTCCAAAGACCGTTCCAGAATCCAGAAACATCGACATCTTCACCTTCACCAACTGCAACTAGCGTACCTGGATTATTACCATTAAGGTCACCACCACTTACCAGTACAGCATCACCATATCTCATGAGAGGTAACCAGACACCTAACAAAGACAAGCAAGTCCAGGATGCTCCAAAAGCACCACAAGCATTACTCAATGGAGGTATTCCAAGGCCACCATTCTATCAACAACAACAGCAACAGCAACAGGTGCAAAGCCCAGTTGATATCCGCCAACAGAGACCTAGAATGGCGGTTCCACCACCAGGTTTAATTCCAAATGGAGCGCAAAACGCGCAAACGCCATTTGGTGCATATGGAATTGCGAAGTCGCCACCATCAATGACACGATCAGCATTTGAAAGCAATTCAATGGACGATGGATTCTTCGGCGGCAAGATGCAATCACAATCACCTATAGGAAGTCTCACTGGAAGCGTTGGTGGATTGAACCTTGGTGAAGATAGCTTGTTGGCTGGACCATCTGCGACAACTTCGACATCTGCTAGACCCATTGGATTTGGTGTAGTTGGAAGGACACCCCTAGCTGCCCCAACCCCAATATCGAGACCTAGTGCGAACACGACACCAGATCAGGCGTCGTCTGCACCTACAGTCGGAAAGCTACTCGGTAGCTCGGCATTGGGTGGTGGAGATGATGAAGTTGTTGAAAGACCTGCAAGAAGGCAGTCATCACAGATGGCACCAGTTGGTTTAGGTGGTAGTCCTTGGCAACCATTACCTCTGTCGCTAGACAAGCAAAGTCCATGGCCTAGTGCGACAGCCAATAGTAATTCTATGGCAAGTCATGGTAGATCTAATAGTATATGGGGCGATAGTGGAACCTCTGGCTGGCCAAACATGTTCAGTGGATCGACATTCTTGCCGCCTAGCCATAGCACGAGTACGAATAATCCAGGAAGCTGAATTATAGTAGTTTAGTTGTACATTTGAATTTATTATATTTCTCTTTACTTTTCTTCTTTACGAAGTTCATCGATGTCTGAGGAAATTGATTTGAGTAGTATTTTCTGGAGAGCGCCTGAATTTCTCCAGGTGGGTATATAGCGTATAATATAGTAATCTAATGATTAGTAGTACTACGGCAATACACTCAATGATGCACTTATTATGGATTACTTCAGTCTTTCGCCATTTTATGATAAGAAGAGCAACAACCAGCTGATAAAGATGCAGAATATTGCTAACTTGAGTCAGCCAGCCAATATATTTGATCAATTAGTGCATTTCACTGGCATTGAGTTCGTACTCGCTCACTCAGAAGCTCCAGATTTATTTATAATCAATAAGCAATATAGACACTCGCCAACAGATTCTAGAGTCTTGGCTGTCTACTACTGTTTAAACAATAACATATACGCCGCCCCAGACGGTTACAACGCACTCGGGATGAAGTTTCACAGCGCGATATTTGCATTGCAGTCTTCTATGAAGACCTTGAGGGATAATCTACCAGCTTACAATCCACGCGTTGGCTATAGCTGGCAAATAGAACCAAACAAACAGAAAGATAAGACTGATGTCACGGAAGAGAACAGTATACCACTTCTTAAATCCTTGCGGACGACGCGGGCTGATCTAAAACTTGAGCGGGAACGCAGGGCGAAGTTACTAAGTGAACAGACAGGCGAGAAGATAGATATAGATCAGACAGATCAGACGGTTGAAGAACCCAAGCCAGTACCGACTAAATCAGCACCTACTGATACAATCAAGAAGAAGAAGCGTAAGTCAACGAAATCTTCCGCTACTTCACGATCAAGCACGCCCGCAACACCAGACATACTAAACATGTCAAAACAAATGTAGAAAATAGAGAGTACAACAAAGTTTCATCGCATCGTTACCGATTTCATTGGCTGTTTTATATATGTAAACTATTCATCGTCGCTGTCTTGCTCTTCGTCGGAATACGTCATTCCATTCCTTGAGTAGAGTTCCATACGACGGTTAGAGAGACCGCCATCTACCTTTGTTATTCTGGCTTTCTCGAGGATGTACTTCCCCTCTTTATATTTCTGGCTGTGTATGTCATTAGATAGTGATTATATCGGTGGATATGGCAAACCTCTCGTCGTATGCGAATATGTACTTCCATCCGAGCTGTAAATTGCACCTTCTGCACTGTAAATCTGCGACTGTATGTACGCCCGTAGTCATCCCCCTATCCTCTGCTTTGCTGAGGACATAGTTGACGCTGTATCTATATTATTTGGGCAGTAGACTAGCGTTGTGAAACTCACACATTAGAAAATAACAAAGCCCTCCCGGTCTGCCCTTGAAATGCCTATTAAAGTGTGAGATATCTTATCTACAATAGAATTATCGAGCGCATACGTGACTTTCTAGATGCTCTAAGGCAGCAAGATGTGTTTTGCACTTTACACACCCAAATGCGCCCGATTCTGATCTGATATACTTGCGATAGCTGTATCCCATACTCTTGATAGCGGACGCTCAAGAGTGATGAGCGAATACCTAGAAAATTTATTCAGCAGCGTATCAAATATACTAGGGAATGGATTATTCAATAGCCGTAACGATAGCAAACGCTCACAGCGACCGAGCACATCAAATAAGCCCCAGAACCCACTATCTTTGAGCTCAAAGAGCAAGACGATACAGAAGGGACACAAGAAGCGTCCCCATATACTTAGCGTACAGGTGTGTATTACTAGACATTTAGGATATTCTCTCAGACGTTATAGCACTTCAATAACGCCCAGCTAAGGAAGATCAAATTGGCCTTCCAGCAGCAGCAATCTAGAGGATACGCTGCAGATTTTGCAACTTTCCAAGGTCAGTAAGTTAGTGTATGAGCTACTCACTGCTGAGCATATTCTTAGGTTACTACTCTTTCAAGCAGCGCGTAGATCAACTCAATTTGGGACAAAATATACCGCGTATGTTCCTCCTATTTAGTTGTCAAAACTAACATCACCTTACAGCCTCAACACGTACACGAAAGTCTACTGAAGTTCGTCTTCTCTTCTTCATCTACGATAAGCTAACAAAGTCGATTAGCCATGGCTAGATACCAAGCAACTTCGCAGCGATACCTCCTTCAAATCTGCCATACCGAAGGTGTACCAACTTTCGGAAGTTGAACTCGCGAAACTTTCTTTGGGACCTAAACCAGAATTACCAACTGAATTGACAGCAGATGAACAATCAGAGTTTAAGAATGTAATGTCTCTATCTGGGAAAATCAGTAAATGTGGTAGACAAACGATGATGTCAAATGACCTCAAGACACTAATGCCGAGGCAATGGCTTAACGATGAAGTTATAAACTTCTACGCTGAAATGTTAAGACAGAGCCAGAGCAGACAGATTGAAGATTGGGAGAAGCATGACAAAAAAGACAAAAAACCATTCGACGCTTACATACATTCAACTTTTCTCTTTTCTACGCTAGAATCCTCTGGTTATGACAAAGCGAAACTAGGTCGATGGGTTAAGAAAGTTGACCTTTTTGGAAAGGACATCATTATTTTTCCTATCAACCGCGGTCAATCACATTGGGTTTGTGGTGCCATCAACATGCGTAAGAAGAGGTTTGAAATGTATGACTCTATGGGAGGTGGTACTAAATATGTCTATCAGGTGAGTGTTTTCCCCGAATGATGAATTTTACTTAGATAAGACAGAAAATGCGAGAATACATAAACAGAGAACACGAAACCAAGAAAGGAAAGCCTTTTGACTTCGACGGTTGGATAGACTTCTGGTCAGAGAACACGCCAACACAAGATAATGGCTTCGATTGCGGTGTTTTCACTTGTTGTTTTATGGATGCCCTGAGTAAAGGCAAGGATGTCGATGATGACGCTTTTGAGTTCAGCCAAAAGCATATGAAATACCTCCGTAAACGGTTGGTTCTCGATATAGCAATGTCATCGACCTAGTTCTGTGTATACATATAATTTATTCGATAGATGTGTCGACAACTGATAAGACTGCCAAGAAAAATGAAAAAAGAACAAAAGCGCTTGCTAGTAATGTGATAACATTTTAAATAGTTTTCAAATGAGTAAACGACTATTAAAACAACGTAACGTAGAGTTAAGGGGGAGTATACTCATTTTATCCAACACTGGGAGGATTAATAGCGAGCTCTCTGTACTATAACGATAGTAAAAGGATATATTAGGGATGTCATAAGGTATATAAATAGATTATTACCATTAGATAGGATTATCCGCATAACCTTTGCCCTCTCGAGCGTCCTTCGAGAGCTACGGTCAAGTTCGCGCTTAAAACGAACTTTGGAGGATGTCAGACAGCCAAGAGAAGCAAGTCGTCCAAGCGCCAGTCAAGCGCTCATACCCATTCTGGTAAGCTTAAGAGTATGACAAAAATTTTCTGACTTTTTATAGGCTGGGAGGTGAATATATGAAGTATATCTATCGAAAAATGTCTAATATATCATCATAGGTGTTGCTGCATCACTCGCTGCATGCCTCACTCATCCACTCGATCTTACGAAAGTACGGATGCAGACTACAGCACCAAAGGATAGACACAATATGCTTAAAACTATGATTATGACAGTAAAAGATCAAGGTGGGTGTTTTAAAGCTTTTAAAAAGCTTATCGAGAGTGTTTGCTCATTTACCCCAGGTATAAAAGGATTATACGTCGGATTGACAGCATCCGTATTTAGACAGTGAGTGGTATAGCTTAGATCGATGGTGTATACTAAACATCAACAAGAATGACTTACTCTATAACGCGATTTGGTGCTTATGAACAACTTAAATCATACACCAGCAAGCCAGGACGTGAGTGAATGAAGTTGCTTGATGTCGATATTCTAACCTCTCATTAGAACAATCAAGCGCTGCTAATATGGTCCTTTGTGCTTCTGGTGCTGGTGCACTCGGAGGTATTGCAGGTAATCCAGCTGGTGAGTAGGGCTTTATTAATAAGAAATCATATAACACTACTTGAAGACATCATATTAGTCAGAATGACATCGGATGCCACGAAACCAGCTGCTGAGAGAATGGGGTACAGGAACGCCTTACATGGATTATTCAGAATGACGAAAGACGAAGGTATAAACTCACTCTTTAGAGGTTTAGGACCAAATACCGTGCGCGCAATCTTAATGAACGCCTCACAATTAGCAAGTTACGACTATTTCAAGAGAAGTTTAGTAGATTACGCAGAGATGGAGGAAGGTTTACCATTGCACTTCTCAGCCTCATTCTTGGCTGGTACACTCGCAACGACTGTTTGCTCACCAGCGGATGTTATCAAGAGTAGAGTTATGAGCGAATCTAAGAAGGGTGGAAGTATCGCAGAAATGTTCAAGACCTCACTCAAGAATGAAGGACCTGGATTCTTATTCAGAGGATGGACGCCTGCGTGGATTAGATTGTGCCCTAACTCTATCGCTATCTTTGTCATATTAGAGCAGCTCCGTTGGGCGGTAGACAAAGCTAGAGATCTCAAATAGATTGAATTATAGATTTTTTAATTAATGCATTCCATTTTATTTGCTTTGATACTCTTCTTTCTTGATTACGTCCAAGATGTGAGTAGAGTGAGATTTTCTGCTGGCGAGATTGACAAAAATACAGGGAGAGAGAAAGAGATAGAGACTACGGTTAGTTTGTTATTATCTATATTCAAACCTCTTATGCTCCTTTAGAACGTAGACGGTATTCTGATAGACCACGAGATGATTCTCGCTATGAGAGAAGATCTCGCCATGATGACTACGATAGGCGTTCACGTCGTGATGACCGCGAGAAGGATTACGATCGCTACGACAGGCGAGACAGAGATAGAGAGCGCGACCGCGATCGCGACAGATACGCTGACAGAAGACCACGTAGATCAGATAGGGATGATAGGAGAAGAGAGCGTGGGAGAGATGACAGGGACCGCAGCTATGGTACACCAAGAAGACGTAGTCCAACCCCAGAAGGTATTCTTCCATTATCCCAGCGTAAAAAGCAGAGAAGTTATTGGGACATCAAACCACCAGGTTTTGAAGGAATTACGGCTTTACAAGCTAAATACTCTGGTATTTTCGCTATGGCAGGTGTACAGCGTGCTGTAGCCTTCCCTGGTCAATCTTCTTTCTCAAATTTACCACCTACACTCGAGGATTTCAATGGTGCGAGGGCATCTAGGAGGGTTTTCATTGGTGATCTTAAGCCGAATCACAATGAAGAGAATCTTACGAAATTGTTCAATGATAAGATGTCAACAATAGACCAAGTCGCAAAAATACCAGGTGAACCTGTCGTCAATGTCACCGTTAAGCACGATAGAGGTTATGCCTACATTGAATTTAGAAATACAGATGAGGCTGCCTACGCTTTGCAATTCGATGGAACTATCTTCCAGGGTGAAGGTATCCAAATTAAGCGTCCTCAGGAGGTACTCGATGAACTGCAACGCAAACAGGGCCACACTGTCAGTGGTACCGTTCCTGATTCTGATCAAAAGATCTTCGTTGGTAGTTTACCTACATTCCTTAACGATGAACAAGTTATGGAATTGCTTGGTAGTTTCGGAGAATTGCGCTCATTTAACCTTGTCAAAGAAGGAACATCTGACGTTTCAAAGGTAGCTTTTTTACTGGTTCATAATTATTACTTACTGACACATCCCCAGGGATTTGCCTTCTGCGAGTATATGGATCCAGCACTTACAGATATTGCTATTCAAGGTCTCAACGGTATGGAAGTTGGTGACAGAAAGCTAGTTGTACAACGTTCATCTACTGGTCCAATGGGAAAGATTGGAGTTGGTGGTACATCATCAATTGCACAAATCCTTCCATTAGCCTCCGAAACACAAGCATACCGTACTAACGTTTTATTGCTTCTCAACATGGTCACAGCTGAAGAACTCAAAGATGATCTCGATTATCAAGAAATTTGTGAAGATATTCAAGAAGAATGTTCACAATATGGTGAAATAATCAAGATAAAGATACCACGTCCACCAAGACCAGATGATCCAGTATTTAGCACACCAGGTGTTACCTTATCATCTGGAGAAGATTTACGATTCGAAGCCGCTTCTGAAGAACTTGGTGTTGGTAAGATCTTTATCTTGTACAAGACTGAAGAACAGGCTAGTAAAGCCTTGAAGGCCTTAGCAGGTAGAGTATTTGGTGGTCGTACAGTAATTGGAGCATATGGCAAACCTGAGGATGTTGAAGATGCACCACTCCCACCAGAACTTCCTAACGATGATGCACCATTACCACCTGATGAAGCAATTCCACCGCCACCACCACCAGTATAATTATTGTCTATATAAAACAATCTAATTCATATTTTTATTCATTCGATTATCTTCTTGATAAGTGACAATCATCCGAACATTATACCCATGTTACCGGATAGAGCGAGAGATGCGCAATTTGAGCTAATGCTTTTGGGAACAGGTACAAGCTCAGCGGTACCAATTTTGCCTTGCGTGACGGACCCGGAGCAGAAATGCAAGACCTGCTTATCGGATGCTAAAGAGGATGAACGTGGGAATACCTCAGCGATTGTACAAGTTAGAGCTAATGATGGTAACATGAAGACCATATTAATTGATTGTGGTAAGACATTCTACAGGGATTCATTAAAGCACTTTCCTAAGCGTGGATTAAGGAAGGCAAGTGAAAGTGACAAATTAATACCTTTAGACTAACGTTAAGTGTAAGATTGATGGTCTTTTACTCACACATGGCCATGCAGACGCTATGTACGGATTGGATGACCTCAGAGTGGGTTGATAGACGCCTTAGATTAATTACTCAACGTAATCTATTACAGGCATGGACGATGCGTTCTATACAGGATTGTATAGATGTCTACACCAATGAAGACACTTACCAAACCGTCTGCAATGTCTTCCCTTATAGTGAGTATAATTCATACCCCCGATGGCTGACCTAATTGAATATAGTGGTTGATTCATCAAAAGGTGTGTATTTAATTACGCTCTCGAGTCAATATGTCTAACAATACACTCAAGCTAGCGGTGGTGGTGATGTTCCTTCATTTAGATGGCATATAATCACACCAGGGGAGCAATTCGACGTCGCTGGTGTACCTGTTATAGCTGCAGACGTAGAGCATGGTTTGGCTGCACCTAGGAGTATATCGGGAGATCGTTCACCATTTCACTGCCTGTCTTACATTTTTCCGCCTTTTGGTATTTATATGGCAGATGTATCAAGGATTCCAGAGGAGAGCTATAAAGTTATAGATAACGCATTAGAAGGAAAAAGGCCGTCAATTTTAGTATTAGATTGCTTAAAAAGTCAACCACATTTGTCGCATTTCGGTTTAGACCAGAGTTTAGAAGCAAGTTATCGTATAAAGGCGAAGAAAACATTATTTGTAGGATTCGGACATGAACGTACGCATAATAGTTGGATTGAACATATAGATAGAAACAAGTCGGTCGATATGGATATATCGCCTGGCTTTGACGGACAAGCAGTTGAAGTTGATATCGAAGGGAATGTAGAGACAAAATGAATATTTTTATTTTTATTTTTATTATTATATTTATATTTGCACTATTTCTGTATCTGACGCACCTTTAAGGACGTCGATCATGACAGCGCGCTCTTCGATTGTGAGATAGGAAATATAAACTTAGGGCTTTATGTTTATCTTCTATAGGACTTCAGTCAACAGCGGCCATCTTCTGGTCATCAGGTACAGGAGCTCGGTCTCTTGAGTCTTTTCGCTTTCAAAGCTAAGGAATTGAATGAAGTTAGTAGCGATCTTATGCTATGTAGCCTATATTGATACACGCCTCAGTCATACGTGCAATTCTTCAATGAACGGTGCGTATCTATATCTCTTCACTTCTCGGGTACTGATTATGACTTGATAGGATAGCTTTAGAGAATCAATAGTGAGAATAAACTGGATGGCCTAGACACGCTCTGACTTGTTATTTAGCATACAAGGTCTTAACAGACTCTACGATTCAGCTGGCAAGATCGACCTCGATTTAGATACGTAGGCGACACCAATCAATGCACTCTTACTCTTCTGACAATTCTCCTATAGCAAGTACGCTATGACTTCCCTCCGTCACGTCTGGAAAGAGGTCCGTGAAGGGTTAGATCGGGAACGACAAGCTAGAGATTCTTTCAAACATGCTATTGAAGCGGACGTTATTGAACCACTGACTGTTTTTAAGGTGTGTTTACTCCTCATCAAGATCATTTTCTAAACATATCCAGGATACACACGAACGCACGCGTCGACGCGTAAAGGAAGATATCAGATCAAGTTCAGCTGACTATAATGACTACAGGGAGAGGGTTATGAAGCTGAAAAAATCATACGAGAAGAGATACACCGAGCTGGAAACACACCAGCGCCAAAGTGCTGCTATCGAAGCTCAAGCTAGGCTTTTGCAGAATACAGCTAGTTTACACCCCATACAGAGCAATACATCTACGAACTCTGAAGAGATACCAAACTCATCCCGACCAATGTCACCTGAAAGTGGTCATCAGTCTGCTGGCAAAGAAATGATAAATGCATTCAAGACAAAAGACTGGGCTAATGGAAAGCGCCACCTAAATAGCTTCTTTAAAAATATCGGTACTGCCGGTGCAAATGACGGTGAACGCGAGAGTAAAGTGATAGAAGATCCTTCAACTATCCAATCTGGTCCTAAACCAAGTGCACTTAAGACCGCGAAAGCGAAAAGAGAGGTTGAGGAAGCCGATCAAACTTACAGACAAGCAGTTTTCCATTTGGAGAGTTTACGTTTACAGCGAGAACGTCTGCAAGGCGCAGCTTTTGTCAGTCTTTCTGAATTTATAGAGGCGTTATCTGATCAAATGCGCGAACGTTTGACCTGTTACGCCGAACATCACATTGCTGCAGTTAAAACTCAAGATAATCTGTCGTACTATGTTCGCGATACCATTGAAAGAATTGATCCTGAGAAGGATCTCGCTCAATTCAAGAGTACATTACCAGATGATCCTGCTTCTTTGGGTATACCACCACGTTATCTCTACGTTGATCATTCAGGAGAATCATTCGAGGTGAGCTTTGCTTTGATGTTAATATTATGATTCCGCTGACTCCACTTTAGCTTGTCTTTGGTGTCAAGCTTTCAGATTTGGCCATGACATGCGGTACAGGCGATAATCCTCCACGAGTTGTATCTCAAGCTATATGGGCTTTAGGACAACGTGGAGTGAAGACGGAAGGTCTTTATAGAATTAGTCCTCGTCAGGCAGCTGTCACAGATCTTGTCAGACGAATTGAGAAAGACTATGGCAACTTTGAAATAACAAACACTGATGAACCACACACGATTGCAGGCCTTTTGAAGCTTTACCTCCGTCAATTACCTGAGCCATTATTCAGATGTTCACTCGCAGAGCGCGTACAACACACAGAATCACGTCAAAGACAATTCGCCGAATCATTCCCTCTTTTGAAATCTAAACTGAGGAAACTCTCACCATTGGCATTTAGCACACTTAGGATGGTTGTTGAGCATCTAGCATTAGTCGCACATTATGAACCATTCAATAAAATGAATGCGTCTAGTTTGGCTATCGTCTTCCAACCTGTATTGATGGGTGATATCAGCGTTGAGGAGCTACAAGGTATGAGTGCTGCAGATGCTCTCAAGATGCAACATTCTGCATCAAAGGATAAGACTATGGAAGATCTCATTCTTTACTATAAGACGATATTCGATAATGAGCCTTTAACTTGGGCACCACCGCCTAAAGCTGAGAAGCACGATTTGAAGCGTTCAAACACATTAGCAACTAATACAAATGAATCGTCTAGAACGAGATATGCTGTTGATTCACCATTAAATCGCCATGAGTCACCACCACAAGCACCAGATATGTCAACAATGAGAGCATCTACTCAGGGAATATCTAATGACTTCGGACCGAGAGGTGCTGCGGGTATACGAGAGCAATTTCAGGTATTAGGTAGAAGAGCCTCACAAATGAGATCATCACCATCAAATAGAACGTCGTCTAGACGTAGGTCAGGATCAAATGAGCTTGAACAACAACTTCAAGAAATTAACCCATCTCCACAACCGAAATCACCTGATAGTGGTAGCGCGAGTGGGAAAAGCAACCACCGCTATCATATTTCAGAATCAGTATTGCCTTACGCTAGCACTAGCTCAAATCAATCGACATCATCACAGAGGAAATTTTCATTTAGGAGGAATAGAAATAGCAGCAATCAATCTTCGAAATCAAACTCCATCACACCAAAAGGCGCTGGATATGATAGTGATCAACACAAACCGCCTACAGAAGATATCCTGGACTCTAATTCTATTATTGAAGCATATGAAGCCTCACCACAGAAAACTAACGTAACATTACCACGGGAGTAGTTTAATAGATAGTCTGATTTTATTATTATAGCAAGCGCTTCTTCTGTTTTCTTTATACCATTTTCTTGTATCTATTCAGATTATAATACATAATTGATATTCTTTTCAAACATCTTTTCGTGAAGTATACGTAGCTCTTAATCGTTGATGGAGGTATTCGTAAGCTGTCAGAGACGTCTCTGTAGAGAGACCCTTGATGGATTCAACGGTGGTGTCCATCGCATTCACGATCGCGTCGTCATCGGGATGGAAGAAGTATGCCAAAGATTGCCTTGGTTTGCTTTGCTCTGTCATTTTTGGTTTTACCACTCGGTGTGTCGTTGATTTGAATTGACCACCTGTCCAAAATCTATACGTTGTCAGCGTGTTTCTTTGTGAGTGTGCAACTCACTCCATTATATCACCAATATTTACCAGCACAGCATTTGGTACAGGTTCGACATCCTCCCAAACTCCATTTTTAAGTATCTGCAAACCGCTAATTTCGCTGTTTTGAAACAAGAAAGTCAAACTGCCGTAATCTGAATGAGCACCAGCTCTCAAACTACCATTTGAAGTAGTGGCTTCAACTGGAGGATAATAAAGCATTCTAAATGTAGAACTATTTGGAGCTGACGATGAATGAAATTTGGTGAAATAGTCACTCTCCAAATCAAGTGATAATGCGAAAGCATGAAGTAGTTTTATGCCAAGGTTGTAACAATTAGTAGAGAACTCTTTGAGAGTTTGGAAATTATTACCTTTGAATGTCTCAGGAAGTGACTGTGAGTTGTCGACAAAAGCTGATTTCACACCAAAGTTAAACGCCTCTTTGAGATCTTTGTCTGGTTGACTTGGATCTAATAGCTCATCGCCGAAATTGACATAACCTTCATTCGCTGTTGTTATCCTATAATCAGCTTTATCACTAGCTGACGTATCTTGGAAAAAGTTCTGGGATATTTTGAATACTTCCTTACTATCTATACCAGTATTCGTCAGATAAAGAAATCCTGTAGATTTGCACGCTTCTTTTATCTCATTTGAGAGTGTCTCTGTTGGTTGATCAGCGTTGATGGTGAAAGTCATGTTCTATGATATCTACGAGCAAGACCCATCTTACGAGGAGTTTTTAGTTTGTTTTTAGTTACTCATTTAGTACATTCCTAACGTAAATAGTCCAGAAATCTGGTAGCTAATAAACCCTGTCTGATTATCTCAGAGCTGGTTAAACAATGGCCTGCATACACAAATTGGAGGAGCTTGGACAGTTTGAAAGCGATCTATGGTGACCAAATCGTATCTGTAGCCCTCTGTGATATCCGGGATTTCAGCGATCAGAAAAGGGAAGACATGCGAGTTGATGACGCTATTACTAGAATGCTAGATGGAGAGAGATTGTATATAAAAGACTGGCATCTCGCTCTAAGAACGCAAAGTGACTTTTATAATACACCAGCTATATTCTTCGATGACTGGATGAATGACTATTATTCTAGGCATACAGATGACGATTTCAGATTTGTATATGCCGGTTCAGCATCCACTTTCACAGGATTACATAGGGATGTTTGTGGGTTTATTCTGTTAATGTTTAAGATAAGTCTGACAATATCATAGATAGAAGCTACTCCTGGTCAGCTAACATAGTAGGCAAGAAGCGTTGGGTGTTATTCCCACCACATACAGAGCGCTATCTAAGAAAAGAACCGGATAATCCAGCTTCAGAAATCGTCTATGACGTTCGTCATGTCGATAGAAAGACATTTAAAGATTTCGACAAAGCTGAGAAAGATTCTATAGTAATTATACAAGAAGCTGGACAAATTATATTCATTCCGAGTGGCTGGTACCACCAAGTTGAGAATATCGATAATTGTATTTCGATAAATCACAATTGGAGCAATAGCAATTGCTTATTAGATATGTACTCTAGTATGAAAGAGGAATACCTAGCAGTTGAGTCTTCAGTGATGGATATCAAAGATATATTACCAAATAAAGGTGAATGGTATGAAGTTGTCAACGATCTCTTTGCAAAGAGTAGTGGATGGAATTGGATAACATTTTTTGCTATGCTAACCACCGCGCTGGAGAATACTGACCAAGATCACCGGCCGGACAAAAAGATAACTGAGCGGAAAATAAAGCTCGTCGCTGCCTACTTTCGAGAAGAGTATAAGGATATGATAGACTCAGATGACAGACTTTGTAATAAAATAAACCAATTATCTTGATATTAGACGATCACGATGAGTTGCGTGGAGAGCTACGTAGAGACGTTATCAAACGCTCTATCAACTGATGAGATTGTCGCTTTGCAGCAGAAACTAGAAGCTGATATCGACAGTCGTAGAGTGCGTATAGCGCTATCTGATGACTACCGACTGTTTAGCTTACGCATCTACAGCTTCGATTAGCAGAGAGATTGAATAGAGATAAAAGTGTACATGCACACCAGCTCAGTCAATCGCTCAGTTTAGTCCAGATGCACTCACAGCTGAGCTCACAATCGGAAGAAATATCAAAGAAGATTGAACAGACAAAACCGACACTCAGAACTGAAATAGAGGCATACGAAAGTCATATCTATGATTACAATCAGGCGAAACTCGAGCATGAGGCTAAGAGCATATTAGATTCCGTTCAGCTCTCCCTATCAACCTTCAGGCAATACATAGATACGGAGGACCTAGTGAAAGCTGCGAAATTCATGCAAGATGGCCTTAAGAATACATTCCAGAGACTCTCAAATTCGTTCGTCGCTCGCTGGTCTGGTTCTGCTGCTTTACAGGTGCGTTGCTCGTAAAACAAACATTGCTGTTCTGACAATAATGCAGACAGAATGTGGTAGACTATCCGAATTGCTCACTGAAAAGCTCACAAAAGCTTGGAATGACTCGGTTGAGTGTACACAGACAACCTTAACATTGAGAGCTTCAAATGGCAGTACACCATTATCAGAGACTGTAGAAGCGCTCGAGGTGCTCAATATGTCAACTAGACGCTTCACGAATCTTTACAACAATATTAAAACACATTTCGTTGACATTCTTCTTCCATCACCAACAAACCAAGGCCTTGTACCCACATTAGTAGCCAATGAAGACACACTCACACTTAAGAAAACACAAGAGGCACCGATTAAAAGTACACAGCTGGATTCACTAAGCACGTTATTACATTTCATCGACTCTCGCTACAAAGAGCTTGGTGAACAACTCAGGCCGGTTATTATAGAGAGATTAATGGAGCACTATCTTTTACCATCTCTACCTGTCCGGTTAGGTGGCCCTGATATTACACTGTTTGTCAAGAGACTTGAGGAAGCCGTTGCATTTGAGAAAGACATCTTAAGCTGTAGTCAACAAGACACGATCAACCAATTTGCTCGAGTGTGGGGTGATAGCTGGTTACAAAAGCGGAGAAATCAAGTATTAAGCAACACAAGAAGTGTTATAGTTAGACCAGATTGGGACACCTTCGTAGCAGAAATTGAAGTACTTGTCGAAGATAGCAAGGAAAATGTGAAGAGGGATACTCCAGCGATCCAACCTCCCGTTGAAAAGGCCACCGACGATAAGGAAGCTAAGGACTTACATCAGAGTGAATCAAAGACATCTATAACGTCTGCGATGGATGTTGATAATAATAATAATGACGACGACGATGGATGGGGTCTCGATGATGATGACGAAGGTAATAATGTTACTGCTGCTTTGAATAATGTTGATTCAAAGACTTCAATAGTATCAATGAGAGAAGCTGCTCAAGATGACGACATGGAAGATGGATGGGGATTAGAAGATAATGAGGATGTCGAAAAGTTGAAAAACGATGATGTTAATGACCTCAAAGTTGAAAAGCCTGATCTCTCTCGTATAAGCTCCCAATCATCAATTACTTCACCTCAGCCTGATGTTATTGAAGAGGACGACGACGGCTGGGGTCTTGACGACGATGAAGAACACATCGACGAAGATAAAGAGGAACAAATTGGCCACGTACAACAGATAGATGATGATGACGATCCATGGAAGGAGGATATGGATGAGCCAGCCGCAAGGAAGCATGATGAGACCGGCAACGATAAAGTAGAGCAGGATAATAACCAATTGATGCACGATGATGACGACCCATGGAAGGAAGACATGACTGATGTAGCAACAAAAGATAATGCCAGCGAGGACGGTTGGGGACTTGATGACGATGAGGTGATCAAACACGAAGTTGCTCAAGTTGATACACCAATACACCAATGCGGAAACGTCGTTCATGATAAGAGTCAGATGCTTGATACCCAAAAATCAGTCGAGGTAGCTCCTACTCGCCAGGAACTCAAAAGCAGATCACTCGTTGTATCTCAATACGTCAAGCAAATACTTTTACATATTGATGACGCGCTCAACGATAGACAGTATCTCTTACAGACGAAGTGAGTGATTATATCATAGAGAATTAAAATTGACAACAGACAAGCGAAATACCTTCGAAAGACAACAATTTACCAGAGAAAGCAACTGAAGTGGCAGAATTAGTATTGGACTTCTACAGGTCGCTCTTTCCATATGTGCATAGAGAAACGATCAAGCTGGTACCAGCATTGGCGCTTCAATTTATTAACGATTGCGAGTACCTCTCACATGAAGTCTCGGATAGAGAATTGAAAACAAGCTCGAAAAAGCTAGAATTGCTTAAACAAACCACACTAGTGAATGTGGATGTTGAACAGAGACGACAGATAGTTGATATATTAACTGATGCGGGACCACTGACGGATTTATCTATAAATCACGAAAGAGCATTCGCTGGTGTGATTTCATCATTCTCAAGGTTGAGATCATCTGTGAAGGATGTAATAGATAAAGAAGAACTGAACAAATTACTGGGTTCAGTAGCAGAATTCTTGATGAGATTCGTAATAGAAGCAGTTGAAGATATGGATGATATCAGCGAAGAAGACAGTCAGAAGTTATGCAAAATGTGCAGAGATTTGCAAGCAGGACTACAATGCGTATTTGAAGAGAATGGCACGGAGGGATTCAAGCAGACAGACAACTGGTTCAAATTCGCATACCTCTCAGAAATCCTTCAAGCCAGCCTGGTAGATTTGAGCTACCTTCACAAGGAAGGCAGCTTGGTCGATTTCTCATCAGAAGAACTTGTGCGATTGTGCAAAGCGCTATTTGCAGACACAGAGAAAAGGGCTCAAGTGATTGATGATTTAATGGTTGCTAGTGCTCGTTGATGAAGAATGTATTTCGTAGATAACAATAATTGTTTTAACTTAGTTCTTTCTACGGAATGAGCAGCCTGGTGTGTGTGAGAGTGTGTAAACGCCAGTAAAAGAGAACTAACCTTCAGTCAAACGAGCCTTACCACCGGTTGGTTGGGAGAGAACGGTGGAGCAAGAGCCGCATAAAACAACAGTTTGAGCGTGTGAGAACACGGTTGTAATAGCGAAGCAACCTGGGCACTTAACGTCCATGAAGAAGGAGTTTGGACTTGGCACCAAACGCTTGAGCTTGTGCTTTTGAACCTCTGTTTGAGATGAAGGGTTAAGAAGGTCGACTGCAAGGGTCTGATTTATTGTTAGCGTCCTATTATCGCCTCTCTAATTTCTCACCATTTTTCAAAGCACAGCGTTTGCTAAGAAGCTCAGAATTTCCAGTCAGTCTCTTGCTTCAAAAATTACAATTTTAGAAAATAAAAATATTTTATAGCGAAATTATTGTTTATAATTAATTTTTAATGATTAAATTAAAATAAGAGAGTCTCTAGTTACTAACTGCCAGTCAGTCTCCACCTTTCTAGACACACTTTGTTTTTTTCCTAGTACTGCTTTTGAGTCCCCTTGCTGTATTTTTACCCCTTATTCTTGCCACTCACTCCCATCTCCATATCTCTCACGCCTTTATCATAGACGATGAGCACATCAAACTCAAATTTCCTAGATGTGAGCCCATTTATAAAATAATAGTCTAGTTATCTAATAGACGTCTAGAAAGCCATAGATTTGGTCTCTAATGTTCGCTCGCCCGCCTCGCTAGCGTCATCTCTAACTCTCTCCAGGCTATAGAGGAGGATGTAAAAACAAACTACGCTGAAGCACTGAGATTATACCTCAACGCGTTAGATTACTTTATGATGGCTCTCAAATGTGCGTATCTCCTCCGATCTCGAGCATCTGCCAACACAACACAGACGAAAAGAACCCATCATTGAAGACGATGATACGAGGTAAATTAGTCGACTACATCACGAGAGCAGAAAAGCTTAAACAAGTAATATCAATCTATCATTTCTCTAACATACTGACGATCATTTAATAGCATATTGCAAAAAGCGACGAGAACAAGAAACAGCCACTTGGTAGCACTAATTCTGGTGGTACTAACCCTGGACAGCCGTGAGTTTTTGAGATTTACACGTGATACCACCATCTCACCCTCTACTTAGTGGTAAAGAATCCGAGAACGATGACGCGGAGACTAAGAAGCTGCGGGCGGGTTTATCCAGTAGGTTCCTCTGCCTTATATGCGCGTATCTCATTCTCTATCAGACTCAATTTTGCAAGAAACACCAAATGTAAGCTGGGATGACGTTGCCGGTCTTGAAGTCGCAAAAGAAGCTCTCAAAGAGGCTGTCATCTTGCCTATTAAGTTCCCACATTTATTCACAGGCAATCGTAAACCATGGCGGTTAGTACCCCTCTTCTGAAGTCACCCTACTAATGATGTCTCAGTGGTATCCTCCTATACGGTCCACCAGGTACCGGTAAATCATATCTCGCGAAAGCAGTCGCAACAGAATCAAAGTCCACGTTCTTTAGTGTTTCTTCTTCTGATTTAGTCAGTAAATGGATGGGTGAATCTGAAAGATTAGTCAAAAATCTCTTTGCTATGGCAAGAGAAAACAAACCATCAATTATCTTTATTGATGAAGTCGACAGTTTAGCTGGTACGAGAGGTGATGGTGAATCAGAAGCAAGCAGAAGAATAAAGACTGAATTTCTCGTTCAAATGAACGGTGTTGGAAATGATGATAACGGAGTCCTAGTACTCGGTGCAACTAATATACCTTGGTCATTAGATGTTGCAATCAAGAGAAGATTTGAAAAAAGAATATACATACCCCTGCCTGAACCAGAAGCCAGAAAAGAAATGTTTAGACTGAATGTTGGCGAAACACCATGCAGGTTGACACAAAAAGATTACAGATTATTAGCTGAAAAAACTGATGGTTACTCTGGTTCTGATATCGCGATCGTTGTAAGAGATGCGCTCATGCAACCTGTTCGCAAGGTCCTCTCCGCTACGCACTTCAAAGAAATTTATGTAGATGGTGAAGATGGCACATCTAATAGAAAGCTCACGCCTTGTTCACCAGGTGATCCTCAAGCATTTGAGGGTAGCTGGTCAGGTATTGACTCAAATGAGTTACTCGAACCTGATTTAGCACTTAATGATTTTATCAAAGCCATCAATAGCACACGACCGACCGTTACGGATGAGGATATTCGCAGACATATGGAATTCACAAACGAAAGTGGAGAGTGAGTTGGTTTCTATTGAGCGTTCAATATTCGCTGATTTTATTCTGCGTAGACAGTAATATTGCGATTATACTCGAAATTAATGATGTTATTTAACGTTAAGCATAAAATTTTTGATTCTTTTGTACAATCTTGATTTTTTGCTAATGTTGATGTATGTTTCCGTCTTATGAACACAAAGCTTTCTATTTTATATCTTACAAAATGCGAAATATGAGTATATGCATTTTAAAGTAGTCTAGTATGGTTTTGTGTAGTATTATTGATTTGACTTCGTTATTCTTTGTACTTCGTTCTTCATTGGGCATCTCGGTCGTAAGGAAGTAAATAAGACAACAATTATAGCTCAAGCAGTTTAATGTAATTAGTTGTGCCTTCAAGTAACAGCATATTCTAAAGTAACCATTCAATTGAACTTGAAAAATCCCACTGTATACTTTAGATGATAAACGTCAATAAAGCAGTGGTTTTCTGACTCTATCGGCGTCTATTATACTCGAACAATCAATAATAATATTTTAACCTCTAGTCTGACATCTATTTTTGCTCGGAAGACGTTTCGATAAGAGTAAATTCATGATGACATTAAACCTGAATAGTCGAACATATTACCAGTAGCAAAGGAGTATTGGATATTTTAAACCTAGACTAATGTGTATTGTCTTTGAATACCGATTTGCTGACTTGGATTCAACAGTCCTACGTACGTTGGCGACGCTGGTGATGTTGAAAACGGAATATGTTGTTTATATGATACAAAGGAATTAATCGCATTCATAAACATATTTTATGTTGAGAATTTTTCTCAGCTTTTACGTTGATTCAAATGGAAGTCTTGATTGACAGATGTTATAAAGGTTGATTCTTTTTGTACGATTGATTGACGCGAACTTATGACTCATATTCTGTTTGACAAAACCAAACATCAGTTACTACTTGGGGCAACATTTAGACTTTTTCTTTTCTTCCTGAAAAATTTTCTTTCGGTTTTTTATACAATATACCACATGTATCAGAAACCAACTAACATCTCCTCCTATAGCTCAATTGGCAGAGCGCAAGACTGTAACGGCAGCTTGATATCTTGAGGTTCCTAGTTCGATTCTGGGTGGGAGGACATCTTTTTGTCTTTTTGGCGACTTTTATTTCCCTACATTTGAAATGGGAAAAAATCCATTTTTACCATATTTGATCAAGCATCTGAAATAGTCTTTGTATTTTATTGTACATATCATCTACTATCTCTTTAAACTTCTACTGTCATCATCGAATATGGTACGCTAACATTATAGGTCAAGATAGACATCACTAACGGTATATTTCAGGCAGTATGCCAGTATTTCTTACGTGGAGCGTAAGGTATAGTTTATTATACAAGATTTCTCGCTGAATTGGTGATTTAGATGTCGATTTGGTAGTAATTGCAAGAATCAACACCCGGGAGAACAAAGTGAATAGATTAGTTACAAAAAGAACTCATGTTAACGAAATCACAGCTGCTGGAAGTAGAACTGGAGGGTTCTCTGCCTTCTCTAATTCGTCATTTGCATCTGGTGATAACTTATCGACGCGCAAAAGGGAGACAGCATCAAGGTATGAAATAGCTATATGTTATTATAAACCAACTTACAATATAAAGTGCTGATTCAATAAGACATGATTTGGTTGACGAAAGACCAGTGTTTCCACTTTCCTGTTATGGTCCAGCGAAAGAAGAACCAAATCTGATAATAGAACAAGATGAATCACCTGAAGAATTGCGAATAAAATTCGTTCAAGCCAACGCATCTGGAAATCCACAACAATATGTTAGTTATCTTAACCAATATTTCATCATATTCACAGGAAAAACAGGTTCAATACGAAGAAACTCAAACAGCTAAATGTCTACAGATGTTCGAAAGTGTCGCTAGGAATAGTTTTGACGCATACAAACACGTGAACGGCAAACTGAAAGGCCAAATACCACCCAATACTGCTTTTAAACCTTCACAAACAACAACAACATCAGCATTTGGCCAGAGTCCACAACCTAGCCAGTCTGCTTTTGGTTCAACAGCATTTGGAAAGCCTTCTGGTAGCGCTTTCGGAGCACCAACCAGTGGATTTGGTGCGTTTGCAGCTTCATCACCATCTTCCAATGCGTTTGGAACGACATCTCAACCAAGTGCCTTCGGTAGTACGAGCCAGCCGAATGCTTTTGGACAATCGACAGGACCTACTACAGGTAGTGCTTTCGGACAACCAAGTGCCTTTGGAGCCACTGCTTCAAGTGCACCTTCTGGAGGATTTGGCGCATTTTCAGCATCTAAACCAGCCTTCGGTACACCCGCAGAACCTAAAAGTGCGTTTGGCGCAACATCGACCCCTAGTGCGTTTGGACAGACACCAGCACCAGCGACGAGTGCGTTTGGACAGACATCAGCACCAACAACTAGTGCATTTGGACAGACATCAACGCCTACGGCAAGCGCATTCGGACAAACCTCAACACCATCAAATAATGCATTTGGACAAAGTGCAGCACCAGCCACTAGTGCCTTTGGTCAAAGTTCAGCGCCAGCGAGCGCTTTTGGGCAGCCGAGTGCATTTGGCCAAGCTACCAATACCCCTAAATCTGCTTTTGGTAGTGCCCCAGCAGCCTCATCAGGCTTTGGAGCGTTTGGTGGTGGATCTACATCAGCATTTGGTCAGACAGCGCAACCTGCGCAGACAGCACAACCAAGCGGGAATGCTTTTGGTCAGAGTAGTACAACGTCTGTGAACGCATTTGGCACACAACCACAACCTGATGCTGCGAGCACTTTCGGACAGTCAACGTCTAGTGCATTTGGACAAAGTGCGTTTGGTAAACCTTCTGCACCAGCTTCAGCGCCTACAAGCGCCTTTGCGCAGGCACCATCATTTGGCACGTCAGCACCTGCTCAGTCGGCGTTTGGACAATCAGCCTTCGGTCAAGGAAGCAACGGATTTGGGGGTGCGTTCGGCGGGTCTACGAATCAGAAGCAGCCTTCAGATGTAGATCAATTTGCGCAATTTGCAGGAAGTTTGGAAGATATACCAGAACAATTCAAGAAGGCCTACGAGGACGATAACTTCGTATGGGGTGAAATACCTTCGCTTCCACCGCCGCTAGCATTAAGATAATATTAAAGATAAAATTGAGGATGTAACTTATGATGTATTAAATTATATTTCATTGCATAGAAATAACTTGATCACGCTAAACTGAACTCAATCTCGAACGACGAGGAGAAAGTAAAAATGTCGTCGAGTTGGCCACCTTCTTTACGGTCAGTCTAGCGTAGCTAATCTAATAAACCATCTGATAGAATACTAGAAACTTTGTAGAGAACGTCTTATCTCAAACTAACGAGAGTAACAAAGTGAAAGTCAATCTAGAGCTTAAAGATATGATACAGCGGTTCGTCGTATTCCTGTATCTTCCCGCTTCTAACACACCCCTAGAGCCTACGTTGAGGGTAGATTATGGACTACGAATTGGATGGTACAGCGGATACCGTCGTGAGTCTCTTATGGCATTTACCGGACTTCTCTAAAGTTTATAAGTCTCCATGGTACAAGTATACCGCCTCCAAGTTCGTCATACGCGAATGTAACCGGCCAAGGTATGCAGACATCACAGCAGACATCGACAGGCAAACGCAAGAAGTAAGCCTACTATAATGTTGAATCTCTTTTAACAACCATAAAGAAACAACCAAACGAACAAGAAGAACTTAGCAAAGAAAAACAAAGGATTTGCTGTCGACGATAACGAAGACATGCGTTCAAAGAGAGCTAAACGTTTTGAGAGCAATCCGGGCCTATCTTCATCCGCTTACCCTAACCCAGCTGGTATTAGTGTCCCCTTGAAAACGAACAAGTGGATAAACAAAGGTAATATCAACCAGCCTGACCCAAATGTCATAGACTGGGACCAATACACAATAGTCGGCCATTCAAACGCTTTAGAGAAGCAATATTTGAGACTAACCTCAGCACCTGATCCAGCAACTATACGACCATTGCCTGTTTTGAAGAAAACGCTTGATCACCTCAAAAAGAAATGGAGGCAAGATAGAGACTATAACTATATTTGCGATCAAATGAAATCCCTTAGACAAGATTTAACAGTTCAGCGTATCAAAAATGATTTCACCGTTCAAGTTTATGAGATACACGCTAGATTAGCACTAGAGAATGGTGATTTAGGTGAATTTAACCAATGTGCTGCTAATTTACAGCCTTTATATCGACTAAATTTGAACGGAAACGAATTAGAATTTTTGAGCTATCAAATACTATACCTTTGTTATAGCAGAAATTGGTCTGCTGCTAACATATTGGTTGGTTTACTATCTGATGAGAAGAAAGAAGCTGAAGAAATTAAACATGCTTTAAAGGTACGTTCATCACTTGTTACTAACAACTATCATATGTTTTTTAAATTATATCAAGATTCACCGAATATGTCTGGATATATCATAGACGCTTTCGTTGAAAGAGAGAGACTTAAAGCTTTGATTATGATCACTAAAGCTTATGTTAAGATACCACTATCGTTCATCACTAGAGAGCTAAAACTTGAAAATGAAACGGCGACCAAGGAATTACTTAAACAATTTGGTGCTACTGGATGTTATGATAAAAATGCCGTTGGCAGAACTCATAATGGCGTACCACCAGATAATGAAAAAGTTGTCCTTTGCAAGGAGATACATACTACCCTGTTGAGTCAAGTGAGTAGGTATGTTAAAGTTGACATCAAAGGTACAGTGAAATGAAAAGTTATCTGAATTATTTAAATAACACAATTTTAGGTCAAGTGTAGTGATTACATCAACTTTTTGCTTGAATATTACCAAATGTTTGAAATTCTCTCTCTTATTTTTTCTTTATCCTTGTATGAGTAAAGTGAAAAGGTATGCATTTTTCTTAAATGGACGTTTATGTTGTGTTTTATTTTTTTTTCTTACATGATGTATAATGTGAAACGCAAGGTAATGTTCTAAATGGCGTAGCCATAGGTTACTTCAGATACAATATATGAATTAAATGTAAACAAGAATAGCAGAAACAGAAAGGTAGTAATGTCATGTTGTAAATATCATAATTAATGATATGAAAACATTAATACAACCAAGTCTTATATCGAACAATGCCAGCATAGTCGGATGCTGAGGGCTAATGGAGTAAAAATCCGTTTTACTTGATAGATAACATATATAATATATTACTGCACGTGAATAATCAAATAAATATGCTTAAACGCGTTTGAAGCCGAAAACGATATTCTCACAATCAATTATATGCTAGAAATAATAGTTTCGTCGAAAATCATACTAATACAATCAACAGTTGTACTCGTCATATTTTTCCTGCAAAAAAATTAAAATTTTTACGACCCATGATAGTACAGATCAGATATACCATATGTATCAGAAACCAACTAACATCTCCTCCTATAGCTCAATTGGCAGAGCGCAAGACTGTAACGGCAGCTTGATATCTTGAGGTTCCTAGTTCGATTCTGGGTGGGAGGACATCTTTTTGTCTTTTTGGCGACTTTTATTTCCCTACATTTGAAATGGGAGAAAATCCAATTTTTCAAATGTTAAATTAAACTTTGTTATATTATACCATGAAACAAAAACTACATAGTATTCCTACATTCGATAGTCTCATTTCGATGGTTACTCATAAAACATTCATTACCCAATGTAGGTGCTAGATCAAAAAGTACGCAAATATGCTACAAATTAAATAATATAATATCAGCCTGATTCAATATCTTTCGGATTTTCTATGTTAAATTTTTCACCACTTTCATTTGATGTATAACCAGATCGCCCTCTCAAATTGTTTATAACTGATACAACCATCTGAATTCAACTAGATTTTTGGATCAGTTACACGCTCACTTATTCAAGAAAATAACATAAACCTTTCGTACGCCCAGCCAGATTGTCAGTTACACGACGCCAATTTGATGACTTTTATACAGTTGCGACCATCATGTCTGCGAGAGAAATATCGTCTTTAGGGATGTCATTTAGGAGGTGGTCATTCTCTGGAAATGATGATAGTGATTCAAGTGATAAAATCACAACTGATAGTTGAGCTTTTTATAACAGTTAATGTATTACTAACAAGAAACCACAGGCCAACTCTCACCAACGTCTACTATGCGATTTAGCTATTCAACTGATAGTCGCTTCCGTAATAGCTCGCTCGATGGCACTGTCGAAACTTCACTTCAGAGCGAGGCTGAAATATTCCAATCTAGATTTTTGAGGGTTGAAAATCTCTCTTGCGATCTTTCTATTGAGAACGTTCAAGCTTTGTTCGGCGTGCGTTGATTTATCTGTACCTATGTATTCCGCTGAACATCAATAGGAATATACGAATTTGAAGGCTATCAATATATCCAATTTACACAGCGATCAGCTTGTAAGTAAATCAGATAGTTTTTGGTAGAAATACAAATACTTTTATTAGGTTATACTCGCGTTTTATACGTACTCTGATTCACACGAAGCACTAGTTGACCTGCACGAGTCAAATTTCAGCGCACGATTCTGTACAGAAACTGAGATAAAGGAGGTGAGTTATAATCTCAATCTAGTTTGGCTCGTCTCATATTACTAAGACTACCGATGCTAAACGTTACATCAATGCAGCAACATCCGGCAAACTGTCCGTTCGCCTTCACAAAGAGGCTCAAAGGCCTGTACTTGTGAGCGCATTTCTTTGAGCATATCTTCTCTAATCGCTTAAGGATTTGCTTGAGACAATCGGTAAAGTTGCCAAATATCAACAGATCCTTCTACCAAATGATCAAGTTGTAGGTAATATCATCAAGATTTGTTCTCAATTAATTGTATTAAGCTACTTCAAATTGAATATGATGATACACGCCATGCTATAGAGGCCGACAAAGCATTGGGTCAGTCGCGCTACGACGTCGAAAAGACTTGGAACCATTCGGTGCTTGAAGCAGCCTTAGCTCGTAACAAAGGTGTGCGATTCAAAGAGCACAAATTACAGCCGTTCAGTAGAGGTAAATCTATGCTGAATGTACAAACTTATCCTCCGATTGTTGATGTAAGTAGGTAGTTGATATAAGTTTCGTCCTAATTTCTTCAAGTCGCGTCCAGTTTCGAGTGCAGCAAACTTACTGCAATCGACAACGACATTACAGTCATCAAATGAGCCGACAAAGAAGCATTCAAATCAGAAAGGCACCATTCCAGAACGTAATAAGATCGATCTCGATCGTATTGAGCGTGGCGAAGATACACGTACAACAGTAATGATCAAGGTTTGAAGAAGTGATTTCCTTGAGTGGTTCTAACATAAGATAGAATATACCAAATCGACTTACGACTGAGCAACTTGAGAAGTATATATCAGATATAGTCCCACGATCATTTGATTTTCTCTACTTGCGTATGGACTTCAAGTCACGTTCAAATGTTGGATACGCGTTTGTGAAGTAGGTGAAACATCTAGCTTTGTATTACTGACTTTGGTCAGTTTCTTGACAGTTGATGCTCTATATGAATTCGCTTCACTCCGTATCAACTATAAGTGGTTAGTGTCTCGTATTTGCTTGAAACCCAATTAAAAATGAGTAATAGGGATGTCTACCACAGCGAAAAGAGGATGGGTATGACATACGCGAATGTTCAAGGCAAGGAAGCCTTAACTGCAAAATTTAGAAACAGCGCGGTTATGGAAGAAGAGCCAGGTTTCAGACCAATCGTGTATTATTCTTCTGGTGCTAATGTAGGACTTCGTGAAGAATTTCCAAGTGAGTTAGAAACATCAATATAATGTTATATACTGAGAACATTTCAGCACCAAACAATGAACGCAGACTTGCACGTTCACGCGTAAATGCTCAATCATATGGTTTGTACAACTTGCAAGCTTACTAACAGCTTTTCGAATAAGTATACCAATTTCATATTCTTCTTGGGCATAATTTTTTTATATTGCGATTTTTATATCAACATCAACCTAAACACGCAAGCAAGCATCATCGAAATATTTATTCACTGAAATTATTATGCATTGTATACTTCTTAAAATGTAAGCATTATATATGGTAAAGAAGTTGTCATATATACAGGAAAAGTTGAACAAGTGTAAAATAAAGGCAAACTTTTGTCTAGTAGAGGGTATTCTGCCGATTAGACAAATCAACTAATCAAGAATTTACCGTTTGTGCTATTCTTAATAGTTGAATAAACGTTTTCAAGGTTATCAAATTCAATGTCAACGTTTGAAGTCAAAGCACCGTCAATAGTCCACTTAATTTGAGCAGGTTGTTGTTGTTGTTGGGATTGAGTTTCACCATCGATAATGAATCTAGCTAAAATCTTATCGGAAGGTTGCTCAAGACTTATATCATTCAAAACCCAGGTGATTTTCTTACGCTCTGGTGAGTAAACACCTTGTGGTTTTGATTGCACATTCTTTGCATTTATTGGTATTGTGAATTGAACATCTTTAAGTATATCATTCTTTTTAATGAGTCTCGATTCCTGATTGAGATTATAATTGACAATCGCTGAATGTGTAGTAGGCTCGTATCTCCATTTCATTGTTGAAATCAAAGGAACGTATTCTTTGAACTTGCTTGTTGAAATATATAATTGATATTTCAAAACTAAAGCCTTATTATTAGGTGCTTTTTGTAAGTTATCCAAATCAATATAGTATTCTCCATGTTTTTCTTCAACTTGACGCAAATATTGTGGATTTGGTGCCACTTTTTCTAATTCTTCGAAAGCATTTAATCTAATAACAGGTGGGCTACTTGGCAATATTGATGATGGCTTATAAAGTAAGCTTACTTCACCAGTTATCATAACTTTCAAAATTTCACCAGATTTAATCAAGACGTTAACACTTTCCGTTATAGCTGGTTTGACACCCTCAACGAAATGATCAGTACCTTCGAAAGGATCGACTATATTACGCTGTTGAATTGAAGGAGTGAGTGAAGGAGTCTGTGAAGTCATACTTAAAGTCCTTTCATTAGGTGGTGTCTCAACTGTATCGAATGATTTCTTGGTGTTCAATTGTGTTGATGGTGCGCCTGTCGTTGCGAATGGATTGTTAGATTTTTGTTTCAATGCCTCACTTAATGGCATATCATCTGGGACGTCATTAACAAACATCGTCTGTCTGACATCTCTCCTACCGCGAAGAGCAGTAGGACGACGCTGTATAGGAGCAGCAGCTATGAGCGATTGCCTAACCTTCGACATTGCAGCTTCATCCTCCTCTTCATTTCCAGTAGCTACTGGTGATAGACCTCTTTCACTACCAGTGGCTGGGAACGTCTGTGCTTCCATTGATTGTTGTGGTGGTTGCATTTGTGATGGCAATTGTTGTTGTAATTGTTGTGGCTGCTGCATTTGCTGTACTGGTGGGGCTTGTTGATTACCAGGCTGAAGGGAAGCAGGTATGCCAATGGCTGGCAATGGACCTGGTGCTTCAGTTGCTTCAACAGCTTCTTGCGCTTCTGGCTCACGAGTGTCCATCAAATCCTCATTAACAGGATCCAACTGTGTCGCACTCTGTGCAGCTGGATGATTCAATGCACTGAGGTCTCCCATCGTTGATGATGGTCTGAAGTTGTCGCTAATAGCAGGAACAGGTGGTGCATTGTCATTATCAGGTGTTGCAATGTAACTTTCGCGTGAAGGGTTTGACTTTGATCTGTGACGGTTGAAGAACGTATTAGCGATTGATGATCTCACGCCAGTTGCATTATCGCGGAGTGTGGATGTAGACCTATTGTGTGCTGGTCTTGGTGGTTCAGCAGCTTGTGAGATACCTGTTGGTGTTCCATTTACACCTGTTATACCCAACAAAGCTGAAACTTGGGTGAGGTAATCGTTCAAATCACCCTCAGTTGACCAATTTAAGATGTCGGCAAGGTTATTTTCATTAAGGGTCTGCTTAGATTGGTTTGTTTCGGATTGGATCGTCTCCCATTTGACGAAAATACTTTTCAATTCTTGAAGACGGTTAGAATCTGCTATCTGATATGACGTGAAGTATGAAGGTGCCATCGTGATGAAGTTCTGTTGTGCATTTGCATAGGTCTGCTGAGCTTGCGATAATTTCGCATTAGCCGCGTCTGCTTTCTTTCCGCCTGTGCTGTCTACCTTTCTTTGAGCCTGATAGCAAATTAGACCCCATAAACAGTCTGAAAGTAAACCACTTACTTTGTTCACATTCTTCTGATTCTCATCGACTGACTTAATAAGTCTGTTCATGTCGCTATCTGATTGTGGTAAACTACCCCACTCCCCAGACTGGGAGGACATCCTAAGCGGTTTCTCAATCTGCTCACTTATTTTCTTGGCTAATTTCTCGTGTAAAACTGAGACCTGGAATAATTCATCCTGTAAGTCATCCCAGACTGCACCTAACCCAGTTCTATTTAATAGCTGCACATCAGATATGAATGGCTTAGATCGCGTTATTTTATTAAGCGAAGCTGCATATTGCATCTCTACGCTAGCTCTAGCTTGAAAGAAATTTGCCATTTCCTCTTGTAAAATAGCCGCTTTCTTTAGTCTAGTTTGGAGTGCGGATACTGAATCGCCTGGTCTGGCATTCTACGAGTGTATGTTATTAAAATTATGTATCTATGAATCTAATATACACTCACTATAAGCGCATCCGCGTAAGCTGTACGCGGTAATTCTGACGACATCACCTGTAGATGATCGTTTAACTGAATCAAGAGTGCATAAAAATATCATACAATTTTCATTTATTTTTTTAATTAATATGGCTTATAGTTGCTTTGATGACGTTGCTGGCTTCTCTGTGGTCCTGCTGTTGTCTTTGGGGTGTTCACGTTGTGTCGTGGTACCTGACCCAGTCCGGGTTGGAGCGGTCCACCGTAGCTTCCATAAGCAGACTCGTCCTCACCTCCTTCTGCGCCAGTTGGTTGTTGCTGTTGCATCATTTGCATCATTGGATTCATCATTCCACCCATACCACCCATGCCGCCCTATAAGTTGTTAGAAAGAAAAGCGTGATTATACCATTAACTAACCATCATCATTGGATTCATCATACCCATCTAAAAGCCAAAAGTCAGCTAAACCCTTTAAATAGTACCGAGAACTTACACCACCGAAAGCATTCCATCCCATTCTTTGATACATCGCGGCCATAGCTTGTGGATTGAATGGATTATTCGTTGGTCCACCAAACATAGAAGTCTGAAATCCTTTTTCTTGTGTACCACTACGTTCGTTCCTCGTTTGAACGCGCTTAACTTCAACTGATTTACCTTCCAAATCGAATCTACCCTCCTTAACAGCATCCTCGGCTTGCTGTTCAGTTTCAAAAGTCAAAAATCCGAAACCTCTCGATCTACCTGTTTCTTTATCATACATTAAGTTGGCATCTGTGACTTGACCGAAAACGCTCTCAAAGTTTTCAACTACTTGCTCGACAGGCATAGTTAAAGGTATACCGCCAACGAAAATTTTCTTATGCTTAAAATTTTCATGTCTATACATGTTCCTCTTTGGATCAATTAATTTACCATCTAGCCAATGGTCTCTAATCATAACGTCTTGTACGCTTTGCAAATTATCGAAAGTGAGGAAACCAAAACCTCTAGATCTGTTAGTGTTAGGATCTCTCATTATATTCAATTGTACGACGTTTCCAAATTTACTGAAATAATTCCTCAACGAATCTTCGTCCGTATCCCAATTCAAACCACCGATGAATATCTTACGTTGTGCTTCATCCTGATCTAAGGGTTCCTCGCTCGCGGAATGGGTTGCTATTGGCTGTTGTTGTTGCTGCTGTGGCTCAGATGATGGTTGAGTGTTTACTTGGTATGGGTCTACGCTATTCGTAAGTTTCTATTCACTATCAAGCTAGTTTGTCTAACCTTGATATCTAAACAACGTAAGCGTTTTTTATACAATGATAGAATATCTACTAACAAATCATCCATTATATTACTCTACAAAAATATATTTTCTAGTAAATGGTCGTTTTAGTCAAAAGGGTCGATAGCCTGCAGATTAGGAAGGTGACTAAGCGAATAATTTTCTACCCGTGGTATTTTATTATCATTGCTATTTAAGATATAACGCGAAACGTATACTCCTCTGTTGTCATTCTGCTAGGGTTACCTAATATAAAATTTACCGCGTGCAGTCCTTCACTCTTGATCAACTTCGACCAACATCGAAATTGTTGCAGCAGATGGATAGACTGTAGGATGCATACGCTACTAGCTATACAGTCTAGCCATCTGTTGCTTGTACCCTACTTTATGTGAGTTTTTTATTCGCAGCCAGAGTTAGCTATGAAGACAAAATTATTCACACTGATTGAAGTGCTCGATTTAAACTTGTCGAGTGCTAGTGAGAACTATACAACGGTAACTGAGCTTTCTCTGGTTGCAACTCCAATCAACATTATTCTAACAAATTTTATAGAGAATAGTTAGTAATCTCAACACTATCCTTTTTTGTTCTTTCATCGATGATGTTTCATTCAAATACTTTCTGCTTATTCTGTGAACATTGTGTCATGATATCATTCATTCTAGCATACAAGACTTAACGTTAATGCTAATGTATTCCTTACATGCAAAAACTCGTAATTCATTTAAACCATCACTTCTTATTCTTTTTGTTTTTTTGATTACCTTGTGATGACTTTGATCTGTTGTCTTCTTTCACACCACCTTCTTTCTTTTCTGCAAGAATGGTCTCGACACGCTTTATGTCTTCTTGTATCTTCTCTGAAAGTGAATAATATGTTTTGAGCTCATCAGCCAAGTTCTTGAAGGACTTGTCGAAAGACTTCTCAAGTGTCTTAGAATTATCAGGTAACCTTGATTTCAAAGCATTGAAAGAGTGTTTGGAAATGACGTATTCTTCCCCTTCGGTTGCTGGGTCAAAGGCATCGCCCTCACCATCGAAAGGAATACGCGTATCGATGAGACTTTTCCAGAATTTAGTTTTGGTAAAATGATCATTAGCTTCCAGTGTAGCAATAATCGATAATGGTATAAAGAACAAAATGCTTAAGGTCCATCTGTTGATTTTCCTGTATGTCTTCTTATTGACAAAATATTCAAGTGGTGCGATAAAGAGACCTTCAATCAAATTGAATGGCGCAATATAGACGTACTGATCTGGTGTTCTAATCATTGATATAGTTTTACCGGCAAAGAAGGCCATGAATTCATTAACTGCATCGTCTGTAACACCTTCGTAACTGCTCGCATAGAGCGCGACGAGTACGTTCATAAGTATTAAGATAGTGACCACATTCCAGACGTAGAAAATAATTTCACCAAATGGCTGTCCAAACCTTTGATGATGTGACAAAGTGTCGAAATCAGCATCACCGAAGAGACTTCTAAGGAGCATCTTGCATATGCTCGTGAAACTGCCTTGTTCACCATCAGCAGCGTCAAGGGCAAATAATGCTTGAGCGTGTCCTTAGATATTGTCAGCAATGGATATAAGTCAAGAGAAAGTAAAACAAACCTGCAAAAAATACAGTCAAAAGAAGGAAAAATATGAAACTTTCTCTTATCATTCTAATGACGACCAGTTCCATAGTACCAATCCAGAGGAAGCCATCAAAAATTGGCAAGAGCTTTATCCAAATTAAAGGTGAAGTCAATGAGAGGAATTCAAAACTGAGCATATGTAAATTCTCACTTGAAGTGTCATTCAAACTAAATATACCAGCAATTCTCAATGTAAATGCGATAGTGAGCAAGAGATAAGTGACAGTATTGATGATTGTCCAAAAAGAGAAGACACTTGACATCCCCTGGTTACGAACGCTTTTGAAGACTTTGTTAGCCTCTTCAAGGAGGAAGCTGATTGACATGCCATACAGAAGGACCTCCCAAAAGTCGAATGTCTTCTCCGGATTGAGCTGTTCAGTTGGAGATTGAACAGAAAGTGAATAGATTGCTAGAAATCCTAGCCATATGACAATACGCAGGTAGTTCTGATATTTTGGAACGCCAATACGAGAAGGATCGAAGTGAGAAAGAAGGGAGTGTCCAGCGCCTTTGCTGTACGGTAAATATTCGATCTGCTCTTTGTCTGCATGTACCTGTATCCAACTACCACTCCAAAGGGATGTAATAGCTGTTTGAGCCTCATCTGAGGACAGGAAGAATGTCGCATGGAGATCTATAGCGAGTTCCAAAACGCTTGATGGTGTGCTATTATCACCATCTGATTCCACATATGAGAAACGCTTAGACAGTAACTTTGGTAAACGCTCTGCATCTACGCGTCTGACAACATAACGCGCGAGTGCTTCACATGCTACGCTTCTACATATATGTTCGTCATAATCTGATTGGTCTTCTAGTGCCTCGCTTTTGAAATGTTCTAAATAACGTCAGATCATTAGTTAAGAAGTAGAAATACAAACCTTTAAGTTTTAGGAGACAAAATGGAACAGCATCACGGCAATCACCGCCGGCGTCTACAAATACAGATACTGTATCTGGTGAAATAACTTGATTCTTGACTTCCGGGAGTTTGAGCTGCTCAATGTCAACTTCGTCAGGGATGAGCTCCATAATGAGTGCTTTCAGACGCTGTATGAGCTTCAGAGTCGTCTTTGGAGATGGATTGCATATCTCCACGTTGAGGAGACCCCCGCCCTGTTCGCTATCAAGGATTGGATGAACGGTACTCTGAGGTGCCTTACTATGTAGTAGTTTATTCAGCTTCTACAAAATGTCAGTTGGTGTCCAATTTTATACTTTGATTTACTTTTGACATCGACGTAAGAAGATAAGCATTAATGATGTATTATTAAATAGTACAAATAAATAAAACGTGCACTTTGCACTAAACTATAGAACCTTTTTTATTGTAATAAACAGCTGTTTTCTAATACTTCCGATTGAACTCAACATCATGCATTGAGGGTGGTGTACCGCCTGCATCTGACAAGCAAGGGCTACTGAACCACTTATCCCGTATCACACCATTATAAAACGTCAAAGCCATCAGAATGAGCCAGATGATGACCAAAGTTATGAGCAGAATGACGCTAACGACCTTCATGCCTGTCACATTCATTTCTTTGCCTAATTCCTGGGCGGACAGGGCGAGTGTCCCGATCGGGAAGCTACTAACGTCAGCTGATATGCATTCCTAGAAGCTTTTCCAACTCACGTGCATCCCCATAACGATAAATTGATAGGTATTCGCTTTGAGATCATAGTGTCGAAGAAGGAAATGATGGCCAGCGCCAACCAGAGACATCCGAATCCCCATATGATAAGTGCGAACGGTATACTAGCTGTTTGCAATGCAGATGCTGCAAATTTAGCTAATTCTGGATCCTCGACTGATGTAAATGGTACTAAACCGCGTTCATTAGCTATATCAGTGAGATTCCGAGCTAATTTCAGTATTGCATATGCCGATTGACCGCAGGGACCAATTGGAATAAACGTTGAACTTATCACCGCCGCTGGTGGAATCTTGAAGAGCATCAATCTTGATGTGTAGTTCGCTAAAACAATAAGCGACATCGGTACACCCATACCGAGCAATATGTAGCATATAGTTATTGTAACGATGGCTTGGTTTTCTGGCAAGACAGTAGCAACTGCTGCACCTGTAGATGCACAGACAATCGTGCTGACGGTTGGTAAGAGTGCAGTGGCAAAAATTTGACTATTTTCGAGAGTTTGCCTGCTCATTTGTATAAAGGGAATACCAATGCAAGTGATAATACTCATTGCAACATTTATATACCAAAAAACGTAAGAAAGAAGAGCAAAATTATATCCGTATCTTGGAACCAGAAAATCAACAATACAGACGATAATCGTACTGAAACCCATAGTGAGCGTAGCTAGGAATACATTGACTGGATTTACTAGCATTAAGGGTAGCATTGAGGGCCAGATTGCGTACCTAGCGATTGTCATAAGAAGTAGTACAACAAACAAGACCACGTTTATCCCGAATACGACGCCAGAGATCGTCTGCAAGCCATTAAACTGATATGGACAATTGAATAGTAGTATAGACAGTATACCAGTTCCCATAGTCATAGCGAACCACACTGGTGTTATATTGACTACACGCTTACGGAGGCCTTTCTTTAAATCATATATTACATTGCTCATTATTTCTCTACTAGCTTCTAGTCATAAAATAAACTACCCGTGATCGTTGAAACGAAAAAATAGTAAAAATGATGTCATCAACTTTAGGCTTGAATGATTTTTAGTCTAAAACGGTCATGATATCACGCGCATTCAAGTTAAATCGACGTAGTTTAGTGAGAAATTACGGCGCAGCAGCTACGCCGTTCCGCACGCACTTTGGAGGAGAAGCCACACCAACGACGTCGACGTTTTATGATAAAGCTAGCTCAACATGGACATACGTATTACATTGTAAAGATACGCGGAAAGCTGCCGTAATTGATCCCGTGCTTGATTTTGATATCAGCAGTGGGAAAGTGACTACAGAGAGTGCTGACGCCTTGTTAGCGTTCCTGCATGAAAACCAGCTTTCTGTTGAACATATACTCGAAACTCACGCCCATGCCGACCATCTCACTTCTGCAAAATACCTTCAAAAGCACCTACATGCGCCGATCAGCATTGGTCAACGTATTCGCGAAGTCCAGGCTACATTTGGACCGCGTTATGGTCTTAAGCCTGATTCATTCGTTGGGAGTTTCGATAGGTTGCTACAGGATGATGAGATAGTTTCTTTGGGCAACCTCAAGGGAAAGGTTATGCATCTCCCTGGTCATACACCCGATCACGTCGGCTATGTGTTTGGAAAAAGTGTCTACACGGGTGATTCTGTATTCCTCGCACCTGTTTTCACTGCTAGAGCTGATTTTCCAGGCGGTGTAGCTTCCTCTCTCGCGACATCCATCGAGAAGTTGCTCAGTCTTCCGCATGATTACAAGCTTTTCGTTGGTCATGACTATCCCGGAGCTGAGCGTGAACAGAGCTGCTGGACGACGGTTGGTGATCAACTAACACTCAACGACCACCTAAAACAGGAAGACTTCGCGAAATTCCGTGAAGAACGTGACAAGACATTGAATACACCTAAATTGCTACATCCTGCGATACAAGTTAACATACGTGGTGGGAGACTTCCTCCATCTGACGAAGATGGAATAAGCAGACTGAAATTACCAATAACGACAAATGTAGACCTATAAATTGTACAAATAAATTAACTCTATACCTTTTCCTAGTCATCAAATGTGATCTTCGTAGGTGCAGGCGCATTTTCAATAGCTTTCGCTTGGGCTTTCTTGGCCGCCCAAGAAGGATGCAAAGGTCCCTCATCCTCTGCTTTAGTAGGCTTCTGAGGTGGTTTGTTGTTACGTGGCGGAGGTCTCCCACTTCCACTTTTACCATCTTGTTTAGCGTTTTTATCGAATTTCTTGAAGTCCCTTTTAAAGTCTTTCCTTTCAGCCTCCTTATATCCCCCAGATTGCTGCTGTTGGCGACCTTTCCACCCGGAATCCAGCTTGTTCTTCCCGAATTTCTTTGCTCTCTCGAGCTGCTTCTGCTCTTCGAACTTCTTTTGTATGTGATTTGCACCTCTACCATACTTCTTCTCGAGAATTCTAAGATTTCGTTAGCTGTTGTCGCCATATAGAAATAATCACGTACGCTCTACGTGCCCTTTGACCCATCCTGTTTTTCCTTGGTGCGACTTTTTCTTCCGCATCACTAATATCGTCGTCACTACCTGAAATGTATCCCACACCAGCATTGAGGGAGTCAAGAATGGTATTACCCCCTTCATCCTCATCGTCGCTCTCTTCTTCCTCTTCTTCATTGCTCTCGTCCACCTCTTCTTCCGGTTCGGGCCAGTCCTTGAGTGCATCTTCTTCATTGGATGCTTCTCCACTAGTGTAACCTGATAGAGGAGCTGATATGTCACTACCAGCATCTGACTGTGCATCATTATCTTCGTCTTCATCATCTCTGACTACACCACCAAGCGCACCAGTGAGTTTTGCAATAAGCGCGCTACTGTCTATTGTTGGAGTTGCCTTTTGCTCTCTAGGAGCTGGCTTATCAGATGTGGTGTTAGATTCGAGCTTGTCATCAACCTCATCATCCTCTGCCGATTCTTTAGAATCTTCTAACTGTTCAGATTGTTTCTGCTTCTCTGCAGCACTATCGCCTAATATTGAGGATACAGAGTCAACGCCAGCTTTAGCTACTTTGCTGACTTGCTCTATGGACATGAATCGCGCTGCTAACTTACCCTCAGGTGCGTTGCTTGCCTGTGCGATATTCGGGAAATCAAAGTTGAGATTCTTGAGCGCTAAAATGACTTCCTCTCGTGTTTTGTAAGCACCGCTGGAATGCTTGGATAATTTCGAGAAGAAGGTGTGCTGAGCTGCGATCAAACCATCATAATCTTTTGTTTCATTCAACTGATTCTGCGTTTCTTCGAGCTGTACTCTATCAATTTCTTCACCTTTAGCTGATTTCTTTCTATGTATCGTTAGTTAAATATCATATGCGCCTATATACTCACTCAGCCTGCGTGATCTTCTTCTGAAGACGTTGACGCTCAGAGGTTTTAGCATCTTTAGTCGCTCTCCTGAGATCTACATTTAGGATATGATGCTAGTGACGTTTAGTATGCGTATAATCTTATATACGCACTCACAAGCTTCTTTTGCAATTTCTCCGTCCTCGTTTCGAAAGTTTCCTCTGGTTTTTCGACCTTTTGTTTCTTGGATTTTGCATTCTCAGACTTAGTATCGTCAGCTACACTGTATATTTTAATCGCTGTCCTTACTGTAGCTTTGCGTTTACCGGCACCGCTCATCGTTCTTATCAACAAGTGAGAAGACAGCAAAATTCAACGAAATTGGACAGAAATGTTAAAGTACATTACAAAGTTGTGTAGTATTTGTTTGTTTGATCTATAGGCTTATCAAATACTTTAACAGCACCTTTGTTCGTATCGTTTCAATGTGCGTCATTTTAAAGCGTAAAGAATAAATTCATTACAAGTTATACAAAGAAGCGTGGGTAAGTAGCTAGGGTATCGTCTTACCATGTGTCGCAAGTTCACTGCTTACTTGCCATGACCATCCAAAAATTTCTTGAAGAAGTCGATTCCGCCTTTATTCATAAATGTCTGGAGGTTATTCCACGATTTCGTCATTTTGGCATCTGCGTCTGTATGCATTATTCCTTCGTACTTCTCTATTGCTACAATCTGGTTGTCCTTATGTTTGATAAGCATTTGAGCCAACATGTGAGCTTGCGCAAGAGCAACATTAACCCCAAGACCCGCAAATGGTGTCATAAGACTAAATGCATCACCTATCAATGATACACTTTCCTTTGATTCCCATCTCATACCTGGTGGAAGCATATACATCGCTCTTTGTTTGATGTCATCATCGAATGAACGAACAATTTGCTTTAAGCTGTCCGACCAACTGTATATCTCCTGTAAGAGATAGGCGCGCTGTTTTTCTCCATCTTCTTCATCCAAACCATTCTCATTTATCCAGTTCTCATGGTAAGCTTTGTAGAAGTATACTTTGTAGCTACCATCGCCGGTTCTCTGAGTAACAAGACACCCTTCGGTTTCTCCCATCGCGAATGTTGAACCTTGTCCAAACAGTTTCGCGATGTCAGCGTGTTTTGGATTTGTGGTGCGTATGTTACCTTCGAATCCAGAGATACCTGAATAGAAAGGCCTAATTGTAGACAGAACTGGTCTAACTTTTGACCAAGCACCATCGGCACCAACAATAAGGTCAAATTTGCGTGATTTCCCATCAGCAAAGTAAACATTTCTTTCGTCAACCTTTACAACTTTCGCACCCCACTTTACGGTACTTTCTGGAAGAGCTTGATAAAGGAAGTTCCTGATTGCAATCCTGTCTACTTCTGGACGACCAGTATCTTGATCCTTTATTTCTATGTGCTTCGTTGCGTGTTTGTCCATTATGACGGTATCTTCATCGTCATATCTCGCGTGTTTCTGAAATTCCTGGTAAACACCAGCTGCTTTGAGTGCATCCTGGCCATCTTCATGGAGGTCTAAAGTTCCACCTTGACTCCTTTCATTTATGTGACTGTCTTTCTCGTAAACTTGTACCTCAAAGTCGCTGTCTTGCTTTAAAATGTTAGCCAGACATAATCCAGCTGGACCTGCACCGATGATTGCAATTGTACGTGTCATTTTGATGAATGTTCGAAATGAAGTGCGTAAATCGGCCTATGGATATAAATACCAAACACCGCTCGGAATTAATCGCAGCTGTGTAAGCGTCATATTAGGTAATTTAGATAAGTTGGTAATACAATTATATATTCTTATCGTCCATGCTAGCTGCTTGACATTTCTCTTCATAACTTTCATCATACAATGGACGAAGAATACGATGTGAGGGGAATACCTCACTACTTACGCACCTAACATATGCAGGTTGTTGTGCTCGGTACTGGCTTAACCGAGTGTATCCTCTCTGGACTGCTCTCTGTCGACGGTCAGAAAGTATTACACATAGACAGGTGCGTAGACTTCAGTGCATATCTAGAACATTCCTAAGATACTCACAGAAACGATTACTATGGTGGTGAATCCGCTTCACTTAATCTCACACAGGTAAGTTGGTGTTCGGACTCACGTCAGCGTTGACGCAATCCACGTGCAGCTCTACAAGAAATTTAAAGACGCAGAGCCACCAGCAGAGCTTGGTAGAGACAGAGATTATGCCATAGATCTTATTCCAAAGGTAGGTGGTGCTTTGATTAGCTAAACTACCTCTAATCATTCTATACAGTTCATTATTGCTTCCGGAGAATTAACCAAGATATTGGTACACACTGATGTCACTAGATACCTCGAGTTTAAGCAAATCGCAGGTTCTTACGTCTTGCGTGACAGAACTGTCTCAAAAGTACCTTCCACAGAATCAGAGGCCGTGCGCTCCTCTCTAATGGGATTGTTTGAGAAGAGACGCGCTAGAAACTTCTTCCTCTTTATCCAAAATTACCGTGATGAAGACCCATCAACCCACAACGGTCTCAACCTTGATAGTGACACAATGCAGGCCGTTTACAACAAGTATGGTCTCGAGGCGGGTACACAAGACTTCATAGGACATGCTATGGCACTCTACTTGGACGATTCATACAAGCAAAAGCCTGCGCGTGAAACCTACGAGCGTATTTTGCTTTACACCGCTTCAATGGCAAGATACGGCAAGTCACCATACATCTACCCACTCTACGGTCTGGGTGAATTACCACAGGCGTTTGCACGTTTATCTGCTATCTATGGTGGTACTTACATGCTTGACAAACCAATTGACGAGATCGTCGTCGACAACGACGGTAAAGTTACAGGCGTCAGATCAGGCGACGAAACAGTCAAGGCTAAGAAGGTAATTGGTGATGCATCCTACTTCATGGACGTCAAAGGTGAGAGTCGCGTTAAGGAGACCGGGAAAGTCGTAAGAGCTATCTGCTTGCTTAAACATCCAATACCAAACACCGACAACAGTGATTCGGCTCAATTAATCATCCCACAAAACCAGGTTGGCAGAAAGAATGACATCTACATTGCTGGTGTTTCTTCTTCGCACAATGTCTGCGCCAAGGACATTTATATCGCTATCGTATCAACAGTCGTCGAGACATCAGCACCAGAAGCTGAACTTTTACCTGCTTATAAGCTTTTAGGACAGATTTACGATAAATTCGTATCAGTTAATCCAATTTATGAGCCAACAAGTGATGGTAAGGATGACAACATCTTTATCTCACGCTCATTCGACGCAACTTCTCACTTTGAGACTGTTGTAGAGGACGTTAAGGACATCTGGAAGAGAGTCACAGAAAAGGACCTCGTCCTTGAGAAGAAGACCGAACCAGAAATAAATGAGAACAACTGAAGTAACTGAAACAACGGAAATTTTTTCTTGTAAATCAAATTTATGCATTTCATTCATAAAAATTATTGGTTGTTTGGTACAAAAGGTTCAGATTTTGGGTCTAATGGTTCTTGTTCGTGGTCTGGTTTTACGATAGGTATGGCCGTGGAAGTTGAAGGTGGGGGTTGAAAGTCCTCCCTGTTTGGTACGCTGAACTCTTCTGGATTTGGAACGTTAAAAGGAATAGAGGAACTAATGAGTGTCTGCAAGGACTGCTGCTTGTGTAAAGGGGGTAAACCGAACTGAGACTCGAGGTTGTATTGTGGGAGACTCTCTGATGGTCTTCTCGCATGGTTTGCAGCAGGTGGTGGCTGGGCTACGGGTCCGCCTGCCAATCCAATTCCTATGGCCCCAGTCGATGATTGATGGGAGTGTTGATGTGCGTGACTGACGGACTGACGACGTGGCTGGTGACGTGAATAAACCTGGTGTATAATCTGTTGACTGTCTTCCTTATCGTATGGCTTTATTTTGAAGTCCGTGTCTTTCGTCAATGTCGCTGGTGGGTGAGCGATCATATGGAGGTACGCCCGTTTAGCTGTAAGGATACTATTAGAAGCATTCAATTATCCGATCTCTACTCACCATTCACAGCGTCTGTAAATATCACCAACGCAGTTGTATCGTCGACCCACTTAATACGTACATCTTCCCACTTTGCAAAACATCCTTGTATATCCTTCGTCTTTAACTCTGAGGGAAATCCCTGCAGTTCGAGCACTCTAGTAACTGAAGCATTGAATGGTGATAAGGCCGTGCTCATTGCTGATGATCAAGGTGTATATACCAAATTTGGAGTATTCTTTGCTCTAATATTTACTAACATTTAATAAGAGATGTTTGTTATTCATTATATGGCGTACTTCTCGGGGCTTGCTTACAACACTCAACGTCGACGTTATGGAAAGTGATCCACTGGGACAGAATAGACCGTTCAGACATCAGATAGATTCGTTAGTATACATTCAACTATCTGTACAGCTTTCTGACAGTCAAACAGTGACGAGGAAGATGAGGATATGCATGGTGTATATCTTGGTCAGCAGTCAAGAAAGCCTGAGAGCTTTGATATAACTGTACAGTTTAAGCATGCTATAGAGGCTTCTGTACATTACAAACCACTTATCGTCGCTATTGGAGAAGTTGGACGTAATCTCATCAACAGAATGTCACTTGAAGAGGTATCAAACGAATTGGTAGCTGACAAACAAATCGTATGTATATATAACACGTAATCTCCATCTAATTATGCATAGATCGCACTTCTCTTATCGCTCAGCGAGAATGATGCAAATGTACTCTATATCCCCTCACAACCGGTTTTAGAATTGACACAACAAGTGAGTAGAACAATACTCGATGCGTTAAAGCCATCCACCGTCGTCATAATTGACGGATACCCAAACACGACAATATATTTGCCTGAATCAGACAGTGAGAACCCTCCTCTTCTCCAACTGGCGAACGTCAACGAGGAGAAAGTCACAAACGTTGGTATCCTGCCAGCACCAAACATCGTCGAAGGACTCTCAGCTGCGTTACTCTCGAGTGGACTCTTCACCGAGAAAGTTACCACAATAGTTGGCTTTCTTCTACCTACACTGGCACCATACACACCCGTTGTCAGTCAGCGTCTAGTAAACAGTCTCACAATTACCGCGAGATCGAAGAGCGAAGACCTTGACGATTTCATAGAAGGTGAGACACTATTCAACCAACTCTCTGAGAGCATACAACAGAAGATGAGCGTTAGATTCAACAAAGTCGTACAAAGCAAGATCGATTTAGTCTATCCATTTAGAAGGAGGAGGAATGTGGACAATTTAATGTACCTTTAATACTTTTTAGCTCCTTTCTCGATGCTTTGGCGTGAAAATGTTCGACAATGGCAGCTGACGATGCATACTTTGACTTAATTCAACGTATTCCTCTATATCCGGTGTGATTATTCCGTGTCTCATGAAGAACTCTATCATGACGAGTGCGCAGTTCGGTTTAAATTGGCGAGAGAGTAAAGCATCTTTTATTTCAGCAACATCCATGAGCTTGAAACTTTCGACTTCACCGTCGTTGGGTTTTGGTATGACATCATCTGGTAATTGCAGGTCGAATATGTACTGTATTTCTGGTTGAGCAAAGATGTCGTTCTTCTGATAAAAATAGGTGACAACACCTGTACTTTTGATGCCATTGTTAATCGTATCTGCTGGTAAATTGGCTTCTTCTTCGCATTCTTTGATTACTGTGTGTATGACACTATCTCCGAAGGCGATCCCGCCTGCTACGGTATTATCCAACATTCCTGGGTATGTTTGTTTGTTGTATGAGCGTCTAGGTATCCAAATCTTGTAGTTATCAGTGTAGGCTGTAAGGTGTATGCCATAAGTCGGTATTCCGAGTATCCCTGCAGCTGCCCTCTCAAGTCTAAACAGTAGGATGTTATCTGAACTGTAAACACCGTATTCTTCGTTTCGCCAGCCTTTTAATTCGTTCCTGATTTCTCTAGGGGTTTCTGCGTTATCTCTAAGCATTTCGAAATACTTCCTTATGAGCATCGTATCCTCTTCTACATTACTATGAGTGTAAACAACAGCCTCATCTGTGATGGTAAATGGGCGAGTGTTCAACAACTGTTTGAACTGATCGTTAACATATCCGATCACACTATCGTTGTGTAACAAAGGTAGAAACCCCTGTATATCAAAATTATTGAGATCTCTAACTAAATCTATCATTTCAGACTTGGTAGTTGACTCCCAAGGTGTAGATGGAGTTATTCACGAAACTAAGGGATGATAGCCTCACCTTAGAGTCTAAATTATCACTGATTAAATCGAATAAAAGCTTCGTACCAAATCTCAACGAATTGCTAGTCGATTTCCTTCTCAATCAAATCAGCACTCACAGCCAAAATGGAGAGATATGGGAGATGCTTAGAAATAGACTACAACACAATACAATGAACGCTAATATTGTCAGACTTATTAAAAAATCAGCACTTTTGCAGTTTATTGACGTTGTTTATAAAGAGAAGACAGAAGATCTCCTTGAGGATGTACGGGTCGTGTTAGATTTAACGATTGGACATTATAATAGAGATTCAGTACTAGATTCTTATAGTATATTCCTTAGTAACCTATCTTACGAGCCAATTGACAACATCTACGTCAAATTCATCAGATCGAATAAGTTCAATAAGAAGGTATTGTCAAATTTCCTTCTCAATAACCTTCAGCATGTCATACACAACTATGCTTTTGCTTCGCATCTCGTCAACCAGACAGACACAGTCAAAGCTCTCATAGATAAGCCATACGTAGACGATTTCTTGATTTATTACTTGACAAACAATTACAACAAAGAATTACTTGAACATTTCATTCGTAATACCCAAAATGATGCACTTCTGAGCAGACTTCTCGAACTTGGACAGTCGAAATCAACAGCACTCAATGAGGAACTCCTGCAATATCTCATCGATATGTCAATCAACGGACAATCCACAAAGATACTTAGGGCTTTATGGCAGATTGAACCTGACCACATGTTCAAATATCTCGACAAATCCGCCCACATGGGTCTTGGCGATGCGGACCTACTCAAGACTGTTATTAATGTCTACTCAGATGTCAGAGCGCTGCCTTCATTGACTGAATCATTAGTTGATGCTATTGCTAGCACGAAGATGTCACTCGATGTAGATCTCTGTCATGTAGTTGTGCATGCCTACCAGCACTACGTGACATCAGACCAGGTAGAGTCCCTCGTGAAGTCATTTTCTGATACTCTCACTGAGGAATACACGCAAGAGAAACCAACCAAAAAGCGTAAATCTGAAACCAAAGTAGATGTTCAAAAAGATTCCTCGAAATTTACATCAATTGCGCTTCTAGCTGAATTGTTTTTCATGGCTTTACCGAAATTGTTAACTACAGTAACTAGCACTGATGGTGAAAGGATTCGGGAGCGTTTGCAAAAACTCTCCGACGATATATCGCCTAACTTTAACCTTGACGGAAAGGAATTACATGCAGTGAGGCTGTCTCGCTGTCTTAGCGTTAACCAACTTAGCGCATTGCCGCCATTTGGCGATAAATTGGCCCAAGCACTCAACCAGTCTTTTGAAGCCAACGAAAGCAAACTGGCGGCAGAATACACCCAGCTAGGGTTATTTAATATGAGTCGTTCGCAAGTTGACGATGAAGCAGCCAAAAAATTCCTTAATGCAGCCATCCCAATCGCAATGAAAAGCTCTCATACGAGCGATGCAGTTCTTGTCTCGCTGTCACGCTATCTCTATGTAATTGAGTGGGTTTAGAATGGATCCTTGGTTTTATCTGACAACCCAATAGACACTATGCTCGTGATGCGCAGTTAGACAGCTACCTGGATATCATCTGCTTGTCGGGCGAGAGCAACAACACGAAGGATTTGGTGTCAAGCAAAACACTCGCCTCGGCTCTATTCTGGGAGCTTGGTCGTTTCAGAACGAGACTCTTGGAGAGGCTCGAAAAAACACTCAAGAGTGATAATCATGAGGAGAGTTCCAAAGCCCTCACTCTCCTTCTTCGTTTCCCTCGAGGCTCATACATATCAAAATTCCTGCGCAACCTTGCAATAGATACTGCCATGAAGTTGGAGGGATCCGGCACAGTGGCATTACTCACGCTGAGGAAGGTTCTCCTTAGTTTATTAGCTGAGAATACAACTGCTTCTTCGAAGGTGAGCAGTTTAACCGGCTCGTTGGTTTATCTGACGAGATATACAGACCGAAGAATTTGCAATACACCTCGCAACAAGCGAGTCCTGGGATACTTTCCAAGGTGCTGAAAAGAAGGAACTTGATTCTGTCACCATGCAGTTATTGAACGTTTTGACCAGGTAAGTAGTGTTTTCATCTTAAAGCATTAAATTAAACCTGCTAAAAGACCAATTATCAAGTCTGATCCTGCACATCTATTCAAAAAGTTATCCAAGAAACAAGAGAAGGGAACCCTAAAGATGATGCCAGCAAGCTGCATTTTAGATGTTTATATTTCCAACCATAAGAAGGATACAGAGGAAAATACCGAAAGCGACAGCGAGAAATATGTCGACAGATTATCTCAAGCGATATTGTCAATGCTTACCACCAAACTCGCAAAACCACGTAAAATCACAGTTGCTAATCTCCGCGCGCTAGTTGCTTGCATCCGCATAACAAATTCAGCGACGAGCATCGATGTCGCAAAAACTGTAACACTCACGCGTGTACATTCCAAGCAAGACGATGCGGAACTTGATGCAGTGGCCACTGTTTTACACTTCTTCACTGCTGCACTCTCAAAGAAGAGCTCTCAACTCGATGTCGCCCTCGCTGCTTGGTGTATATACCACGAGAGAGCTTCCGCACAGGACAAACAGACGATTGAAAAGAGCTTGGCGGATGCAATGAATGTTGTTCCCTGTGTTGAGGAAGTCGCTGAAGTTGTCTGGCCGAGCCTTCACGCACACATTCGTGAACCATCTGCTCCATTATCTGCAGTCTTTGCTGGTTTGAGGATTATAATCAGGACAAGTAAAGATGGTGAGTATATGTTAGTTGGAAAGCTTAATAACCTGACAAATTATTCAGGTCGCTACATTCGCAAGCGTTTATCGGGATTGTTGATTGATGTCTCCAATGCAGCTGCGGCATTCAAGCATCTTCCTCCCACTATAGGAAGCATCGTTGGTATATTAGAAGCAGTTGTCCTTGAAAGAGTGAGTTGTTGTTAATTGATTGCCCAGTCTAATATAACCGCTCAAGGCTATACTCTTGCAATCCACGGATGTTGGATCCATCTTAATGGCTTTGACGAATGTAGTCAGCCCAGCAGATACATCTACTGATACTACAACTCAAGAGGATTCTCAATGGATATACGAAAGGATCTGCTCGACATTGCTTCACTTGATTAGATTACGGAGGGATATCTGCACTGGCCATGCACCATCTCTTGCCCTATTGATGAGCACATTGATGAGACTGCTCTTACAACTACGTCCATCTTTAGGTATGGGAGCATGGCGTTCGCATAACAGCATTATGCCTTCCTGGATAAATGCTGAAATTCCACCAGATAGTCTGTCTCGTCTGCTTGAGGCACTCCTCGCAAAAACGATTCCAATCACTTCACACGAAAAAACTCAAGTTGGCGTTGCATCTAGTATGAAAGAAGCATTTGCTAGACACGCTTACATTATTTTACACACTTACGCGCAAGGTAACACATCCTCTGCGTCATTCTATCCCGCAAACATTCGTGTCGGCTTACAACCTGGTTTATTCGCACTTTGCGAATGCGTCGATACGCATCGCGAGCGCGAATTCATGCTTAGTGGACTCACAGATGAAGGTGCACGAAGCGTTATCAAGACACTCTGGAAAGAGTATGATAGCCAGAAGTATGTCGGTATGTCATAGAAGAATTCTTTTTTTGTCCTTTTTTGTAATTTATTATTAAATGCATTATCGACCTTCTTTATTAATACTCGTATAATGACATCGATTGGATTCGACGAACCAGAGCTCATTTCAAGGGCTTTCCAAGGTGGGTGTGGTGATGTATAATGGCTTATTCTCTTACCAATATATGAGCACTCCAACGCTCTTATTCTCCTTACAGTAAGTTCAGAGTTGGTGCAGCTTTAGTATCTACAGAGAATGAGATATTTGGGGGCGCAAATGTTGAAAATGCATCGTAAGTATAATCAATGGAACATCGACTACACCTGATAACACGTTATAGCTACGGTGGTGCTATCTGCGCTGAACGTACTGCACTCGTGAAAGCTGTCGTGGGTATTTTCTAGATATTGGCATGAAATCTAAAACAATTAGTCCGAAGGGCATAAACGCTTCCAAGCGCTAGCTGTCGTGTCTGATCTTGACGAGCCTATTACGCCTTGTGGAATTTGTGAGTGGTGAATTTGAAATTCTGTAGTACTCAACAAAATATCAGGCAGACAGTTCATCAGGTGGGTTTGCACTCATGTTATTCTTCGCGCGTAACACTCCCAAGGGAGTTTTTCTCACCTGAGACACCTATATTGCTAGTTTCACAGGCTCATCCAGCAAACAACGCCTCAGAGACATCCTACAAAGGACCACTGATAAAAAGAACAAACATTAGTGTGCTGCTTCCGTAGGTGAAAAATCTTCGCCTTTGTTACGAACTACAAACTAAGAAACTCCCAGGGACAGCTTTGGACCTGAGCAACTAGATAGATAAAAACGTTATTTTGTATGATTACAGTAAATTAGTCAATAGAGAAAATCCATCAATATGCTCTTCTATGCGGTTGCCATCTCCTTCTTCATCTCAGCAATAGCCTTGGCTGGATTCAAACCCTTTGGACAGGTACGTGTGCAGTTGAAAATAGTGTGACATCTGTATAAACTGAAAGTGTTCTCGAGTTTTTCCTTACGTTCAGCTGCCTTTGAGTCTCTAGAATCAGCGATCCATCTGTATGCTTGCATGAGTACTGCTGGACCGAGGTATTCGTCTTGGTTCCACCAGTAAGATGGACAGGAAGTGGAGCAACAAGCGCAGAGGATACATTCGTACATACCGTCAAGCTTCTTTCTCTCTTCAGGTGATTGACGGTGTTCGACGCCATCTGGGACGTTGTCTGATTGCAAGTATGGCTCAATGGACTTGTATTGCTTGTAGAATTGTGTCATATCTGGAACTAAATCTTTGACAATGTACACTAAAGAGAATTAGCCGAGGGTTACCGATTCAGGCTATACGTACTGTGTGGAAGTGGGTAAATCTTGCTAGCTTTGTTCTCATTTCTGTCTATTCTACAAAGACAAGCGAGTGTATTCTGACCTTCGATGTTCATTGCACATGACCCACAGATACCCTCTCTACAGGACCTTCTGAAGGTGAGCGTAGGGTCGGCTTCATTCTTAATTTTACTGTAGCTTTATTAGTATAAGAGAACAGAGAGTAGGACGACTGACAGTAAGGCGTCGAGTACCATTGGTCCACAAGCGTTGAGGTCAACATCGTAGGTTTGCATGCGTGGCTTCTCAGCAGGCTTGTCTGGGTTCTAATAGCATGTTAGCGGAGCTCCCATAACGGAAGAAAGGACGAACCCATCTGTAAATCTGGAACTTCTTCATGTGTGGTGGCTTAGCACCAACTGGGGTTGCTAATGCACGTCTAGTTGAAGTAGAAAAGGACCTCATAGCACCATTTACTGGTAATGCACTTTTTCCTAAGTTCAACATTTTGATAATGATGGTCGAGTTGAAGCGAGATTTCGACAAATCAGATTGCATAAGTTTGATGTACCCGATTTGAAGCGAAATAAATAAATAACTAAATAAAATAATAGCATAGTCGTTACAGTCCATTTTAATACCAATTATAATGAAATATGTATATTTAAACTTTGTACAATCACTCAGCCTCTGTGTATTCATTAGCCTGGTAATGAAATTGTCAGCTATCTCTAATGAATAAAGCTCGTCTACCCACCTTGTTCTCCTCAAGACCACTCAATTCCTCCTTAAGACCATCTCTGTCCTAATGTAAGAAGACAGCAGTCGACTGGCTAATAGGTACTCACCTTGGATAATCTCTTGGTGCTACATTACGCTCTGGTACTAATCCGCTAGCTACATATCCAAATGCAGCGAATGCTAAAGCGGTGTATAAAATGCTCTTTGCGGATTCTGCGTATGAATATTGGTGTACATCTGGTGCGTGAATACCGAGTACATCTTCATCCTCGTGTAACTGTGTGTATATGAGTATTATAACTCATAGAACGAGGGATGTCAAACCCACAGTATCACCAAAGTTAGCTCTACCTTGTTGATCCCAATATTTATTAAATGGACTCCTCTCTATCGCCTTTTGTGGTACAAATTGTGGGTATCCACCTAATTGAGGGTCAACTTCGTCTCCGGTGGTTGCAGAGCTTGGTCTAGTAGCGTATGTTCTAACGGATAAAGATTTTGAAATATTTTTCAAGTTACGTCTTGCTACTAGATTTATCATTTTTCACTTCAATTAACCAACAAGAGCTGACGGTCAGTTCAACAGCCGTCGTCGTATCAAAATGTAAGAAAATTGAACTAAATTTATAATAAAATACCTAATATACATCTAATAGGGACGCTATACAACCAGGTGCAGCTGTATACACACAAGATGAAGTACGCCTATCTCAGAATCTTCTCGAACAGCTCTAACAACTTTATAGCATGGAAACCCATTCATTATCGTAAGAGAGCAAGATAAAAAGACTCGTACTAGAGGTGTTGATGCTATTAAAGTGTGTTTTCCTCTCCTATTTATCCATATCACTCACGCGAAGACACCATCAGTCACATATCTTAGCTGCACGCACAGTAGCCAACATTATCAAAACCTCCCTTGGACCTAGAGGTTTAGATAAGATTATGATCAGCCCAGATGGTGATATTACTGTCACAAACGACGGTGCTACTATTCTCAGTTTAATGGAAGTTGACAACCAGGTCGCTAAACTTATGGTCAGCTTATCAAAATCACAGGATGATGAAGTTGGTGATGGTACAACCGGTGTAGTAGTTCTCGCAGGTGCTATGCTTGACCAGGCTATCGGTTTACTCGACAGAGGTATTCACCCAATCAGAATCGCTGATGGTTTCGACAGAGCTTGCAAGATTGCTGTCAGCGAACTTGATAAAATTTCTGACTCTGTTGAGTTCACTCAGGATGGAAAGGGCGTTGGTACTGCCGCTCTCTATAAGGCTGCTTCCACTTCATTAGGTTCAAAAATGTCAGTAATTATCTTGTCAATTGAGCTATCTAATACAACTATAGTGTTTCTGCTCACTCAAAATTCGCTCAGATCGCTGTTGACTCTGTTCTTTCTGTCGCTGACCTCGAACGTCGCGATGTTGACTTTGAATTGATAAAGGTTGATGGAAAAGTTGGTGGTTCACTTGAAGAAACTTCTTTAGTTCAAGGTGTTGTCGTTGATAAGGATATGTCACACCCACAAATGCCTAGATCAGTTAAAGACGCTAAAATTGCAATCTTAACTTGTCCATTCGAACCACCACGTCCAAAGACAAAGCACAAGTTAGACATTGGTTCAGTTGAAGAGTACAAAAAGTTAGAAGCTTATGAAAAAGACAAGTTCGCTGATATGATCAAGAAAGTTAAAGACTCTGGTGCAAATTTGGTTATCTGTCAATGGGGTTTCGATGATGAAGCTAACCATTTGTTGATGCAAAATGATTTACCTGCAGTACGTTGGGTCGGTGGTCCAGAAATCGAACTCATCGCTATCGCTACTAACGGACGTATCGTACCAAGATTTGAAGACCTTTCAGCTGATAAATTAGGACACGCCGGTATTGTCAGAGAAGTTGGATTCGGTACAACAAGAGACAGAATGCTTGTTATTGAAGAATGTGCAAACTCAAGAGCTGTCACTGTCTTTGTTAGAGGTTCAAACAAGATGATCATTGATGAAGCCAAGCGTGCACTCCACGATGCAATCTGTGTTGTACGTAACTTGATCGTTGACAACAGAGTTGTCTACGGTGGTGGTGCAGCTGAAATTGCATCCTCAATAGCGGTAACTAAGGCAGCAGATGAGACTCCATCGATTGAACAATACGCTATGAGAGCATTCTCACAAGCACTTGATGCAATCCCATTAGCATTAGCAGAGAACTCCGGTTTGTCACCAATTGAAACCCTCTCAGATGTCAAATCACAACAAGTTAATGACAAGAATCCAAACCTTGGTATCGATTGTATGGGTAGAGGAAGTTATGATATGAAAGCACAAAACGTACACGATCCGCTTGTTTCTAAGAGACAACAATACCTTTTGGCAACTCAGCTCGTTCGCGCTATACTCAAGATTGATGGTGAGTATGATAGTATAGATAACAGGATAGCCAACTAACGAATACTGTAGACGTTATTACAGCAGGTGGAGATATGTAATTTAAAGATGCATTTATTATTCCCAGTTTTGATTTTTTATTCGTCAAATTGTTTTAACTTGTGCGCCAAAATGCGACCTTCAAGAACAACAGCAGGGACACAGCGAGTGTTTTAATTCAAGTTTTGATTTTATTCTTGATCCTTTACCCTCATCATGGAAAGAACAACTAAGTCGAAAATTTTGACATCTCTGAATACTATCGCTGATTTAACGCCATACAATCACAAGAGAGATATAAGACGTAGCAAGGAAGTTAATATGAGTATACATGACCCTCGTTATTGTGCGTATTTCTCGTCATCTCCCCCATCTCGCTCATTCCGAACTTTCTTTCACACGCAGCTCCAGCAGTTCCTACATCTCCTACGCCTATACAGGAGTCACAAGGTGCGTCGTTCACTTAGGATTTAGATAAATCTCCCAACATATTCACCATCTCTTAGAAACCCTAGCAAGATCACGTCGTTCGAATGCGATCTCTGTCGCTTCACTCATTAATGGACCGATAGAAGATGACAAAGAAAACATCTCGGTAGAGCAACGAAAGTGCTTCTCACATGATATTTCTAGATTACGTTTGCAATTCCACCAGCAGGCGCTCGACCCATTACGAGATATTCATGAGCAAGCTACACCAAGCAGTACAGAATTTTCGACCTCGTTGATAATGCCAACAACATTGCTTTTCTGCTCGAATTGCTCTGAGCCACTCGCTAATCTCGGCGTCGTATTCGAGCCATGCAATCACACTTGCTGTTCTCTTTGTCTAATCAACAGTCTCACGCTTAACAAAGAAAGATGCGGCTCCTGTAAAGCTTCGATATATAGCTTTAAATCAGTCAATGCTTTCATTACTTCACCTACATTCCCGGAACGTGGTGATGGCGACTTTTTCAATAAATCTACTGTACCCCGTGACAGAAGCTCGCTTACAGCTATCTGGAGCTCAGAAAATGCGACACGTAGAGCGCCATCTATTAGCTCTACTCTGGTTTCCCCTCCACCAGTTATATCTTCTGCTCCTCCTGCACCTGAAATTGGCAAACTTACATTCAGCCATGACTGGCCAGTACTTAAATTGGAAAACGTACCTTGGGTGGGTTATCATTACATCTGACTGCTTTTAATATCCCAAATAGGACAGTACGCCTTTAATCGTTGAGCGCTGGTTACCGAAGGATGCTTTACCACACTGGAGTGTAAACAGCCACGCCATACATGTTGTCCTTGACAGGTAGGTTTACTTCCTATTATTGATTATAATCAACATGTTTAAAGAAACAATGGCAAAGCGTCAAGCGATCTCTACGTCGAAGTAGTTTCTACGAAGATAAGGGATGATATTATGCGTACAAAGCAGCACTCTGTGCTTGAATCAAGGGGCAGATCGCGTTATGTTAACATTCTAGCTTCTTCTCAGGATGAGCTTTTTAGAGCAGTGAGTATGGTTGGTTGTCTTAACATAGAAATAACTAAAACACGCAGATTTTCCCGAGCTGGTGCAATGACAACGGCGACTACTGTGGGTGTTATCACTCTATAATAGCTTTCCTAATCATCAACAAAGCCAAGCTCATTTCTGATCATGAGTTGGGCACACTCATTGATCTCTGCGAGCGCGTTGGGAAGAAGGCTATCCAGCATATGCCTCCAAAGGTTAAAGAATTGAAGTCATATTACTTACATTGACATTCTCCAAGATGCATTTCTGCAAGGAACAGCAGAATCCATTCAACATGCTCATGTCAATCGTTAGCAAGATGCCATGGTCTTCGATTCCAAGAGACAAGCGCAAGAACCTATATCGCCGTTACCAGAATGCTTTAAATGGTGAGGATCGAGTTCTTATGATCATGTCTAACAATTGATACAGACTGTGTAAAGAGTTGGTATAGCGCTATCAAGACCAATGTAGCCCGCTGAAGTGTTTACAGAATCGATAGAGATTATTCTACTCCACATCGAAGCGAATGAAGAGAGTATCGATGTCCAGTTATTGATCCGATTGGTGAGATCCCCTATGTCTAGATGAGCTTTTTTGACACTATCTAAGCTTACAGTAGCTTTCGCATGTCCAGGTAGGGATATCTTATTCCTTTTCATTTTCCAGTTTCATACCCAAATAGCATTCAATGACGAGCAGAAAGATGTCTTCCTTTTGATGTCTAAACTGGATGTAAACGCGCTACCATCCGCTTCAATTAGGCACTCTTATGCGCCAAAATTAGGTCTAGGACTAGGCGCTTTATCTGGTGATGGCTGGATTGAACAGGAAAAGGATCAACCAGAAGAATATGGCCAATTAAACAAATACATTGGGGCGAGAGGTGTCCAATCAGTTAGAAACAACAAATCATTATCACGATTTGGGAAGAATGATTACAAGTCGCATATAATTAGGCCAACTTTACTTCCACCCACACCAGATCAATCTCCAGACTTTGACCTGAATGCTTTTGGTAAGTGACTAACAATGCTGAGTATTGGCTAATCAGATGATAATAAAGAATACATGAAGCGCTAACTATGTATAGTAAGCGCTTAAAGGCTACTTGCTTCAAAGGAACATCCTTGATTACGTACTTATATAGCTTGATAGGTTGCATTATTCATATTTTATTGAAGCAGATTTTAGCAAATTGTATAAAAGAACAAACATGTATCGTATAAATCGTCGAATTTTTTAAACTTAACAATTTCGTTATCGTTAAAGAGTAAGTTGCAAGCGAGCGAGTTGGTTTGTCAATTCATCGATAATCTAGGAAAGGATAATGTCACAAGATCCACTAGCTGTGAGTTTTTTTAAACGTTTAATATAATATTCATTTTAATAAAATAAAGGATTCATTCAACAGTGCGTTCAAGCCACAACAAGTTAAGAAATCTACAGTAGTTGAATCAAACCCAAGTTTAGAAACTTCAAATAATTTCGAAGCTTTAAAGGAAGAAATACCAAAATCAGCTGAGGAAGTTGAACAATCGAAAGCAACAGCTGATGAGCTCGAGAAGAGAAAAGCAGAGGCATTAGAGAGAGTTGAAGAGACTAGACAGCTTGATATGAAGCATCATAGAGAGAGGGATGAGCAAACCGATGCACGTATCAAGGATGAGGATTTACCTGAAATGTTAAAGTCATCAGTTGAGGATACTCTATTATATCACGAGAATTACGCGAAAGAACGGGAAACAAACAGCAGAAAAGAGCAACAATTAATCGCTAAGCAAGTTGCAGACGCTGAAAAGAAGAGAAAGCATGAAGCACCAATATTCTCATCAATTGACGTTGAAACTAAACGCTTCAAGAGTGAATCAGGTGAAGAAGTTGAATCTTCCGCTGTTTTAGTAGAAAAAGACACATCAAACTCAGAATTTGAGTTGGTGCAATCTGACTGGATTGAAGATAAAAAGCAAGTCAACAAATTCCAAGATAACGCGAACGATTCACCTACATTGGCACTCTTTAAGAGAACTTCCGTTAGAGCTGTATTGGCAGCTGTAGCAGTTAACCTTCTCATTCCATTCGTTAATGGTATCGCACTCGGATTTGGTGAAATTTTCGGTAGAGAAGTCCTAGTAGGATACTTTGGTTTCGGTAGAAGATGGTGGACTCGTCTTGATAGCAGATCTTCTTTGGGTTCTGCAGGTGCAGGATTACGATAGATCTGGGTATATATAAGCTATATTATAGCATATTATAAGGTATTTTATAAGTACAATATGCATATCTCTTTATTAAAAGCTTTCTTTTTTGTCTACATTATTTATATGTCCATCATAACACGACTAGATGGAGCTCAAATCAGAGTCATGCCTTGAGCGCTAGAGTGAGAAAACATGGTGAACCGCCTAATAGAGTCCTTAGTGTCGACAATCACTGCAGGAACTGTAGTCGAACTCACAAATGCGGTCGTTGGAGATCGGATAGAGAATTGTTTCGCAATCATCAGATTAATTGTTAGCATGGTGTACCTGAGCATATTACTGGCTTCAGTTTCTAAATAGTGCATTCTTGTCTGTTCGCTGAAATCTTCTGGAAAACCATAAAAAGAAGGTTTATCCTGGACTGGTGGGTAATTTGATGTTTCACTTAAGGCCGATGTAATCAATGAAATACCAGGGATTCACATCATCATATGATTTCACTCATAATATGATCAGATTAAGAACGCCCGTAAGGTATATAGAGACCTTGAGGTCATTCCAAGAGGTCTTCTGTATACCTTACCTATACACAGGTACGGGAATGACAACTTCTATCTTGAAACCCCACACGACGATTACAAGAACGTTGGAGGAAGTATCAACATGGTGTCCTAGTTACGTTTGTTCGTATCGTTGTAGGAGCGGGGCTCGCTGAGCTCTACTGTGAATCGGTTTAAGGAGTGTGATTAGGATTAAATCGGCATTCACAGTGCCCTATTTCATTTATGCCGGTCAAAAAAGAGAGTCACTACTTCTCTGTTGATTTATAATGACGTAATTAGATCAGGTATAGATGAACCTGTTTGCTAATCTACTTCAGAGAAAGCTTACCGCACTGTGTCTATCATACAAAATTACATCCCGACGGGCGAAGAATTAAGGTAGTAATGATATCAATCTTAATAAGTTAGGCCATTTTAGAAAATTTTTGTTAGTAGCGACTCTACTTGGGTTAGTAGCCCTAGGCTACTACCTCTATGTTGCCACTATAATGACTACATTTGGACCACTTATATGTGGAATCGGTCTTTCGTGTACATTAAACACATGTGTATATGATCGTAAGCGTTCGGAACGTATGTTTAATGCAATTATTACTATTATAGGGTTTTCTCTTGGTACATTGGGTGATATAGTTAAAGAAACTGGCTACTTCAGAAGGGATAATGAAAAACACATTCAGCGAAATTGACGAGAATTTAGCCTTACAAACGGCAGTAACACTTATTATCACGATCGCATTGAATTATACCAGGTCGCATTTGATGAACAAATAATTAAATAACCCATTGTTAAACAAATGTTAGAAAAGTATTATACCGACATAGATGTAGCATTTCACTTAAGTACATACGATAGCAATAGTAAGTATGCAGGATGCATAGCCGATGAACATCATACCGAACTAGATAATCACACGATAAAGCACATTTTAGCAAAGTGATTCACAATAAACAAAGAGAGAGAGGATGGAGAAACAGGTACGAGAAATAGCCTCTTATTTAGCATATAATTACACATTATGCCTTACTATGCGAGACAATACGCTAGAAACTACCAGCATTTGTCCATCACCAAATCCTGACAAAGCTGACAATTACCAAAATATACAGTGTGATTCATGGAGAAGACAAAATGATAATAAATTCTCACTTTATAGATGGTGCTTCCTTGCTCAAATGCTACTTAAACGTTATTAAGAAGTATTCCATGATAGATTATGAAGTATTGTTTGAATCAAACATAAGAAAAAGTAATAGCACTCGATTGAATTACATATACTTTCACAACTTATTAAGCAATTCATATGTATCAGCTACAAATTATGCGCGTCTAACTTCATCCCTCTTGAGTAATTCCTCCTTAGCTCTGTAATAATCCCAACCTTCTTGAAGACCTTTCCTAATTATTTCTTGTTGTGTAGGTGGACAATGGCCATTTGGTGGTGGCGGGTCCAAATCTAGATTAGTTGGGAGTGAATAACCTTGTCCTACAACATTAACGAGTGTATTAAGTGAATCTGTGAAACCAATTTCTTTATATTTACGCGAGAGGTCATTCCAGACACTCAAAGCTACTGTTGTTCTATCAACTGTTTCCATTGGTTTTCCAAATGGACTTGAAATTTGCAGAAGATTGGCTGACCGCTTGATGCCGGTGCTACCTGAAGTTACATTCGCACCTGCTGCATGGTGCAGACCTGGATTAAAGAAGAGTGAATCGCCTTTCGACATTGGTATAGCAATAGCGTTAGCCTTGAAGTAATCGATAAGCTCCGGGTTGCGGTAGTGTATATATCCTGATTCGTACTTTTGACTGAATGGTAAAAGCAACGTTGGTCCACTCTCCAAAGGCCTATGTGTGTTAGAGAAAAGATGGGAACACGGCCCACTCACATGTCTGAATGTGCGACTGCACCCTGCAGAGTGAGAAGCTGGGTAGCCATCTGCGTCACTGCTGGGAAGCGCGTAGTCTGCTCACTGCTTTGGAAACCAAGGTGGAAATCCCTATGGGGCTCTTGAGCTGCACCTCTACTATGACGTTAGAAGAGTTATCAAAAATTAGCAGAGACATACGATGGGAGAACAACATTGAGCTGATAACCAAAAATCAGCATATGCTTTCATATTAATTAACTTGACATACCTGTGAAGTAAGTGCGTATCCTGGACCAAGCCACGATTCACAAATCAGATTCCTAAGGTACCTTTAGGATAAGTACTCAGCAGTCGATAAATCAACCCACAAGATAGGATTATCATAGTAATCAGCAAAGCTAGCTGGGTCCTGAACAGCGTGTTTCTGGAAATAATTCCAAATTCTATCATTCTTTCCACCTGCTGCAAAATGATCACCTCTATTGGCATATTTAATCTTCTCAGCTTCTATGATAGCTTCAGCAGCACTGTGGGCTCTATCAACAACGTCGTGATCATCGACCAGGTTCTTCACAACAAATACACCTGGACCAGATTGGAGAATATTGTGCCATTCTTCCATGATACCATCTGCATCCTTCAATGAAATATCATTCTTGTGGTATATTGGCACCTGCTTGATAATCTCCCGTGCTCGTGGAACTTCATTTTTGGTAATACGTGAAGTTGAGCAAATTTCACCTAATTCGAGCGGATTGAACTTTGAAAACAAACGTGTCATCTTATTTGATGGTTTAGAGTCAAAGAATTCACACTTTTTATAGGAATCATAATGGTCTGCGAGTTTACCGGAAATAAGCCTGACCCGTACTGACGTTAGAAGTGATTAATCAGCAGCTTTATCTAAGATCATGTGTTCTTAAGTTAGTAGCAAATCATAGTCTTTATATTTTCGTTATACAGAACTAAGTGTATAGGTAAAAGTGAAGAGGAAACACACAGCACTTTGTTGATGAAATGCATCATTGTCATGTATCATTAGATGATTTATCAATGCATTTTACATTTCCCTTTCCCTAAGTTTCCCGGCTGATCAATCTTTTGTACTGACATCATTATGCTACGAAGATATAAAACTTTATTGTTTTAATATTACTACGTTAATGGCTTATTTAGTTGGCTTCGTATACGTTACACCATATATAGCATCTATATGCAGATTTGACACTTTCCTGTAAATAATTCTCCCGATCCAGATTTTATCTAGAAAAGACTGTACTGATGAAAAAGTCTAGCGGTCTCGTACTGTAAATTTTGGCTTATTTATGACATAAACTGCTTATGTTATATTATTGACATTTTAGTAAAGACTATTAGTAGTATGACAAAAGCAGGAATAAATTATTCAACAACCTTAAACTTGAACAACGATCATAGAAAATAAATCAAATAAGCTCTAAAGCTTAATGAATACACCAGATAATAAAGTGGGCCTGGGTAGCTCATCCGTCGCTTCGGAGAAGAAATCTGATAACAGTACTATGAAGTTTATAGCTGAATGGGCTGCTGTACTCATTTGTGTATCTAGTATGCTCTTCACACAAGTCGGTATTGGTGCTTATTTGGTTATTACTAAAGATTTTATCGCTGAAACATTCAACATCGCTCAAGATGCAGGTGAGCAATCATGGTGGGTAATTAGTGATTAGGTCATACCCTATTGACTAGTGTAAGGATTATTGCAGCCCATTCCCTCACCGTTGGTACTTTCGTCTTACCAGCCGGTCGTCTGGGTGATATGTATGGAAACAAACTCATCCTCTGCATTGGTTTCTTGTGGTACAGTATTTGGTCTATGGTCACAGGATTGACAGTGTACACTCACTCAATTATCTTCTTCGATGTATGCAGAGCTCTCCAAGGTATTGCTCCTGCATTGATGTTACCAAATGCAGCTGCCATCATTGGACGTACATACCCACCAGGAGTGAAGAAAGCTATCTCATTCGCTTTATTTGGAGCTTCTGCCCCAAATGGTTTCGTTCTTGGTGCCGTTTTTGTAAGTTTTTATGATATCAGGAGCGCATTTCTAACAACCGTATAGAGTAGTTTGTTCGCACAGAGCTCAGTAAAAGCACCAGTAGATGGTGCTGAATGGGCATGGTCAAACTTCGTACTCGCTATTGCCCTCTTTGTTATGCTCTTACTGGCTATATGGATATTGCCTGAAGACGATGACAAGACGGAGCAGCGGAATCTCGGTTTCGACTACCTGGGAACTATCACAGCTGTGTCAGGATTGGTTTTATTCAATTTTGCCTGGAATCAAGCGGCTGTCGTCGGTTGGAAGAATGGTTATGTCTGCGCACTCCTCGTAGTCGGCTTGATCATGCTAGGTGTATTTGCATTCGTCGAAAGTCGCGTAAAGCAGCCACTTCTTCCACTCACAGTTTTCAGTAATATTCACAATAACCTCATGTTGGGATGTATCGGAACGGGATGGGGTACATTCTCGATTTGGTTATTTTACAGTATAAGATTCATTCAGGATTTTAGAGGTCTTGGTGCACTCGAGACTGTCTCTCAAGTGGTGCCATGTAGCGTGACAGGATGTCTCGCAGCATCACTTTCATCCTTCCTCATCCTCAAAGCTGGTGGAAGTTGGGTTATGATAGGAGCCTTACTGGCTTTCTTGACAGCTGTCTGCTTGATCGCCTTCCAACCAATACACCTCACATACTGGGCTATGCAATTCGTCAGTTACGTTATCGCACCATTCGGTATGGATATGAGTTTCCCTGCCGCTTCTATAATTATTTCAGATCACTTGCCACGCGAACACCAGGGTTTGGCTGGGTCATTAGTCAACACACTCGTCAACTATTCTATAGCAATTGCACTGGGTATTGCTGCGACAGTTGAAATGAACGTCAACGAGGGTGGTGAAAACCCAGAGCGTGGTCTGCGTGGTGCTCTTTACCTTGGTGTCGGTCTTGCAGGCTTCGGTCTCATGCTTGCTATATTTAACAAAGTTCTAGAAGAATTTGAAACGCGTAGATCACCAAATGCTAATACCCACGAGGAAGCAGGTGGAATTGACGAGAAACATTAATTTATGCAATTTTGCCGGATAGAAGTACTCTTTTAGACTTAATTTATATGGAATTTCAATAGGCTTTTCTTAATAATATAGGATGTATTATATGGGCCACATTTTACTTTATATCATAATTTTTGTAGCTACTATTATAACACTATGTCAAATATCAATCACGTAATTTCGTAAATGCCGAGTACTAAATATGAATAAATGTAAATATACCTATGAGCCTGTTGTAAAAGATAACTAATCCGTCAAGTCTTCCGAAAGAAGAGAGATCTGACATAATTGTGTGTGTAAGGACTAAGTTAGACTATTGAAAATGATATTTAAGCAATATGGAGAAGCCAGACTTATTTTTAATCACTGGCACGTCAACTGGATTCGGAAGCGGATTAGTCCTTCAACTAAATGCACAAGGACGCAAAGTAATCGCGACTGCTCGCAATGTTGAAAAAATCAGAGATTTTGAACAATTAGAACACATGTCTATTCTCAAACTTGATATTTCAAGTTCACAAGAGGAAGTAGCACGCATTGTTCAAGGAGCTATCAAAATCCATGGATATGTAACTCACTTGATGAACAATGCTGCATATGGTGTTTATGGTTGTGTCGAAGAGGCATTATTAGAACAGGCCAGGGAACAATTTTAAACAAATTATTGGATACTTCAAAGTAACTGATGCAATCTTACCTCATTTTAGAACGCGTAAAGAAGGCGACAAGTTCATCAGCAATATCATCATTGATCGGAATAACTACTGTCCCGTATATTCATTCTATTGTGCAACTAAGTTCGCAATTAAGGCAACATTTGAAGCATTAAAATCGGAAACTCAACATTTGGGTAACAAGGTGTTGCTCATCAAACCTGAATACTTCCGGACCAATCTCTTACAAGCGGAAACGAACATTCAGAAACCGACAAATAGAATAGCTGACTATGCACCTATTAAAAACGCTTTAGGTAAAGTAATCCAGGGGAAGCATGGAACATGGTGATCCTAAAGTTGGAAGTCAGAGAATAATCGGGCTCATGACTAACATTGGTTTCACGAAAGAGATTGCGCATGGGAATGTTCCAGTTAGAGTTGCACTGGTTCTGATGCTTACCAACGTGTTATCAATAAGGCTAACAACCTCATCGAGAATGCCAACAAGTGGAAGGATTTTCCTTGCTCAAGAATGTTCTGGCAGAAGTTGTATATCATTGTAATGTATGCGATTCTACTGTGTTTTTATTTTCAAGTATTATGTCTATTCTGTTATATTTAACACTTCATATGCTATATTTCGTTTGATTTTCTAAAATTTTCTCGAATGTTATCGTAAGATCATCAAAACATATAAACCTCCCACTTGATTTTGAACAGCTATCAACAAAAATATGAAGAGCACAGCTAGAACTTTTTATAATCAAGCGCTTAGATGCACGCCAGCCTTGGCTAGACACCGTGCCTTATCGCCCTTACATGGCTTCACAAACGTACCTAACTTTTTTTTCAGACCTTTTGAAGGTTTCAATGATTTTACTGAAGAGTTCAGAAAATTGAATGAATTCAGGCCATCGTAAGTTTACCCTCAAATCTAATAGTCAACGTCTGATATTTGCCACAGACTCGATATCAAAGAAACTGAAGAGGGATATACAGCCCAGCTCGATCTTCCAAGTATGACAAAAGAAGATGTCGAGATTACGCTCAATGAGGGTGTACTCACTGTTGATGCAAAGAACACTGTCGATGAGAAGGAAGCTGGTAAATGGCACCTCCGCGAGAGGAACTACAGCCAACAGCAAATCACGCGTTCATGGAGTATTCCAGCAGGCGTCACTCAAGAGGACATCAAGGCTCGACTCGATAATGGCGTGCTCACGATCAGCTACCCTAAACCAGAAGAGGAGCCAGTCAAGAGAATTTCAATCGAGTGAACAAGTAGTAAACGAACACTACACGAATTTTTTGTATCAATAATATTATAAATAATGATATACTGTAATGGTTTGGTAATCTAGTTCTCCCATAGTCTACCATCCGTACTACTGAGCGACTGACCAGTTTGCCATTTATCCAAGAGAAGTTTTATACGTGTAATATTAGCTTCACTGTTCTTCGCCCAGCTGCTCTCATCTCCAATTTTACTCTTTATCAATTGAAGGACCTTAACCGCTTGCTTTCCATAAGCTTGCTTATACGGTTCGCCGAGTATTTCGAAGAATGTCGCTAGAAGTTGTGGAATCGTACTGAGCGTAGGTAGAGGCGGCCTGAGAGCGTGTGAAAGCCATGTCCAACTCTGACTAAACCGGAAGTGAACTGGTAGACGATTAATGAGATCAGCATCTTGAGCTGGCGTAGTAAGTACGAGATTGTTGGCCGTTAAGCGGGTTTGTAGGATTGCGAAATAGAACGCAGCTATACCTCCCATTCTGTCGTTATATTGTACTGTTGTCTCTTCCGAGTTCTTGCGCCCTACTCTCTTATTATACGCTTCATCAGTTTCACCTTCTGATTTCCGTGGATAGAAAGGTACAATCCAACATGCTTTCTTCACAAGTCTTCCCATAAGCACGTCAGCTAGTTGTGGATGATCTCCTACGACTAATGATACAACAAGTCGAGCTAATGGGAAAGCCGTCGTTATTTTCGCGGACACTTCAGCTTCTGCTTGCCGGATAAGACATTTTGAAAGATGATTGAGAAGCCATAGGTAGGCGGGAGATTGTTCGCCATGTAAACGCTTAGGTTCGTTGAGGACATCATTGACTTCATTCGTCTGGATGAATTGTAAACTAAAACATTTACAACATGACCACTACTTACAATTCTAGATGTTTGACTTATTGAATTGGTTAATTGACCAATCTTGGGTGTAATTTTACGTTTAGATGCAGAACATGCTTTTTTAATAGCAGGATTTTCAGCCACTTGTGGTAATACACTACGCTTTATGTTTAAGATCAAGTTATACCAATGATCATAGTCATTCTTGGCTGATATTAAGCCAAACTTCTGCTTATCTGCTTCTGCTTTCTCCAGTTCGAGCTGCCTAGAGCGCTGTTGCTTTTGTTGTTTCAACTCTTCTTCTTGTTTCTTCACTTCTTGTTTACGTTTCTCGTCTTTCTCCTGCTCAATACGTATTCTAATCTCTTCAGCACGTTGCTGTTCTTGGTACTCTCTGTCTGCCTCCTTCTGAGCGTTACTAATAGATAACTCAATATCATTCCATAGACTTTTATTACGTTTCTCAAAATCCTGGGCTAACTTCTCCGTTTCAGCTTTAGATTGTAGCTGCATATTGGATATAGTCTTTTGTATAGCTTCCAGCTCATCGTCTACGCTATCAAGTTGCACTGAAGTTGAACGCGTGAATGAGCTATTAAGAACATTGTAATCAACGCTATCTCTAAAATTATCCTGAAAATACTCCAATTCATCTAATTTACCATAATCGCCGTCAATATATCTCTTCTCGCTCGCTGACGTTTTTGTAGTGGGACGAGATGACGACTTTAGAATAGATTTTAAGCGCACGGGATTGTCAATATCCTCTTCATCGCTGCTGAAATCTAATATACCGTAGCCATTTCTGCTTATCTCCGGTACTTTGTATTTCATCTTGGTAAGCAACAACCAAGATGGTTGTCGAGTCAGATTCTGAAAAGAAGCGTAAAATTACTCGGGCTGTGAGTGTTTTACAGTATATCATCTATATATTTACTAATCATATACAATGTAGTGCGATATATGCCGGTAGGTCGAAGTAATCTGATAACCATCGAGTTGCTGCTAACAGAAGCAGACGCAAGAAGATAAAATGTGACGGACCATCAAAAGCAGAGCAGGGTTTAAAGTGTACAAATTGCAATAACAACAATTTTACATGTACTTGTATGTTTATCACACAGCATCTAACGTAATAACTGAATCCGACTTTAGACGTAGAAGCCGCAAAGCGTAAAGGTCCACCTAAAGGATACATAGAGTCATTAGAGAATCGTAATCGAAGGTTTGAAATGCTGTTTAAGAAAATGCTACCGGATTATGACTACAACAGCGAAGTCGGAGCACCAATAGACAGGGACAGCTTTGAAACTGGTTGCGAAGCCGACACTTCTCGTTGGAATAAAGAAAAGATGGAATTACCCACGATAGAGAAGGCCTTTCACCCGACAAAGGAGATTGATGATCAGAGTGACGATGAACTCGAGGAACGTATGCAACAGATCAGTCTATCCGCACAATGTGAAGACAACACACGCTATTTAGGAAAATCAAGTTCAATGTACTTAATGGCTACTTTAGATCAATATAAGCCACCCGACGAACCACTTATTACTCGAGAATATATCGAGCAAGACCGAAGACCTGAATTTTGGATGGACAGCGAGTGGATTATGGAAGAGAACAAGGACTTTCCTTCTATTTCCTACAGTGTTGAAGAACTTCCTCCTCCAGACCTCCTGGATCATCTAGTGAAAATCTTCTTTGAGAGGTTCAACGTCTACTTCCCAGTGCTTCATAGAGCAACCTTCGAAGCGGATTTGCACAAAAGGAAACATGACGTCAGATTTGGCGGTCTAATTTTATTATTATGTGCGGCAGCTTCCAGATATTCCGACGACCCTAGAGTGGTACCAAAGGATGACAAAGATGAGTTCGGTAACGTCAAGAATTGGCGTTTCGCAGGCGCAGAATTCTTTGCCAAATTCAAAATGCATTGTCATAACTTTATTCTCACCGCTGCTAGACTCGAAGACCTGCAGTCGATAATTCTGATGGTTGTGTATCTTCAAGGTGGTCCGTTTAGCCATGCTTGTTGGGCTCTAAATAGCGTGGGCTTGGTATTAGCACAGGTGAGTTCCAATAGCCTACATGTACTGTTCCTGACAGCGAGAAATCAGGATATTGGTTTTCATAGGAAAAGAGTTTGGGGCGATCCTATTCAAAATGAATTACGCAAACGTGCGTTTTGGTCTTTTTATGTGATGGACAAGCGCTTGTCCGCTGTGTTGGGTCGACCATGTACCTTGAATGACGAGAAGTATGTCCTCTTTTTATACTGGAGACTATAATACTAATGAAGCATTATAGCTTTGATGTTGAATTGCCTTCTGTGCTTCCAGATGAAGTAGAGACTGAAATGCAAGTCAGTATAGCACAATTCAATAAACTGATAGAGTTAACTGCGATTCTTGGCGAAGTGTTAAGGACAAGTGTAGGTACCATTCTATATAATCTATACCACTCAGACAAAAATAGTACGTTGTTAACAAGCGTAAACGTCCAAATAATGCGAACATACCTGAGCCAAAGCGCACATTAATGGATGTCGCAGCACTCGATTCAAAGCTACATAAATGGCTTGAATCCATACCACCTGAGCTCGCTTGGGATCCAAACTGCAAAGACAACTTGAAGTTCACATTTATGTGTATGCTTCAAACTACTTATTATTTAGTACAGGTGCGTTTGGTCAAATAGTCAGTTATGATGTCACTAAAATATTATAGATTTACATCCACAGGCCATTCATCTCAACCCCAAAACGACCATCTCCTCTTGGCTATCCGAGTTTGTCAATTTGCACAAATGCAGCGAGATCGTGCATTCATGTTCTTTCTCACCTTCAGGAAAGGAATAGATCGGTCAAGATCATGGATAGTTGGATTGGAATAGGGGTGCGTGATAAGAATTCTAATGAGTATTGCTTCTAACGTCATTCAAGAGTTTCACATCATCTGTTATACTGATCGTAAGCGCCTGTGAGGGCAGAAGAAATAGTACAGATCCATCGGCGCCAATTCCAGAAATGAAGGGTATGTATAGTATAATTAACGGAATTTTTACTAAAGGTTGGGTAGAAATAAACATGGGAATACAAGTAGTCAAGGAATTGGAGGCCAGGCATCTGCACGCTGGTAGAGCTCATGACATACTTCGCAAACTTGTTAATAGTATCGGACAGATCTCAACTGAAGAGTCACCGAACACTACAAGCCGCGCAACTAGTAACTTCTCGGCTTCTTCGAGCCTTTCCATTGATTCAAATCTGTTTTTGGGTGGCACCGCGAGAAACACCAGTCGACCACAGCAACGTCGTAAGATAGCAAAGAAACCGAGTCATACACGTAAAGATACATATAATTTGGAAAGTTTGCCAATGTCAACTAATGATTTGGCTACGCATATTTTCTATCCTGATATGGTGAACGATACAGCAACTACGGAAAATACTACGACTAGTCTCACAGAAATGGCAAATTTAGTTGATCAAGGGGTATTTCCATCTGGGAACTTTGACTTTACGGCACCGACATCATCTGAAGTTATGCCACAATCTACGTTTGTACAACCTCCGACAAGCCAAATGCCGAAGGGATATAATGATGTCAATATGGCTGGTATCAATACACTGACTGACTATGATATGTTGGGTAACTCAAATCCACTCACTAATATGTTTACTTCTTCACCTGAAGACGACACAAAACCATCTGTCACTCAAGATGCAGTACCACAACAAGATCTTTGGTCACTGTTGCCAGATTCGACGTATAACACACAATCCGAAGACTGGACAAACTTCTTCCGCTTCACTCAACCGATGTAAGCATCAGAAGTTGTACACATACTCACCACTCATTGGCATCACC